TCATGTAAAGAACGCTCCTCAAGAAGCTATTAATTTCAGGAAAATATTTGAATATGAACTCTTTGGAATTTCATTGAAGCAAGTGAGTGTTTCATCATTTCGTTTGAAAAAATTGTTCTTTGACTTTTGTTCCTTGTACTTGACATTGCAATTACAAAATCAAGAACATAGAATCAACTAGAATAATGGGATATGCAGGCCATAGGAAAGAACATAGAAGACTCCATTTATGTGGAGGAGCTTGGCACTACATTGTCGAGAGATGAGATCTTTAAGGTTCTAGTGCTTGACATAATGGAGGCTGCAATTGATGTTGATTGGAGAGATTTCTTCCCTTACCTGACATGGGTTCCCAATAAGAGCTTAGAAATGAAAATTCAGAGACTCTATACCCGCAGGAGTGCAGTAATGAATGCCCTGATTGATGATCGGAAGAAGGGAATTGCTTCAGGAGAGGTGTGCTCTTTTTTTACTTTCAAATGCATTTTTTTCTGGAACTTCTCAGTTGTTGTTTCCGTAACTTGACTGGGATATGAAACAGGAACTAAATTGTTATACCGACTACTTGCTTTCTGAAGCAAAAACGCTTACATCAGAGCAAATAGCTATGTTGCTTTGGGAGACGATTATCGAGACAGCAGATACAACATTGGTAACAACAGAATGGGCCATGTATGAAATTGCTAAAGATTCAAACCGACAGGTACTTTTAATTTCAGTCACTAATTTTTCCGGTTGTTATATGCTTTTTTTTTCATAATTTTGGTTTTATCTGTAACTGATATTGGTGGTTGTCTCTTTATGAAACAGGGTCGTCTCTATCAAGAAATCCAAAATGTTTGTGGATCCAACAAGATCACTGAGGAACATTTGTCCCAACTGCCATACCTGAGTGCTGTTTTCCATGAAACTCTAAGGAAGCACAGTCCAGCTCCGATAGTTCCTTTAAGATATGCACATGAAGATACCCAATTAGGAGGTTACTATGTTCCTGCTGGATCAGAGGTAATTGATAAACAAATATGCCATGAGACTTCTCATCTCTCCTTTTATTTTATTTACAGATGTTGTTATTGATCTTTCAAGTAACTTGTAATGTGCAGATTGCTATTAATATATACGGGTGCAACATGGACAAGAATCAATGGGAAAGCCCTGGAGAATGGAAGCCGGAGAGATTTTTGGAGCCAAAATACGATCCAATGGATTTATACAAGACCATGGCATTTGGAGCTGGAAAGAGGGTTTGTGCTGGTTCTCTTCAGGCAATGCTAATAGCCTGCACCACAATTGGTAGGCTGGTGCAGGAGTTTGAGTGGAAGCTGAGAGATGGAGAGGAAGAAAATGTTGATACTGTTGGGCTCACCACTCACAAACTCCACCCAATGCATGCCATCCTAAAACGAAGAAATTAGCCTCGAGCTTCGTTTCTGTTCCAAGCCCACAAGTTGTTTGTGGCTGAGGCCTTTGCGTTGCTTATTGCCTAGACTTTTTCTTCTCTTTTCCTTTTTCTAAATTTAAGATGATTCTGGGCTTTATCAACTTCGTTATGCCATCTGAAAAACAAATGTAATCACACAGGTGAATAACTTATGAAGTATCAGCATCCTTATGCCTTCTTTATCTTTTCTGCATTCAAACTTCATTAATGTTAATTACTTCTGATTCTGGTGCATGTAATTAAGCATGAAGCTGAGACTACATATTAAAATGGGACCAGAAAATGATGTGAGACTGCCAATTATTATAGAAATATTGTCCTTTTATGTAATCTGTAACTACCTCATACCTGAAGTTATTGAAGAAATAAATGGGCAATGACATTACTTCGAGTTCACAGTAGAAACAAGAATGTCTTGTTCACAAGTACAGCTAATTATTTCTTCTATATATCCAATAAAAAGGTTCTGCATTTGCTGTCCACAGAATTTGTCACACCAGTGATGGCAAGGCAACATTATTTAAGCCTCAGCAAAGCAAAGGTCATACCATGAATTAAAATAACAAGCAGAGGGTAGTTGTGTTTCAAGGAAACTTCATGAACGACAATAAACTTACTAGTGCCAAGCAAATAAATCGCAAGTGAGTAGGCAAATAGTTTGTTTGGCATTTTCGTGGTAATAATTGGGTTCATGGTCGGTTGTGTGTGAGGCCAAAACGGATAAGAAAAAGATGTGAATTAGTCAAACCGTCCAGCCTCAATCTCTGGCCTAGTCCTTGATCTACATCAATGTGATGGGTTGGGTTTGGTGGGCACTTCTTTCAGCATCACATAAAAAGACACAGGAAATTTTAGAATCAGTATCAGAGCTGTCGTTTATAAACTTTTGTTGGGAAGTAAATGCACATTTTGAATGCCACTGAAAGTTTGCATAGTTATTAGTAACATCCAAATCATGCAAGTAATTACATGTTTCTGCATTAATTTCTTTCTTTCCCACACCAACACTGCAAGAATCAAATTGGTATGTCTCTGTTTCTTTTTTGCTTTCTTGTTGGGTTACGAATTTTCTCTGTAGGAAATTTTTTTTTTTTCCATGGCATTTCTGTAGGAAAGTCGACATATGCAACAACAGCGAGAGGCCAAAGGCAAAGGTGTGATGAATGAACTAGAGGGCATGCCACACCACACCAAACTTTTCTTTATTATGAAAATCATTGCAAAAAAACATTCTCCTCTTGTGAAAGGAAAAGAAGAAAAAACCAATAATAATGGATGCAACTTGCAAGTAGGTCACTGTATAAAGTAGACAAATTAAATTATACAAATTTATAAATAAACCCAATCCTAGACATGTATTTATAAAAAAACCCAAGCACTATTTAAACATAGAAACACACCCAAAATCAACCCCAAAGTCAACTTTTTGGGTGTGTTTATAAATGGGTTTTGAGTGTGTGTAATGATGGGTTTTGGGTGTGTTTATAAAGTGTTTTGGGTGTTGGGTTTTTTTATAATTTCAACCTCCATTTTGGGTGTTTTAGTGAAACTCCCATTAAATTATGAATGTGAGAAGAAATGTAATTTAATATGGGCAAGCTCATGGGTCCACCACTGAAGACTATTTCTCTCCTTGATGAGTTTGGAGTGTGTACAGTAATGTAGAGCGGTGTGTATAGAAGTCACCTTTGAGCAGTCAAAACTGAAAAAATCTGACAGAGAGAGTGGCAAACAAATCACACACACACACACTCCTTATGTGATTGACAGCGACGTATAAAGGAAAGAGGTAGAGGAGAGACAATCCTGCAGGATGCGGCCCACCCCCCCTCTTCTTTCTTTCCTTTGAGCTGATAACGAGCTTTGGCTTGGCCATTGACTGGCTGCTGGAGCCGCTAGCCTTTCTAGCGCACTGCACGACGAGTCGTTCATCAACTGACTAGGTCAAGTTTTATCATATATATATATATATATGGCCTTGGGCTCACTGATCAGCTCTTGCGAATGAGGTCAGATTATTTCAATTTACAAAGGCCGGCCCGCGTGCAAGTCTATGCCACGAGAAAAACTTCCCTAATAAACTTCTTTTGAAAAAAAGGAATAAAATGATACGAAAATAAAGAAGTATTTATTCTATGCAAATCATTATTTTTAGAAGTGTGGGAAAAGTGAATGAATATCATGTGCATGCAGCATGATAAGATATATATATGAAACACGAACATAAATAATGTGACACTCTTTATAACTACAGTAGATGATATTATAATATATATCTGTATATAACAGGAAGTATATAGGTAGGAAGTGGGAAAGAGAAGCAAAGAAGGAAATGAAAGATTGTGATGGAGATGAGTCACGGGGAGCGAGAAAATGAGGCACAAGGGGCAGAAGGGTGAGAGAAAGTCACTTGGGCCCCAAGCGAAAGGATGAGAAGAATCTCTGAGGCCTCTTAAGTTATAGGGATGCAGTTATCTGCAAGACTTAGGTATGTAGGCTGTGCATGTAGACATACAGGCATATAGGTAGAAGAGCTTAGACTAGACACCAGACAGCACTAGAATAGGTGACTACTGATACTGACCTCAGGCACACACCTCCCCAGAAGACAAGAGGAGAGAAAAATAAAGAGCATAGAAAGAGAGCGCAAGGAGGCAAACCCAATAATTGCTTCCCACGCTGCCCGACACCCATCATATTGTCGGTCTTCTCCCTCTCTCCCTAGTCGACGGTTGGACCTTTTTTTCCATTCTTTTTCTTTTCCATATCTCAAGTACGAGTTGGAATTGAATTTAAAACCTCTGCATGCGTAAATACTCTTAACTCAAACGAAAATAGTAAGAAAACTACACTAATCTATACAATATTTGTTGTTGGAGCTGGAACCTAGTTGTAGTGGTATTCTCTCTCCCATCCTTTTCCCCCTCGCCATGCCTATAGCTTCACCACATACAAATACAACATTAGTAATAGTAAACGCCCAACTTTTTAATATTTGTGGTCGAGGAGGATGACATGAAGCTGGTCTCGTCTGGTCCCATGCATTTGCAATTTGCACCACTTGACTTGAGTTTTTTTTTTTCTCTCTCTCTTTTTTTAATTTTTATGACATGAAGTTGAGTAGATTTCACGCCAATGCTTTCCTGATACGCCACCCCACCCAGCTTCCCACCCTCCACGTCACCACCAGCCGTACTTCCTCACAGTAAAAGTAAAAGTAAAAGCAAAATGAGATAAAAATGATGAATAATCAATTCACATGTAAAAACCAAATAATTAATTAGCATCAAAATTAGGCGGTAATTGAGCTGAGCCACGCGTCGCGCCACCTTCAACATGGTACACAATCCCCACAGAGAGAGAGAGAGAGAGAGAGAGAGAGAGAGCAGCCAGCCACAAATTAAATGAAGCACCTTCATAATTACACTCTCCTCCATAAAAACCTCTCACTCCTTCCAAAACTTCTCCTCCTCCCCCTCTCCAATCTCCACACATCTGTCTCTTTGTTCTGGAGAAACCCAAATGCCAAAACCCCTCTCTGACAACGACACCAACCACGATGCCGTTTGAATCTGAAGACAATAATCAAAAGCCACCCTCAACGACGACGACGACAAAAGTCCAACAAAGCATGGGTCACCAGCCACCGCCCCAAACCGACCCGCTTCACTGCCCGCGCTGCGATTCCACCAACACCAAGTTCTGCTACTACAACAACTACAACCTCGCTCAGCCCCGCCACTTCTGCAAATCCTGCCGCCGCTACTGGACCCAAGGCGGTACCCTCCGCGACGTCCCCGTCGGCGGCGGCTCCCGCAAGAACTCCAAGCGCTCTCGCTCCACCACTTGCTCCTCCTCTTCCTGCTCGCCTTCCTCTTCCTCGCTCACCCAAGAGGTCACCTCAGTCGCTACAGCGAAACCCGTTTCCTTATCCGCTGAAGTGAAGCCAGAGCCGGCCTCAGATGTGGACCATTTGATGGACCTGAACGAGAACGTGGTCGGGAACGGGGGTTTTACTTCGCTGTTGAATTCTCAGGGACCACCTCCACCTGGGTTCTTGGCGCTTGGTGGGTATGGCTACGGGTACGGGTACGGGTCGGCGTTTGGTCACGGGATTGATGAAGTGGGCGATGCTTTTGGCCATGGCGGCAAAGGGGTTTGGGCTTTTCCTGAGGTCGGTGATTTTCCAAGTACTGTCATTGACCATAACAATAACAATGGTACTCCTTCCGGGTGTAACACGTGGCAGATGACGACCAGTGCTGATGGTGGATTTGTCGATGGGGATTGCTTTGCTTGGCCGGAGCTTGAGATTTCCATGATGCCTGCTTCAGGCAAAGCTTTCAAGTAACAGAAACACTCTTTTCCCATTTCCAGAATTTCAACAAAACAAAAAAAATCATTTTCCTTTTTCTTTTTTCTTTCTGAGTTATGGGTTTTCCGAGTCGTACTGAAATTGTGGGTCGTATACTTGGTTTCTTAGTCTTTCTGATCATCTGATGGTCCTTTTTTGGTTTTTGGGTCAGAGTCTCTGTGGTGGGTATAGAATAGATCACTATAGGTTGCAAAAGGTAGTTGCTTTTGGTTACTTCTTTTCGTCTTAGGGTTTTGTTTGTACTGGCTTTGTAAATCTTTTGGGACTACCACCTGTCTTTGACAGAAATGCTGCAAGAAAATAGACAAAAATGACTGCTTTTTGGGTATGTTGCATTTACTTTGCATGCTATAATTTCTTTCTTTCTTTCAATTTGAACTTCTGGGATGAATTTGCATAAAAGCATGAATCTTTTGTACCTTCAGACTTCATCTGACAAGCAATCGAGTTAATATATTTGTTGGGTAAAGAATTGAACTTCGTGTATGAACTCTGATAAGGAAGTAATTAATTAATCTGTGTTGTGTGAAGAAGATGGCACATTTGGATGGATATTGAGGCTAATTTCAGTTAGTTTAACCGAGTGATCAATTTTAATTCCTTTATAATTGGATCATTCTTGGATTTGTCTACCTAAGCGCACATCGGCACATGAGCCATGATGAATCGAGTCCCGCACAAAATTAACTTGGTGGATTTGATTAAATATTATGAGAAGCCAGACATGAGCCGACAGTTTTAAAGGGATTAGCACTAATAAACTGTATGCTTACTTAAGAAATGGACAACTACAAGTTAAAAAATGGTGTTAATTAGAATAATGGTGCACCGAAATGGTTTTAATTTGAAATTGATACGACCAAAACCCTACAACCCAGTTTCTAAGGTTTTATGTTTATCTGCTCAGTTCTGTATTTGAATATTCTGTGTAGTTTCCAATTTGGCATTATATACTGAAATGGGAGACTTTGATTTTGATTTTGAACTAGATGCCACCGACCAGGGACCGCGTGTTGCATGGTTCATTGTGTTGTGGATAATGCCGAAAGGTGACAGTGCTTCATTTGGGATTAGAATAGCTTTTCTGCTCGATTCCATTGCAATGCAAGAGAAACTTCCCTTTCTCCATATGGTTTCATTACTTCTATCACCCGTCACAGTCACAGGAGGTGAAAGATAAAGAGAATGGGACAATGAAACTGGAATAGGGAAGTAGTTTTGCTCTAAAGTGGAACCTCTAGTTTGATGGGTTCAACTGGACTTAGATTATTTCAATTAAAATGAACAATATTTCTGACCGTTGTTTGATGTGCTGCTGAGATTTGATTTATTAAATTAAACAACAGTTCAACAGATTAGGTGGGACTCATAAAGACTAGTTTGGACTTCCAATCTCCAAACGGAACCATGAATTTAACTTATCCAACGACTCTCCTAGTGTCTAAAGTTCTTCTTTTATGTTAAGAATTGATTATTGTTTATATTAAGTAATTGATCGGCTCTCCGTAAGTTATTGTTAAGATTATGATCGTTCCTTGATTTGTGGTTAGGTTGAACTGAGGGTAAATCCAGTGCATCCTGCATTTCTCCCCTGAAGTATATTCTAATCTCCAAACCCACTCGTAGGTTTCCAATCTAAGACGGTGTTGTGTGTTTTCTGATTTTATATTGAGGTCCCATTTGGGCATTGGTTTAATATTGCTGGCAGCACAGCACATACAGAATAATATAAAGATGAATTAGAACAATCATGTTCGGCTGCATAAGTTAACGTCCGTTGTTTGTGCTACAATCAATCAATCGAATCGAATTTAAGCACGGAGATATCCACCACAACAATCCATGCATGCCCAGATGCACTTTTAAAATTACTAAATTAAAATCATAATTAAAGATAAGATACTATAATTATTAACTCTGTCAGGTGGAGTCATCATTCTTGTTGTAGGGATATTTGTCACCCCCACCCAACCAAACACGCCTTTCCCTCTTCATCTTAAATTAAGAATTGCCATCATTCTTAATTTTTTTTTAAATAAACACAATTGTACAAGTGCATGAAGCAAACCTCCTCATATTCCTCGAAGCATCCATTATCATTGCAAATCCCACTCCACATTACATCCAACATTATTACTTGATTAAATAAGTGCTTAAGGAGTTGGTCGACATGTATTTAGAGCACTTTCATTCATTTATTATGGCAAAATACAAGAGAAAGTAAGGGTATTTACTGTTCACGTGACTAGTATACAGTGGCGGAGCTACAGCCAGGCCTGCCATGGCCCTGGCCCCCCCACTTAATTATTAATCTCTTGTAATATATTATAAAATATATGATATAGTAATACAAAAACTGCAATTAGATTAGTGATGGCCCTCCCAATTGAAGATTAAAAACCTAGTATAAGTGATTTTGAAATTTTGGCCCCTCCATACTCAGAATCCTAGCTCCGCCACTGCTGGTATATGTCCTAGCAATATTTTTGTTGTTTTTCCCCCAATTACCATGACAACCCAAAGGCAATCACTATTCACATGAGATTAATTTTATTTATATGTATGAGATTAATATATATATATATATATATATATAATTAATTGGTATGTATATAAAAAAATATTATGGATTTTTTTGGTAATTATTCAGATTTTTTTTTCGATCTTTTAAATTAAAATTTCGTCGTTGATGTCAGTGCCCATACGCAACAGCTCGGATTGTTTTCGCCTTCAGACCTACCCAATTTTGGTGGAGCCCACCATCTGCTAGTGCTGGATTTGATCGCTGGAGTGGTTTCTTTGGCGAGGGCCGTTTTGCCCTAGCAAGTTCAACCACTTGACTTGCTCTTAGAAGCCTCCAATAAGGGTTTCTCACAACCAATTGGTAAGACATGGGGAAGGTTTAGGCAGATTTCAGGTTTAACTCAAAATCATCACAAATAAATAAATTTTTTAGGGTCGGTTTATGTATTGCGAGGGATTTTCATATTTGTAGTTTTTGTATTTGTTTTGTGTGTTTGTAGTTCTTTCACTCATTATTAGTCATGGTGGCGATGTCTCAATCTTCATGGAGGCAATGGCAACAGTACTTTGGCGTTTGGTGGTGTTTCTGCTTTTGGTTAGCTCTGGCTTTATGCCAATTTTGGACTCAGACTTTATGTCAATTTTGGGCTCAGACTTTATGTCAGTTTTGAGCTTTGGCTTTATGCATGTTTGAGTTTTATTTCTAGTGGACGTTTACTGTTGCATTTGTTTGGACTCATTTTTATAAGTTCCACTATCATATAATTGGCATTGCCTTTCTATTAATGAAACTTGATTCCGACTTCAAAAATACACATAGCCAATTTCTATTCTATTATATAGTTTAGGTAGGTGAGGTTGGGGCCAAATCAAATTCAACTTACCCAAAAAACATACAGTGAAAGTGGGCCCAATTCAACTTATAAGTTATAATGACCCAAAAGCATGAAATGAAACTGGGGCCAATCCAAATTATAGTCCAGGCTGACTTTTCTTCTTTGAATACTCATTAGAGAGGACCACAAACAGCTCAGGTGGAAGGGCTATGTAAGTATATAAAAGTATCTGTTACAGAACCAGAACAAACTTACCAACCATTACACCATTTAACTATGTGCCACAAAAGAACACGAATATGTACGCACAAGACGTATTTAACTTGCAGCAAAGCAACAATGTTTATAACATTCTTAACAAATTTTGAAGAATTATGAAGCAGGGGCCATTGAAACATCAATTAGGCGGCTTGAAGAACTTCAATTTAAGTCCACTGTTGACCATGCTCCACACGCCTCCAATGGAAAAGGCCAAACTAAACGCAATCCCCAGCCAACCCAAGATCCAATGAAAATACCAGTTAAAGCTGTACTTTGTAGGCTTCTTAATGAGAACCCACATGAAGCAAGGATAGGCAAATGTGACTGGAAGTGTGAGTCCTCCTAGTAGCCCGGCAAGACTGGAGAGGAAGGGGAGTGCCACTCCTATGAAGAAGTTGATGAATCCATAGAAAACCCGGAAACCAGACCGGACCCAAATTGAGCAGGGACGGTTGGTACGACTAGTGTAACCAGCTTCAAAACTGTCAAATACAGGCATTGAGTATATCTGGAAACTGCTCAAACAATTAAACACAACTAGGAGGAAACACATTGCAAGAAGTCCTCTAGGGATGTCATGACTGTGGAATCCGTACAAGGCATTGAGAATCCCTCCAGAAGGCATCTGTAGAAAAACAGAACATACGGAACAATCAACAAGACTGAAAAATGCAACAATTTATGAAACTTTGATGAAATGGCTGAAATCAAGTCATCCATGATACCAATATGCTCCTTACAAGGTTGGTAAACTTACAAGGTTTCCATAAGCCCAAAAGCCTCCAATTGCAACAGGGAACAAACACATTGCAATGAAGAAATAGGCAACCTTGGCTCCTTTCCACATGGGCACATGAGCTGGGTGTTTAAAGGTTGATGGCATTGTTGCCTAATTCAGGTAAATGAAACTCTGTTAGATAAGAATTAAAAGTGCAAATTCCCAACTTAAGTAATTACATACGTTTTTTAAAATAAATAAAAAATAAACAAAGAGAATATAACTTCATTACGCTGGACTCACAGAGAGCATACCTGAATCTCCAGAACTAAATTGTGCCCCCTGAAAGCAAAGGCTACAATACCAAGAGCGTTCAGGACTGCAAAGACAGAAGCCGAAGAGGATGGCAATGTAATTGGCTCATAAGAAATTGTGGGTGGCCTTGGCTGGCTTACAGAGAGGACCCAAACCATTGTGGAGTAAGTTATGGCTGTCACGGCTCCAACGAGTGAAAGTCCTGCAATTGAATTGAGGTTTGGGAGCTGAGATAGAACGATACATAGTGAAGTGAACACTAGATACCACTCTACTGTTGTTAGGGGATTTGATGAACATAAGGGACCACAAACTATCTGAAAAAATAGTTTCATGGTCTCCCCTCCTATTAGAATTAAAGCTGTTGCAGTTCCTGCCGATAGATAGACAGTTGGGAAGAGAGCAAGCCAAACACCCAATCTTTCCCCTACAAAAGAAGAAAAAAAAATATCTGCCATTAATTTACTTATTCACATACCTACTATCCACTACAAAACTAAATATCGAAGCTAAACAAGATCAAGCTAAAGGCCTCATCACTAAGCTGTTGTTAATACTTATATCAACTGCATCAGTGTAACTGTGACACCTACTGCATATTATGAAATATTTGAGAACACAAATAACCATGTGGTGGTTTGTAAATCGTGAAGTCTCTTACCAAATGCAGCTTGTGCAAGCTCCACATATCTGTTGTACCTCTTTCCTGGTACCGCTTCATGTAGCTGAACAAGAATCCACAATGTGTAAAGTTGCCAGAAGTAGGCTATGGTTAAGGAAAGTGTTCCCCAACTCCTGTGGACATTGTCAAACAAACGAACCAGGTCAATTCATTTCAAGTACTCCAAACCTTTCAGATAATGGTATTCTTCAATTGTTATTAGCAGCTTGGTAAATTTTATCTTAATGTAAAGTGTCAAGCACTTTAAAAGTTTAAATCTTCAAATCTGACACTTTAAAAGTTTAAATCTTCAAATCTTTGAAAATTATAATGCAAAAATAATATAAAATGAAAAAGTTAAAGGCAAGCCGAGTACTATCGCAGTGAAGAGAATAAACAAGTGATGCTATAACCAAAGTATAAAGGTTCCTCTGTCTAAATTCCTTCAAAAAGAAATAACAAAATCATGAGTGACCCCAGTAAGATGAGATAGGGCTGGCATGTGTATATTTCCAGGATCTTTGAAGCTATGGAAAAGCAAAAGATAAAGGAACGAAGTGACATCCCTCAAGGATGTTCTTTTACTTCGTCAAATTGAAACCCATAATGATAATCTTCAATAAATGAAGTGACTTTACCCAAGTAGACCCACAAAGCCATGAACTTTAGTCAAATTCCTCTCAGTAGCATGTGAGAGAGGGAGGGATAGAGAGATCAAAACGTGAAAGAAATCAATTTGGAGAGCGACCCATCAGGGCCACCACTGATATTAATTAGTACATTAGCTGCAGCATTAAGCAGAAAACGCCAAGAAACATAATTCTAAAGCTGGATAATTGTCTATAATATTATTATGAAAAAAGAGAACTTGAATGAGATTTAACTCAAAAAGGAAGAATTTTTATGAAGCTTGAGCTAACAAGGTGAAATGGGTAATAAAAATCAGTACTTGTGAGGTTGTGAAATTAATTACCAGCCAAGAAAAGAGAAGGCAACGGGAAGGACCAAGGCCTGGAAGCCAACGCCAGCGTTGAGGTTATGAAACGCCGCGTAGTGAGCATTGCCGTTGCGGGACTCGGTGATGGGAAGCCAAGCGTCCTGTGGGTTGAGCTTGGTGAGGTGGCCCACCTCCTCCAAGTAGCTCTTCATGTTGACGAGGACCCTCTTCATCGGCGTCCCGATGGGGCTCAGGAACCTCGGCGATATGAACGAAGTCGGCGTCCACGCCGACGACGACTTCGCCTCCTTGGACGGCGGCCGAGGCGACCTCTGCCCAGATGGAGTCTGTATCTCCGGCGTCGACACACCACGCGGCGTCGCCGGAATGGATATCAGCTCCGTCTCCGGCCTCTCGTCCATTGTGTAATGTCTTGGAAGTGTTTGTGTGAGTTGTGGTGTGAGTTTTGCTTTATAATAGAGGCAAGAGGTACGAGAAGCTCTCTGTTTCTCTCTGTGTGTTTCTGTGTGTTTATAATGGCACTTTTTTTGTTATCTTTTTCTTTTTGCTTTCAGTGTGTGTCGGAGGTGTCAGTGATTACAGGGATCGTGGGGCCTTTGAGTGAGTGAGAGTTTGACAAGAGAAGTGACTGAGAGGAAGGAGGAGCTTCAAAGTTTAAGCATAAAAGTTTTGCATTTGCGCTGCTATTATTCTACAGGCAGGTGCTGGTGGACCACCACACTGACTGCAACGCATATGTATGGGCGGTAGTGATGAGGATCCAAATGTCAAGCCTTTTTAACACTGAAACAGCTCGCAGTGAAACTTGAGACCTCCTCAAGTTGACCGCATGCTTCAATATTTTACTTGGCTCTGATGGAGGGCTGTGATGAGGAAGGCGTTTGGTCAAAGAGTCAAACAATCGTGCGGTGGTGGATCAATGATCATTATTTAGTAGGGCCAGGCCTCCGGAATTTTCGGTTGTTTAAGGGTTGGATTGGGCAGGGCGGGGCAGGGGTGCTCTAGCACGCAAGGAGGAGATGGGACCAGATGATCATTTCTTCTGTGTTGGAGTGTGAATTTGTTCTGTGTTGGAGTGTGAATATAGGATTTAACTTGAGTTTTTTTTCTTCTTCTTTTTACTCGTTCACAGTCACAACTTACAAGTTACAAGTCGGAAGCAAGCATGCAAGCATATGCAAACTCCTTTTTCCAATAGTGTACAAGATTTTGGGACATTCTGCCTCTTTTTATAAATGAAAACAGGGAAACATGTGTTCCAAGTGATTAAAGTAGCTATTCGAAGTCTAGCGTTCGAATTCTCCTGCTCACAGCCACAGTATCACTTATCAAGAAAAGTTACTGAGAGTTGTAGATGCCTAGGGTTTTGCGGTGCGCGTGACGTTGGGGTTAACAAGAACCTGGAAATAGTCCCGACAGTCCATCGACGTCTGAAAGACACTGGCCAGTGGCGGTAACTTTGAAAAAAGCAGTAAAACTGAAGCAAATACACAGGGAAAATGCCAGATTTACCCGACACAACCCACGTTCTTCCATCTCGCGTTCGCTGCCAGTGCGAGACCTGCCATTATTTTCAACTCTTCTTTTTGGGGGATTAAAATAAATATTTTATTTCAAGCTTGGACTCAAGTCAAAGTATTGATTTACATTAGACCTGGCAATATCTTATACGACCCGTTAACACGACACGAATTCGCATGAAAAAATCAGTATTTGGGTCGAGCTTAATGGGTCGGGTTGAAAACGGGTGGACCCGTTAGTCACCCGTTTGCTTAACGGGTCGTGTCAGTATCATATGCGAATAACCCGTTAACCCGTTAAGAGGAAGGGCAATTTTGTAATTTACATTCTAAATCCCTAAAATCCCTAGCGCATAGTCTTCGTCTCTCTCGTTTCTCGTCTCTGTCGCTGCTTCACTCACGCACAAATATCCCTTGTTTCACAAAAATCCGAGTCGAATGGGAGCTGGCTTTGTTCTGGTATAAAAATAATAATAATAAGAGATGCCTTTGTGAGATCAGTAGCCACCTCCGACGATGACGAAGCCGAAGATTTTGGGTTGGAGAGTTTGATTTTGCAGCAGCCAAATCTGACGGGGACGTCACCTTTGGTCCAGTATCGCATCAAGATTTGTAGAACTTGGTGTTGACAGAGTCACACCTTGGGCACCTCAAGGTATGCTGGTTCAGATGGTGATGCGGCCTCAGCTCAGCCCACTCAATGAATCACTTTTACTTCAATTACTAAATATAATGTATAATTTGGATGATGTTTGTTTTATTTGTGGTGTTGTTTTCATGTTGTTTCCCTGTCTCGCATGAATGCTTGTTGTTTTTGTTAGTTTGCTTCCTTTTCCTGTGTTGAAGCTTTCCAATAATGAAGTTTCATCTTTCTCGACCAAAAAGGAGGAAGAGAGTTTTGGGTGGTTTTGTTTGTTTTTTTTTTCATTATTTTTTTTTTTTTTTTTTTTTTTTTTTTTTTTTTTTTTTTTTTTTTTTTTTAACGGGTGAAACGGGTCGTGTCGTGTTATTCGCGAATTTGAACGGGTCGTATTCGGATTTAGTATTTCCCACCCGTTAGCTTAACGGGTCATGTCGTGTCAACCCGTTAACTTAACGGGTTAACACGAACACGACCCGAAACCCGCAAACCCAACCCGTTTGCCAGGTCTAATTTACATACTGTCACGCATTGGAAATAAACTCATTATAGAAAGGCATGCAATGCAAACTGCTCAACCATAGTAGCAGTAGCATGCGTATTAATTATCTATCTCTTATCATATTCAGATCCAATTATTCGTCTTCTGCAATGATTTTTGTTTCCTATGATTATGAAGCCAAGAGTCAAGACAGAGAAATTGTTATATATGAACGACAAAGTTGCCTTCTTCTTCTTTCTTTTTAATAATTCAGCCGAAAGCATAACATGGGTTGGTTAAGCCGTCAACTTTTCCTTTTGGCCCTTTTTTTATTACTTAAATTCGACACTAACTAACTAGTGAATGGTGATTTCTGGGTTTGAGGATTGCATGCAATGGATGGAGCTTGTGAGTGGTGAAGGTAGCAGTATCATCATTTTCTTCCTCTCCACCTCTCGGCAGCCTCCACTCAAACTCCTGCACCAACCTGCCAATGCTGGTGCATACTATTAGCATTGCCTGAAGAGAACCAGCGCAGGCCCTCTTTCCAGCTCCAAACGCCAAGGTCTTGTAAAAATCCGTTGGATCACATTTCTCCTTGTCCAAAAGGAATCTCTCTGGCTTCCATTCTTCAGGGCTCTCCCATTCGTTCTTGTCCCTGTTACACCCGTATATATTCAAAGCAATCTGCACCAAAATAGATTAATTAATACTCATATGTATATTAATTATTTTAAATAAATAAATAAATAAAAAGGTGAAAGAAAAACATGCAAGAAAATGTCATGGAATTAATATATTTTCGTGTTTCAACAATTACCTCTGTTCCAGCTGGAATATAGTAACCTCCTAACTGAGTATCTTCATGTGCATATCTTAAAAGTGCTACCGAAGCTGGACTGTGCTTCCTTAAACTTTCATGGAAAACAGCATTAAGGTATGGCAGCTGGGACAAATGTTCCTCAGTGATCTTATCGGATCCACAAACGTTTTTGATTTCCTCATACAGAAGACCCTGTCACATATATATCATGAATATCAGTTACTCAGTAATTAATCTCAAATGAAATCAAACTAATAATGGGTACCTGTAGATTTTGATCTTTAGCAAGTTCATACATAGCCCATTCTGTGGTTACCAATGTAGTATCCGCCGCCTCAAGAATTGCCTCCCAAACAAAAATAGTAATTTGCTCCGTTGTAAGAGTTTTTGCTTCACAAAGCAAGTAATCCAGGAAACTGTTTACTTCCTGTTTCACACAATCATAGTTAATTTCCTCCAAGTTAAATTAAAGAATGTGGAATTAATCTAAGCATGCATGCACCTCTCCTGAAGCAATTCGGTTGGTCTGCTCCTTGATCAGGGAATTCATCACTGCTTTCCTCCGAAAATAGATGCCCTGGATCTTCATTTCCAAGCTCTTGTTGTTGGGAACCCATCTTCTCAAGTATGGAAACAAGTCTCTCCAATCAACCTCAAGTACACCATCCAGTACATCAGACACTAGAATCTTGAAAATCTCATCTCTTGACAATGTAGTTCCAAGCTCCTCCACATAAACTGAGTCTTCTATGTTCTGTCCTAAGGCCTAACCATTTAGCCCAAATTAAGTTAATTATAGTTTATGGGCGTAAACCAATATGAATAAACTCACTCACTCACTCACTCACTCACTCACTCACTCACTTGCTTCAACGACAATCCAAAGAGTTCATACTCGAACATTTTCTTGAAATTTACAGCTTCTTGAGGAGACTTGTTTACATGAACATGTAATTGGCTTGCAACATTTTCTCTCAGGGTATCTCTGTGGCTTCGGTGTCGTTTCTGAATATATATATATATATATATATATTATATCAAATGGAGTTATAATAATATGAACAAATTAATTAAGTTAAGTGAGAGAAGAAACAAAGAAATAATATGTAAACCTGAGCATTGGTTCCAAGAATATTTGTGACCATGTGACTTCTTCCCATCTTGTGAAAATCGTTGTAGTCAGATGCTGCAACCAAGGCGTTGTCGAAAGTTAGGATCTTTAGTGCCGTCGATAGCTTTCTCGATGAAATGGACGAATGTCTGGTCACCAAGGCCTGAACACAACCAACCAATATTAACATGGTAACATACACAAATATATTATGAGAGATGAGATAAATGAAACCTCTTTGGCGACATCGGTGGAATTGAGAACGACCAAAGTGAAAGCACCATTCCTGATAGAATAGATTGGGCCATACGTCTCGGCCCACTTTGTAAAAGTCTTGTAGGGCTTCCTCTCTTTCAGTTGCAGCAAATTCCCTATCAATGGCAGCCCAGGAACCACTGCACAGATCATTCATAAATCTCCAAAAACACTCGACTCAACAAAAGAAAGTGGCATGGCAATATCTTAGTAGGATCCCAATATATCATTTTTATTTAACGGTTTTTTGAGGGCAAATTCTATCCATGATTATCAGAATATAATCTTCAATGAAAGCAAAGAATTAGTAGCAGATACCTGGCACAGGAGGGAGTTTGGCATATCCTTTCTTCTGGGCAAAGATGAGTCCCTTGATGAAATATAGGAAGAGCAAAGAAAGAGCACCCAAGGCAACAGGAATGGCAAAGGGGACTAATGCTTCAAACTCATCAAGGATATTATTAAGTTCAATGGTACTGCCCATTCTTGATTTTGCAAACACGATAAATGGTGTTGTAGGACAATTTGAAACTTACAATCACACAACACATTATATATACACTGACCACGTACAATGAATGTAGCATCAAATCATATACAAAAATATTTTAACTTCAAATATACAAAAATATCAAATCAGATCATATAATTTAGTTAAAATATAGTTTTAACTTAAATAGTCCCTAAACTTATACACGATTTCTATTTTGGTCCCTTAACTAAATTATTCGTTCAAATGATCCACGTACGATTTGTATTTTGGTCCCTTATTGTACCCCACGTGCCGTTCACATCACTAAAACTCACAGAAAATGTAACGGTGGGACTAATTCACCGAATAATAAAAAATATGTAGACAATTTGAATGAATAATTTAGTTAAAATACCAAAATGCAAATACGATATAAATTTAAGAACCGTTTGAATTAAAAATACCCCTTAAAACTATTATAATGGACCCTACATTTCTTTTCTTTTTTTAATAATAAAAGACGAAATAATATTTTTTATTTCTTGGTCGTCGCATTTTAGGAAGAAATTCGTCGTCTTTCTTTGCCATGTGAAGTAATATTCGTCTTGTTTGCTCTATGGTTTATTGAGAAAACACATGCAGAGAGCGATTCCCTTTTGGCGTTTGGAGCGATGCCATTGGGTAGGGCAGTCTCTATTACGGACAACAGAGGCATTTGGGATGTCGTCTGTCTGGTTATGGAGAAAGAAATGCTTTTATCAGAGTCCAATTTGGTGTGCTTCCATTCCTTGGGGCTTTCCCATTGATTTTTGTCCATGTTGCACTTGCAGCGGTATATCTACCATTAAGACAAACCTGCAATTAAATTAGATTAAAAACAATATTTTAATTCCTTAATTACCTCAGTTCCCGCAGGAATATAGTAACCTCCTGATTGGGAATCTTCATGTGCATATCTTAGGGGGACTATTGGAGCTGGACTGTCTGTACCTCCTTAAAAGTTTCATGGAACACAGCACTTAGGTATGGCAGCTGGGACAAGTCTTTCTCAGTGTTAATGGGTTGCTTTTGGTCAAAGAGAGCTTTCTTAATGGTCTTAATGTGTAGGCCCAAACACATTTGGGCTATGTGGCATTGAGATTATGTTGTCTGGGTTACTTAGTATATTAATTAATCGAAATGGTTCATTTTCAGTCTAACTCAAGCTGACCCACTAAAGGAGCCCTTAATCCCTAAACTTTCTAATTCAGCATACATTTTTAGCTGGCCCAGTATATGAACATTCATGAATACGTATGTGGGTTAGGCCAATAGAACAAGGCAATATGCCATTCATTTGCACAAATTAGAGTTAGGGGTGGACATGAGTTTGGTTGAGTCGATTTTCATTCCAATTCGTAACCTACCCTGATATGTAGCGATTTATAATTTCTTGAATCCAAAACCCAATCATTATTAGACCAACCCAATCCAACCCTTTTGTGATTGGATTGGGCAGTTCAATCAGGTTAAATCAAAATTAAACACACTATTAAGTTTTGCTTTTAACCCGTAACCTAACTTGTATATGGCAGTTTATGATTGTTTGAACTCAAGACCTGTTGATTATTAAGCCAACCCAACCCTCTAATGAGCGGATTCGACAGTTCATTTGGGTTGACCTTATTGTTTTTAATTTTTAATACAAATTGGCCCGAAAATTATGCCCATCCCTAATTAGAGTAATATAGAATAATCACACCAAAAAAAAAACACATCCCTATATTACGTGGTAGGTATTGACTCATATCAAGGGCACCAACATTGGATAATATATGGATAAACCAATAATAAAATTTGTTTTTGCATTCTACATACTTCATAGAATTCAACCGAAACTAAAAGAATTGGTCAATCGTTTGATGTTAATGAAGTTCCAACCTCAAAAATTGAACTTTCACTAATTTTATCAGTTTTGACTCGTTATAAGCAAATAAATGTATAATGTCTCTTTTTGCTATCTTTTAGACTTATGCACTTTTCTTCATTTTATTTTTTTAGTTTAAGTATCCGTTTGACATTGCTTATTTGAAGTCATAAGTGTCCGTACACCTATTTTAGGTGTAGGTTATGTGAAACATTAATAATTTTTAATTAATAGATTATGCTAATGTGGCCGGTCAATTCAGGGTAAAATAGTATCACTTACTACAGTTATAAAAAATAAAAAAAATAAAAACCAAGAGGGATTCATCGTTTAAATGGACGGACATTGTGACGGATGCAGTTGCGTCAATTAATCAGAATTTGGATGAAGAAGGGATCAAGCGTTTTGAAAATCACAAATATTCACATTATAATAATTCGTTTCCTTAATCTAATCAGCCATGTCGCTGACATATGCGCTTCCGTCATCAACTGCCTGTCCATACCAAACACTCACCCAGTCAAGCCTAAGATGCGTCAACTTCAAATTGTCAAACATCCCTTTTCCCATCCCAATTTCCAGTTTTACCCCATTTTATTATGGATTGTATTTTTGAAGACTTTAATTCGAAGCCTCGCAAACTTATTTTTTGAAGAAAACTCGCTCTACTCACAATCCATTTGAATTGTCACTGAAGACTTACTTATTTATTATTTTATAAAATAAAATTGCAGTGGAGTCTCGCCTATCTAATTTGTATTTGTAGACGAAGTATGTGAAAGAAACTTACATATAACGATTGTATACACCACTTATTTAGAAATGGTACTATAATACTAACTGAGACTTTATTTTTACTTGCTCAATCTTTTATTACTAAATGACGCGGTATTGCGGTATTGCTTAGTGATTGTAAAAAAATGAAATTCATAATGAGTTTAAATATATAAAAATAGACTACTTTTTATTCATAAGTTGATATTTAACAATTTAGAATATGAGTTGGTTGGAATATGAACCATCATTTTCTGACTCATTGTAATCTATGTATGCCAATTAAATATTATATTTTTAGATACTTTTTCATATCTATTGCAGATACTAAGTAGCAGCCACAAATTTATATTCATTTTTCATAATATTACGCATGGATGAGATATATCATGGCGAATTCTTAAAAAAAAAAATTGTGTTCATACAAAAGTTGTAGGACAAATAAATTATGTGGTTTATATTCCTATGATATCCATCAACGGTTTCATCGTGCAAAGGATATTCCTAGGGCTATTATCGTCTTTTGGGATCTGAAAATTTTAATTTTTAGGAAGGTTGCAGGAAGGCGAGACAAATGTCCTTCACATTAGAAGCCATTCCTTTGGTCAAAGTCATCCAAAATAATGGAAAACGACGTGGTACTGTAGCCATTCTTTTATATAAACTTCCACGAAGAACCTCTCTACCTTGTAATTGTTGAATGACCAAATTACCCCGGGAGTTATGTGGAATTTTCTTATTAAAATGTATAAGTTTCCATTATAGTATAAATATCAAAATAAAATTATAATATTTTGTAAACTTGTCCCACATGTTTGATGAATTTAAAGATTAACTTTAAAATCTGAAAAAAAAAGAAGAGGGTAAGAGTAATCTGATAGTCACACAAAGTGATGAGATAATAAGATTGATGTACTCAAATCTTCAAAAAAAAATAGAGATTACTAAAAAAAATCCGTATTTTGTGGCAAAAATCTGCACAGAATGAAATGTATCTCATTAAGGAGAAAAAGGCACAATCGTAAATAAGGAAAGAACGAAGGCCACTTTTTAATAGAATTTCAGCCGCCGTTCTATTAAACCTATACTCTTCCCCATTTGACGCCCATCTTGGTATTTTCTGGCGTCTCCAAATCCACCTGCTCGTGACTCGTGAGTCGGGAGCCCTTCACTCTCTCTCTCTCTCTCTGGTGAAGCTCGGCCACCATCTCCGAGCTTTTCCATAAACCCTAATTTTTCAAATCCCCAAACACCTCCAACTCCTTTCCTCAGCTGTAACCCGGCCTTTCAATTCACCGTTCCCTTCCTCGCTTCACTGTCTTGCACAACCGAAATGGCATTCATCGTTTGCTAGGGCTCTCTAGATCAACTTTATCAGTCTCCGAGAGCACACTGCACCACATCTTCACCAACCTAATCAAATTCGTAGTCATGGCAATCCGCGTCACGCTAAGCTTCTCCGGCTATGTCGCCCAAAACCTTGCATCCTCGGCAAATCTCCGGGTCGGAAATTGCCGAGGATTTCACGAATGCTGGGTCAGGTCTCGGGTATTCGGATCAAACCAAAAGCCTGAATTCGACCCCTCCGTCCCCGTCCGCAAGTACCACCAGACCCAATTCTCCCGTTCGAAGCCGAGCTCGCTGGCCGCTAAGACTTTGCCGTCCTTGTACACAGCCCTCGCCGAAGAGATTCTCGGTGAGAGTTCCAAGAGCCCGATCGTGTTGGGCTTGATATCGCTTCTGAAGTCAACGGCTTTCGTTGCGGGTGTCTCTTCAGCTCCGTCTGCTATGGGTATTTCTCCGTTCAAACCCGGTTCGATCATGCCTTTTTTACAGGTCTCCAAGTGGCTTCCCTGCAACGAGTCTGTTCCGGTGTCTATACTGAAGGAAGTGGACAAAGGCGGAACCTTGTGTGTGGATGAGATCGCTGAGATCCCGCGGTTGACTAAAAAAGAATTGGGGAGGAGCGGTTTCTTATCGCGCTTGTTGAATTCTTGCTCGGAGGACGCTAAGGCTGTGTTCACTGCTGTCACTGTTAGTGTCTTGTTTAAGTCCTTCTTGGCCGAGCCCAGATCGATTCCCTCCACTTCTATGTACCCTACTCTGGATGTGGGAGATCGCGTTTTAGCCGAGAAGGTGAGCCCATGTTCATATCAGTATATTTAATTGGTGGAATTATGTTGGTTTTTTGATTAATTGATAATTGATTTAGTATTCATTAGTACAAAATTGTGAATTTGGAATTGGGATATGTAATGTTATGTTTGCAAGTATTATTTGGTTGATTTCATAAATGTGAAAACCAGATGTTCTGTCAAAGTCTTATTTTTGAAATTGCTTATGCCCATCTGATTTATATCCTTCCTTTGATAAATCAGGTTTCATATTTCTTTAAGAAGCCTGAGGTTTCAGATATAGTAATTTTCAAGGCACCTCCAATCTTACAGGTATTGTGTACAATCACATTTTGTAAGGATTTTCGAGGAACCTCCAATTACATTTTGTAAGAGTTTTTGACATGTGGGTGCTGACATTATATTCTTGTGTTTTTCGTGCACTCTGTAGGAAATTGGTTATAGCTCGGGCGATGTATTCATTAAAAGAATTGTGGCTAAGGCTGGAGATTGTGTTGAGGTATAAGTCTCATTAATCTTGAAGTTGTTGTTTATGGCTCTGGCTGTACTCATAGAAACGAAAACATATGTATTTTGTTTTGACGTGTTTTATTTTGTGTGTCTATGGAATAGGTTCGCAATGGAAAATTGCTGGTAAATGGTCTTGTTCAAGATGAACATTACATATTAGAGCCGCTTGCTTATGAAATGGATCCAGTGGTAAGCATCCTTTTCTAGGTTTATCTTTTCCTTCAGTTGATTTGCTTATGGTGACGCTGAGAATTGTGCTTACAAAAACATTGCAATCTGTTTGCTTGATTTTGCAGCTCATTCCAGAAGGCTATGTCTTTGTAATGGGAGATAATCGGAACAATAGTTTTGACTCTCATAACTGGTAATTCTAAACTCTTAGTATTGCATTTTCTGGTAAAAAAAAACTGTTAGTATTGCATATGAATATTTAAGAAGATCATTATTCTTCAAACTGAATTGTTATATCTCTGACATGCCGATGTGGTTAACTTCTTGTGTTCAGGGGTCCACTTCCTGTCAAAAACATTCTTGGCAGATCAGTATTTCGCTATTGGCCTCCCTCCAAAGTATCCGACACCACGTTTGAACCACAAGTAGCAGACAGTGCTGTTGCAATTTCTTGACACATTGCCCTCTGTTTGCTGGGGGGAGGAGCTCAGAAGATTTTCTTCCTCTTTATCAAGTATTGAATTTGTTTACACCACTCTCTTGGTTCGTTGTTGGGCACTTTGAACGTGCTTTGGATGGATATCTTATCCGTCAGTCTGAATCTGTATGACTTTTAAACTTACGTTTGACAAGAGAGTGGAGAAAAAAAGATGAAGCTAAGCTATCATCTTGTCTGATTCATCAATTACTTTGTTCATATATGTTGGGAGGTTCAGCTGCTGCCATACATGAGGTTTTAGCACTTGTGAGAGACCAAATATCTGAAGGGAAAGATATGGCACCGCTCGTGCTGAGTGAAGGTATGATTCTGATTGCCTTTGAAGCTGGTGGAGATGATTCTTATGATGCGGTGAGATGGAGATGGTTGACGCAGATGGTTCTTTACAGGATATGCTGAAAGCCTCGGCAGATGAATTACGTTGGACTCCCTTTTCCTGTTGCCTGTAGGCTTGCTTCCAAGCATCTTTGTAATGACGTCTTTGGAGTTGGAGTTTTGCTGTTCCAACGTGCATTTTATCAAGACGCATTCTTTATCTGTGTAAATCGTTTTTGGTTAGTAATTCAGATCAACCTGCTTTTGATTGAGTTGATCGTACTATTACTATTATTTTTACTGTTGTTGTAATAAAGCCTACAGCGAAAAATGTCAATTTTAACATTATTCTGGTTTTGTTGATTATGGCTTCTCTCACCCGCATTCTCTAGTAATAAAGATCATATACTTAGAAAACTACTTATCCAGCATTACTCTGGTTTGGATTGTTCGATTTTTCAGTTTAACTGGTACAAAAAAACCAATCTGATCCAAAATGGTCACAAAACAAAAACAAATACCCATCAATCCAAATGAATTTATCTTCTAAATGGAATTTCGAAACCTTTTATTCAATTTTCAAGTTTATGAAACCTCTTCGATCCAATACCCAAAAAAAAACAAAAACAAAACTTGAAAACTGAACAGAACCAGCACAACTATATGATGAACTAATACTAGCAAAAAATAAAAAATGAAAAATAAGAAAAGCGGCAGTAAATTGCGGGAGTTTGGTATCCTATTCAAATAGGGAATTCAAAAGTTTTGATTTTTATTAAAAACAACGAGTTCTTAAATATATTTTTAAAGATTCAGAAACTTGTTTGGTATGCAACTTGAAAACTGTTTTCAAATCTTAAAAATTTGAGAACTTATGGATTATTAAAAAAAAACTACAAAAACAGATATTTTTTCATACGTAGAGCCGTGTTTATGGGTGGCCAGTCACAGGTCACAAGCCTGAATTTTGGGCCCAGAAGCCCAAAATTATCCAACCCAGTTAAAAGCACCTATGATGGGGCCCACAAACAAAAAGGCCCAAAATTATCGATGCAACTGCTTTTAGTTGTTTTTGAGTTCGAGTTTCTAAAAATAGGCTACCTAACATGTTCTCTTTATTTTGGATTCAAATTCTGTTTTTAAGTTTAAAAAGTTGAATTCATCCCAGTCATCAATCATTCATCCCAAACGTAAAACGCAAAACGCAAAACGCAAAACGCAAAATGCAGAAGCAAACATGGCAGTTGTTGTTGTGGTGGTTAAGTCGGTGGTTCAGGAGAGAGAGTGGGATGCGATCCCTTTCGCTTAGTCAGTGGTTCAAGAAACGTACAATTACAATTTACAAAGATGAGGAGGACCGGCACTCTCCTCGTCTCCCTCATCCTCTTCCTTATATTCCCTCTTCAATCAATTCTTGCTTTTAATTCTTCCACCACCCAAATCTTGCAGGTACTTCTTCCTCCTCCTCCATCTTATTTACATGATTTCTTCTCTCTTTGATTTTTAATTACGACTTTTCCTTCCCATTTTTTGCCAAATTTGAAGGATGTGTTAAAGAAAATATCGGCCAAGCACAAGTGGTATTTGCAGGACATCAGGGTTTCGAGGTTGGATGCCAGCAGGGTTCGCTTCGGGAGCGCCCAGCGATATGAGTTCCGGGTCGGATTCGGGAAGATCCCCGTAGGGGTCTTGTTCTCCGACGACGTCTCTTCCTGGAAAAAGTTCAGGCAACCCAGAACCCATTTCGGCTCTCTCGTTAAGGAGCTCAGCTCCATGGCTGTAGTTGACACCTTCAAAGTGGAGGGTCCCTTTGAGTTACGGGTCGGCGGCACCCATCACTTCTCCCTTTCATTGCCGGTACGCTCTATTTCATAACTCAGTGCTTAATTGAATCTTCAATTTCAGAGTTTTAATAGTTGCATCGATTCAATCTTCAAACTGTCTTTGAATGTTTAAATGGTGTGGTGTGTGAGCTTTTGGTCAAATTTCTGCACAAATAGCTAGCTCAAGAATTACACTTGCAATGATCTCTTAAAAGCTCAACACTACATATAGTACTGGGTTGAACAGTGAGTGTGTTTTAATACATTGTTGGCGTTTATATATTGTAGATGAACACTACATATAGTGGGTTTAAAAGGGTTCTTGTTGGTAAAGGCATCACTGTTGAAGTAAGTGGAGCTATAGAAGTCTCTGTGTTTCATGCATCTGATCTTGGTTTATCATCAAAGGGAAGTGGTGCTATTGGCAAGGAGAAAAGTGAGTTTTGGCCTATTTGGCATTCGTACTGCACACCATTATTTCCTATTCGTGTTTTAGGGCCTGCAACGTTGGTTGCATACAAGACTCGAAATCCTGATGCCCACATTGAGACCAAATTTATGTCCAAGGAGATAATTGAGTTCTTGCCAGAGAAGTGCTACAGAAGCCATGCTTACAAGAAGCGGGCTTGCCCCATTGATTCTCTACGTTCGAGGATATCTATGCTGGAAAGAATTTGGAAAAGCTTTCTTGGTGATAGAATTCGCCAAAGCGGTTTGTCAGGATTTGTTGAAGGGAAAATCAAAGCTTCAACTGTTGTCCGTTTCAAGGTTGAGCTCGAAAGGGAATTTCGGAGGAATGGTGCACTCCGGGGCAAGGCAGGATGGAGAACTAGGCCCACTGTTGAACGGGTTTGGTTTGAAGTTTTGGCAAGAGTGGAATTTGGGAGGGTGAAGCCTCTCTTGGTTAAAAAGATTAGGCCCTTCATTGCAGCAGATTCGGTTGCGTGGAGTAGTTTGATGTCCAATATTTCCTTCACCAAGTCCTCATCTGTCCTTGTACCTTCTGAGGCGCTAACGTTGGATGTGAAGTGGTAGAGTAAACATGTTGTAACGTAGTACTCTTGTTTGAGAATGTTTTACAGATTAAGGTGGCAAGGGGTTGTCTGTGTCCTTGCCCTTTCTCGGGATGATGGATGAAACAGTACATGTCAATTGGTCTTGTAAATAGATTGTTCATTGAAAAGAAACAAACGTTACACAGAAGTTTGATCTTATTTTGATTTTGACTTCATTACTAAGTCTATAGATTGTGTGTTTTTCTTTTATTTTGTATAGTTTAAAGGAAATCTTAAGCTTTGATCTTCTTTCAAATATAGAAATTAAATTAGATAATTAGAAGATAAAAAAAACCCTTTAGAGAGGAAATGGCTAGGTTTAATACAACAATGAAACCAACTTTTATAAATAATTATTGGATCTGATTACAATATTATATGCTAATTATCCGTTGAATACCACAATAAAACCTTTAATTCTAGCCTCCTTACCTAGGCTTTTACCATTTCAACCTTTCCGTTCAAGTCACGTTGCTTGAAAACTTCGACCTTTTTGTACTTGTACCAAGATGCACAGATCAAATAAGCTACAAAATTCAGTACACTCAACCCTGCCAACAACCAGTAGAAATAATTCAACTTGTCTCTGTTCAAGTTATTACTAGCCAGCCACCCTCCGCTGACTTTATTGACCACCTCCACCACCATTGAGCTCAAGAAGTAGCCAAATGCTATCGAACACCATGAGATGGCTGTGCTCAGTGACTTCATACCAGCTGCGCTCTCAGCATAGAAAAACTCCAAGAGCCCTACCAAAGTAAACATATCTGCTGCTCCAAAAATAGCATACTGCAAGCCCAGCCAAAACACGCTCATCGGCAGAGGCTCAATACTGTCCACCATGTTGTGTTCAATGGCCACAGATTTTCTGCGAGTCTCTATGAGCGCAGCAACCGCCATGGAAATAACTGAGAGCACCAACCCAACAGCGATCCGCTGAAGGTGTCGTATCCCAGTTGGAATTCCAGTGAATTTTCGAGCAATTGGCACAAAAACTCTCTCGTATATTGGGATGAGAAAGAACATAAACAGTAAAGGGATAACTGGGATTGATGGGCCGGGAATTTTGAAGCCAAGGATATGCGTGTCCATGGTATTGCTTTGTTGGACTGAGAAGGTCTGAAGCTGTGCCATGCACGTGTTCATGAAGACAGTACTGAATATGATTGGGAGCATGCGAATTAGGTGCTTTGTTTCTTCAACTTGTGTGACTGTGCACAGGTTCCAGGATCCATGAGCTTTAGATGTTGAAGAACCATCAGCAGTAGTGGCACCAAAGATTGCCGCCCGGTCCAAGAATCTGCAAAATTATATTTACTATTAAGCTTATTTGAAGTAGGACTGCAGGAGGGGGCTGGATTTCAAAGTGTAGTTATTTTGATGTACCTGAATTGATCTGTTCTCTGAAGAATTTCATTTTGTTCCCCTGCTTCTTTGTCATGGATCTCATGTAACTCATCTGCATTCTCCGGAATTGGAAGCTTTCGGTTTTTGGTAGCAGCCACAAGAACCTGAACATTCAAAAACAAAACTATATATCAATATTGAGGAACCAATAAATTTATGAGCATATATAACAGAGCAGAGTGATGCAGGGGACCAATTATTGACACAAAACTTGTGGCTACCTGTAGGATACTTAGGAGGGGGCTGCCCTTGGGAACATTGTTTCTGTACAGAGACTTTCCCATGCACACAAACACAACAGCAAAGAAGACTGCCATGGTACACAAAGCGAAGGCCAAGTCCCAGCCCCGGTTCGAGCTTATCCATACAACAACGGTGACACCAAAAATGGCTCCAATGGTGAGGCTGAACAAGAACCAGTTGAAGAAGCTCGACAACTGTGCTCCCCCGTTCGGGTCCTTCTCATCGAATTGGTCAGCTCCCAAAGCTGGTAAAGCCGACTTGACGCCGCTGGTGCCTAATGCAATTAGGTAGAGGCCAGTGTAAAGGATCGCAAGTTGGTTTGTGTCTGCAGCCTCGCATGTTTGGCCTGGTGTAACATTTTGGCATGGGAACGGTCTTAGCTGGTGGAAGTGTGCTTGTACAGTTAACAACCCAAGTCCCTGCAAATGTGGAAATCATGTAATTAAGCATAAAATTCAATTGGAGGAGTTGTTTATTGAAGCTATAGCAATTAAATGATAGAAAAGTTAACTAATAATTTTTTTCTATTGGTTTGTAAGAGGGATGGGACTGGAAAGTTGCAAATATATTAATCCGAAATATATATATATATATATATATATATATATATACAAAGTGACCTTATTTTTTATTGTTTGCATTTGATCATCAACCAGTAGCTACATGATATCTGCGTCAGCTATTATGTAGGTTGTCGATGATCTTCTGCTGACCGTTGTGGCCAAGCTTTAGAATATATATGTATAATTGTTGCAGGCCATGGCTAGGCTTCAGAAAGTTTTTCTTTGGATGAATATCTTTTAGTTATTTTGGTTGTAGTTGTAGGTACATGCAACTTGCCACTCATAGTACAAACGGACAAATAAAAAGCACATAAATTTTCAGAAGAGACAATATTTTCAAACGTAGTCTTTCGTCTAAACAGTATCAGAACGAACAGAGTAGAATTAGTAGTAACAGAATTAGCAAGTGTAAGAAAAAAATTCATCCAATTTCTGAGTTCTTCTTGTAGAAAAACGTACCAGTAATTCGATGAATCCGAAGACCACACATGTTTTGAACCTTGACCAATAGGTATCAGATATGAATCCACCAACAAGTGTTAGTATAAATGCAGTTCCCATGAAATTGGTAAGGGTGGTGGCCGACTCTGTCAAGCTCAAGTTCATATATCCATAGAAGTAAGTCACAAGACTCACAGCATTTGCAACAAATGACATGTTCTCAAGACCCTCCGTGGCTGCATGCATACATACATATGAATTTATTCACCATGCAAAATGCAGAAAATGAGTGGTTAGTGTCAATTATTTATAGTCACCCACCGTATACAAAAAGTGCAGCTCGATTTCCTCCTAGCCTTGCTGCCTGCTTAGGCTGCCCTTTAAATCCTCCGCAGATGCCCTGTTCATAATTTCAAATTAGAAACTGAATTAAGTACACTGTACATAGAACAATAGCTGCCAAATGAAAACCCCACGTCGAATATGTTAAGGAATTTTCTTAGGTCCTAAAGAAAAACAACTTTGCTGAATTGAAGGCTTACCATTGTGGTAGCAAGGAACCTAAGGTGCACAAAGAAGCCTTTTGCTTCTCAGTTTTGTGAAGGTTGACTGAGTTTGATACTAAGCTCCAGTGATCACTAGCTTTATATATAGAAACTCATGGATGCTGCTGCTGCTGCATTGACAATGCCAACAAAAAGGAACCAAGTGGCATCTTAGGGAACACTTGATTGGCTGCATTTTGTTTCTTAATTATCCAATCAGGGCATTACATTTACCATATTAGTGAGATGTGAGATATATCAGAGCTGGAAAATGTCAAACACCCAATTACCTCAATTATTGAGATGTGGAAAATTATGTTTCTTAATATGATATTAACTTCTGAATACCTTCAATGAATTTAGGCATACAATTTTTTTTTAATAGCTAACATGTTGCCCCTCTATCCAAAAGAAAAATGCTTCATTATTAGGCCTTGAATAATTAATAAAAATAGAGATGTCGACTTGTACCGAAATAATTCGCCGCAGTTTAGCGAATATAATTAGCTTAATCTTTGGTTTCCAAAAAGTCTATCAACTCTTTCACTTCGCCCTAATAGGACCCCTTCATTATATCGGCCTTTATGTTTACAAGCTACTACATAGGTTGACAATTTGCATTCCAATCACAGCATGGGCTAATTGGTATGGTAATTAAAAGGGTTCATGAGGCGGCCGGCCGGGCTGCAGGTGATTATTTCTCAGGCATACAATTTTTGCTTGCAAAGGTTATTAATTAGGTGGCCTAATTAAGCTTTGCTAGTAGATTACAGTAGTCAATCAGATTTTGCCTTGGTGATTGGAAGTAGCACATTGCTTTCTTAAACATTTGATGAAGGTTCCTAAGTACTTGGTTTAACTGATGTCCAGAAAAGCCAAAGCACACCTGAGTCATCGTAATTGATCAAAGTGCTTAATTAAATTAAGGTTTTAAATAAAGTGTTATTTGGTCAGAGAGAGGCAAGAAGTTCAATTACAATAGAAGCAAACAAAGGCTTTTGGGATTAAAGAAAGCGAGTTTGGTAAAAGGGGCACCTCAAAGCTAGTGGCTTATTTGTCTCTCTCCTAAATGGCATCTTCTTCTTTCAACTGTTGCAATTAGTTGTGTAATTAAAAGGGCTAATCTATGCTCGTGCCTTTTCCCGCATGCATGTGAAAACAAAAGGGAAGGGACACAAGATGTAGTAGCTGGTAAAGATGCCCCTTATATTGGCCATATAAATAAATCATTATATAGTACGTAGCTCTAGCTACTCCATCTGCATGCGCATACATTTATATATCCTATCAGCATACATACTATTACGTTCCTCCTAAATCAATATTTTGTTATAATTAAATTAATTAAAGCACTTTAAAAGGTGGGTATGGAAAATTTTAGCGATGCCCCTCAACTTAAGACATTCTTTCAATGTGTCCCTGAACTTTCAATATGCTTATAAAGCTCCCCTAAAAACGTAAAGACTCGAATGAAACACTTTTTTTTTTGTTCTAATGATTTCTTTTGGGTCCAATGAATAGTTTGCCGTTGGACTTATTAGTTACGAAATTCTATAGTGAGGGTGTCATATATGGACCCCTCGTGTGGACTTTCATATTAGCCACATACAATGGCAGAACTATGAATTTTTCAATAAATGTGCTAGCTAAAAATTTTAGTTTAAAATGTTTTATTTTTCTTTTTCTACTTACAATTTCTATAATTTTTATAGACGAACACAAAATGGGTGCAAGAAGAGTATTTCATTGAAGAAATCATTATAGTGTATCTTACATGTTAAGGTTCATTAGTGCAATATAATCCCACAAGTACATCCTTAGTAAAATAATCATTATCCTTGAGGTAAACCATTTCATATTTTTCCTTAAAAAAGCATACACATATAAGCGATTAACAAAGAGAACCCAATCTAATTAAAAAGACATTGGATACTCAAAAATGGCAAGTTGATGAACTATATAGGTATATTTTTATCTATATATATATATATTCAAAGAGCTACTTGGGCTATAGTGGCTGTAGCTCTCTACTTAGTTCTGCCCATGGCCACATGATCATTTCAATAAATTTAAGTGAAGTTACTATTCAGATGAATTATGTGGCTAATATGAATGTACACATCTATGGTCTATATATGTCACCCCTACCATAGAGCGACTCCTTATTAGTCACCCACCTTGCCTCCTTGAGCCATATATTATACAACGAGGAGCCATTCTATAATGAGGGTCATATCTAAGGCCCGTAGATGAGGCCCTATTTTTTTAACCGTTAGATTTTGAACCAACATGCCCCATTTGAATATAATTTTAAAGTCCAATTAGTCAACCTTTTAAGGTCTAAGCTTGATATAAGCCCACAACTTGGTCCACTTGAGAGATATAACTAAACCCACTTAGTGTAAGGGTAGATTTTATGCGCCTAAGCCCAAAAAGGAGCCCTCAGTAATCCACAACTCCAGCTTCATCACTGTCCATTACGGTGGCTATGTCGTCATCACCGCCACTATAGAAATCCTCATCATTGGTGTCATCATCATTGGCGTCAATCACGTCGAAATCGTCATCTAATTACATTTTGTGGGTTTTCTAATGAAGAGGATCAAAACCCTAAATTGGGAATCAATCCTAATTGCATTAAACTAAAGAGGGCTGGGATTGAGGTTGATTGGAGGAAGGAGAGAAATAGAGGGAGTGACAAGTATGTAAACTAGAGGAGGAGAGAGGGTGAAATTGGCAATTTAATTTATTTAAGAAGTATAGCCGCGCAGCTATACTATTTTAAAATAAATATATTTGGATATTTAAATAGTTTAGCCGAGCAACTATACTTTTTAAATATATATTCTTTTCAAACAATATAGCCCTAAGTCTCTTTCCCTCTCCCGCCTTATTCTATTCTCTTTTCGCTATCTCCCAAACGACATGTTCACCTCACCAAACCAACAACAACGATGACAATTCCTCACTCTGCCAACTCCACCAATTGTAGCTTAAGATCACTTAGTTAGGTATTTATGCCCACTTGAAGCTTTATTTTTTTAGTAAAAGAATTTTAGTTTTGGGCCAAGGATAGATGTTCTTGTCGATGAGCCAGTGTGACGAGGCGGGTCAAGGCCCTATTTCAGAAGTTAAAAGAAGCGGTCGAGTTGTGACTGGCGTATGGCTGGTAACTCCACGTCAGAGTACTTGATCTCTTGAATTATGGGGAGGAGCTCTTGGACGAAGGATATGAGGTTGTCTGCATTTCCCTTGCTGAGCCATGACTTTCTTGAGATGGCTATCATTGTCTTTAGAAGCTCCGTCACGATCTCACTGGCGAAGATGTCTATCACTGCCATTACTAATCGCTCTAAGCATGTGGCGGGGGAATTTGGTAAGTTTGAGTTTGAGAGGAGGTTGCTTCTCTGTTTGAGAGCTTAGTAAGCTTTTTCATTTACTTATTTATTCTTTTAATCTTGTTTGATATTGTGACACGTTTTGGCAGAGGTTACTACCTAGTCAACTAATTACAACTTTGCTAGTAGATTACAGTCAATAAGATCTGGGCTTGGTAATTGAAATTAGCACATGCTTTCTTAAACATATAAAAGTGAAGGCTCGAGGTAAGGTAAACTTTACACAAAATAAATGTAGATTTTGCAAAGACCCAATAGTGTAGTAGTTTGGAGTCGTTGCTTCTCTAGGTAAGATTATGAGTAGGGGTATGCACGATTTGGGTTGGACTGGTTTTTGCCTCAAATTAGAACAAATATGGTACTATTCATCCGGTTTGGTTTTAATAAATAAAAAATAAAAAACTGTCCAGTTATGGGCCGGTTCGATTTGGAACCGGATTTTAAAAAATTATTTTTTAATACAATTCTCAACTGAAATATTATGTTTTTTACTTGAAAATTAACAAATTATTCAATTTCATATAAAAATAAATATTGAAGTTAGAAAAGAGAGATATTTTGAAATTGAACTTGGATAAATATTAGTTTTTTTTTTGTTAAATTCAAAATATAGCATTAAATATAAATATATATTGAAATTATATATTTTTTAATTTGACCGGTTCGGTTTGGCCCGATCCAGTTTTTGAAGACATGGAACCGGATCCAAAATTGATCTAAACTGGTCTGGTTCGATTTTTGATCGATTTTTGACTTTTTGGTCAACTCGATTTTTTTCGGGTTTAGTTCAGTATGGTTTGGCTCGAATTACCAATTTGCCGATTTGAATGCTCACCCCTAATTATGAGTTTGAGTCCTAGCATTCATATAGTTAGGTCCAACCACATGGTGTGTGGACTGGGTGAAGGCATATGGCCCCCAAAAAAATGGGGCCTCCTACCCACCTATAGTCCAATAAGTATACTAGCAAAAAAGGCATTTTATGTGTGAAATTAAGGCTTTTTGGGCTTTATTTTGAACTTTTTTGGGTCTTTTTCTTTATTTTTCATATAATGGGCCTTTTTTTTATATGGGATAATTTCATTTTTGGTGGTTAGAGTTGAATTTAATTTTGGTCATTGAAATTTCAATTTTCCGATTTTGCTCACTATATTTACAGCTGTTAGCAAATCATGTATAATGTTTTAATTCCGTGAGTTTCATTAATAAAAAAGAAGAAGTTATATTATAAATAAATAAATAAAAATAAACCTTCTTCACCTTCCCCCGCCACTGTCCCCACCCAACCCCAACCACTGTCTTCCTCCATTCCTCTTTCTTTCTCTTCACCTCTTCTCCTCTCTCGATCTCTCTCCTGCAAAATCTAGCATAAGTTGAAACAAAACTTCGATTAGCAGTATTTCCAAATGCCTTGTGTTGAAACTCTACTCATTGATATCAAAATTTTAATATAATCCAATTAAATTGGCATCAACCGTTATGACAATGCCACAAAGAGATCTTCTTTCCAAACATCAATTCAAACTCAAACATAAATCTACCAAAACCCTTTTCTCTTCTGCATTTAAAATACCATCTTAAAGAATTTATCATTACTACTCAAAATGTTGACGCAATTGAGCAGAATTCCCGTGAAACATGCATGTACAACTCAAAATTTGTGAAAATAAGTAAGACCAACCCAAATATCCAAGTAGCCACGAAATCAATAAGAACTCAGAAACACAATCACAAAAAGACAATCTTTAAAAAGAAAATGAAGACAAGAATTCAAATTCAGATCAATAAAGCAGTAAATAAACTTAATTTGTGGATAAAATCACTTTGTCCCATTCAAAGAAATGGATCTAAAAGCCAAAAAAGCAGAGCAAAGAGCGAGAGAGAGAGAGAGAGAGAGAGAGAGAGAGAGAGAGAGAGAGAGTAACCTTAGGAGAATGTAGCAGGAAAAACTGGGATAGGAGACTTAGGGCGCGATTCAAATCTATGCGGTGCGGGAGCCTGGTTTTAGCTCGTAAAAAAAAAATATTAATTAATTAATAAAATGGACGGAATTGAAATATTGGACATAATTTGCTTACAGCTGCAAATATAGCGATGAAAATCGAAAAATTGAAATTTTGTTGGTCAAAATTAAATTCGACCCTAATCCTAGTGACCAAAAATGTAATACACCCTTTTTTTATATACTTAAAACTAACATACTTACCACCTAAGTTTTAAACATTTTATTATAATTTTTGATCAAAATGAGGTAAGTGTTAAACAAAAAGGCCTCATTTTTATTTTTGCCCAAGACCTCAAAAATCAATGAACTGATCATGCGTTTAGTGTATGTGAGTTTAGTATATTACTGCTCATCTCAATTGGTAAAGTCCTTAAAAAAAAAGTGAAAGTAGGTTTTCATATGCACATGGAACTTGGGACATTCTTTCAATTCTGCCAATGAACTTTCCATATGCTTATAAACTCCCCTCAAAAGGTAAAGACTCAAATGAAACAAAATTCTTTGAAATTTTATTTTATATATGATGATTTCTTTTGGGTCCAATAAATACGTTGTCTTTCCGCTGCACGCCATATATGGAGAAATAAAAAGCCCAATTAGTCAACAGGTCAAGGTTTAATTTTAAGGGACATTTTAGAAAAAGCAAATATTGTAATTGTAATAAGCCCACTGAATTATCAGTTTAGTGTACATCTTACGCAACCAGGCCCAAAAGAGAGCCTCATCCAACCGATACCGATTCGGGACCTGCACCACAGGTTATCCTTTGTTGTCTTTCTCCCCTGTCGGCACCGACACGGAGGCTTGAACTTCTACATGCTAATAAGCCTTTCCGTCTCGTATAGGCTGGAAACAATCGCAATAACATCCGATCAAACGCACAGCAACAATGGATCTAAGAGAAAGCATCCGCAACCAGAACGAAGTAGCTTTGGGACTGACCAAGAAGCTACTTCAGACTGAGGGCAAGGAATCGAACCTGGTCTACTCGCCGCTGTCCATCCACGTGGTGCTCAGCCTGATCGCGGCCGGGTCGGAGGGTCCCACCCAGGACCAGCTCCTCTCCTTCCTCAGGGCCAAGTCCACAGATTACCTCAACTCCTTCGCCGCCGAGCTCGTCTCCGTCATCTTCTCCGACGGGTCCCCCAGCGGTGGGCCTCGCTTGTCATTTGCGAATGGCATTTGGGTCGACAGGTCTCTCCCTCTCAAGCCTTCTTTCAAGCAGGTGGTGGATACTGCTTACAAGGCAGCTCTCTCCCAAGTCGATTTTCAGACCAATGTAAGCTCCCTTGCCCCTATACCCGTCGTGGGTTTTGGTCACTGGCTTACAATAAAATGGAAGTCTCCAGCTTTTTTTTGCTGCTGCTGATGCTCTGTCCTACTTTTTTCATTTAATCTCCAATTGCAGCAAACTTTAACTAATTTTTTGCTACTTAGCCTGTCTGTGTTCATGCTAATAAGCAAATTCCATTATGAAATCTTATCACCAATTTCTTAATTAGTGTGGTTTTGCTTTTGCATAGCCTTTGCCCTTATGAAATCTTATTACGGACTGTTTGCTAATTAGTATTCGTGCTGGTAATATGATTAGTCAAAAGACCCTTGGGATCGCACAATTGCTGGTCTATAATTCCTCTTTTCGTTTTATAATTATAATATGTAATTTATTGTTGAGGTAAATGATTGACATTCTAGAATGGGTCGGTTTTGATTGGCGGGACTGGCAAGCAACACGATCCTACTAGTTAGTTACTTGCAGAAAACAATCCATTAATTGCACTTTGTATATGTGTGTGTGTGTAAAGTATGATAGAATGATAAAATTCCTAGGGGGTAAAAGCACTCCATAATGAGTTCAATTGCCCTTTTTTTCTGCCTTTCTCATTTAGTTAGTAGAATGATTGTTTCAGTGGGTTTTTATTACTGAAACAATAAGTATGCTGATAGCAATATTTCATAAATTATTGTTCTTGGTGCCCAAGGCTGCTGAAGTGACCTCTGGAGTGAATTCATGGGCTGAAAAGGAGACTAGTGGCCTTATCAAGGAGATACTTCCTCCCGGGGCAGTTGACAGCTCAACCAGGCTCATCTTTGCAAATGCATTATACTTCAAAGGAGCTTGGAACGAGAAGTTTGATGCATCAACAACAAAAGAGCATGACTTCCACCTTCTCGACGGGAGCACAGTTAAGGCACCCTTCATGACCAGCAAGAAGAAGCAGTTTGTAAGTTCCTACGATGGTTTCACAGTCTTAGGGCTTCCTTACAAACAAGGTGAAGACAAGCGGCGTTTCTCCATGCATGTCTTTCTTCCAGAGGCAAAAGATGGGCTGCCATCTTTGGTCGAGAAACTCGGTTCTGAGTCCGGGTTTTTGGATCGCCATCTTCCCAAGCAACAAGTTGAAGTGGGTGAATTCAAACTCCCGAAGTTTAAGATCTCTTTCGGGTTTGAAGCTTCCAATGTTCTGAAGGGTCTAGGAGTGGTGTTGCCTTTCAGTGCTGGAGGTTTGACAGGGATGGTGGACTCTCCTGTTGGTCAGAACCTATATGTTTCCAACATATTCCACAAGTCCTTCATTGAAGTGAATGAGGAAGGAACGGAAGCTGCAGGTTCTTCTGCTGGTGTCATAAACTCGAGGAATCTGCCCATAACCATCGACTTTGTGGCTGATCATCCATTCCTCTTCCTGATCCGAGAAGAATTGACTGGAACGGTCTTGTTCATCGGTCATGTTCTAAATCCCCTTGCAGACTGATTGTTATTATAACATCTCCTGTACTAAGAGGAAATGTGTAGGTACATCAACACCAGACTTTAGTATTAAAAAAATGTATGTTCATGTGCTGTATTTTGTTATTACCTAATTACCCGTACTCTCAGTAGTAGCCTTGTTTCCCATGTGGCTGGCGATTGTTGTTGGTTCTGCTGCCATGGCTTCAATCTATTGTAGAATCTTGATTCCAAGTACTTATTTTATGATGTACTCTGTTTGACAAGAAGCTTTAGCTGAAACTGAGTGATGGTTTCCACAATTTTGGTTTAGTGCTAACTATCAGTCCTAAGTTTGACATTTACAAAATAGTACCTTAGTTGAGTCAAAAACATTTAGAAACACATGTTTCTGATCCGAGTTTGAGGTGCTTGCTTTGTTTGTCTTGTCTTAAAATTTTCACAATATCTGAATCAAATTTCCAAGTATAATGCTTGATTTTCTATTTTGGATACTTTTATTTTCCTTTCTTGTCTGCTTGATTACGTTTTTTTTTCAAATTTCTTGTCTGCTTGATTATGATCTGTTGAATTGTTGCTATTAATTATTTTGGTGTAATTCGGGTTATGGTCCAGCATTTTCCCGCTTTCTAATCACGGCCATCTTCTTCTTTCTTATCACTTCCACTCCACTTCCTCCACCGTCAGTCAGCATGCTATTATATTAGCAAGCAAGAGAGAGGATTGAAATTTATCATAAAATTTATGCCTAAACGAAAGAACCTCCTACTAAATTAATCAAATGAAACAAAGCTTTAAAAAGACACCCCAAAAAAACAAAAAAAAGGGGTTGTTTTTTGCTCCGATGAATAGTTGCGGTCGGACTTATTTTAGTCACCTTGCTTTGTCTTGCCTTACCTCGCCTCTTGGCGCACAAGCAACACGAACCCAATTAGAATTAGTCATCAGTTAATGTGGTGCATTCGACAAAATAAATATACGTATATTTTAAGCAGCTAACAATCGAAATGTCTTCCCTTCCCATCCGAAAAATAAGGCAACAATGGATGATCTAATGAGAGAAAGCATCCGCAACCAGAACGACGTCGCTTTGGGGCTCAACAATAAGCTACTTCAGACTGAGGGCAAGGAATCGAACGTGGTCTACTCCCCGCTGGGTCCAAGCTGCTCTCCTTCCTCAAGTCCAAGCCCGCCGATCACCTCAACTCCTTCGCCGCCGAGCTTATCTCCGTCATCTTCTCCGATGGGTTCCCCAGCGGTGGGCCCCGCTTGTCATTTGCAAATGGCATTTGGGTCAACCGGCCTCTCCTTCTCAAGCCTTCCTTCAAGCAGGTGGTGGACACTGCTTACAAGGCCGCTCTCTCCCAAGTCGATTTTCAGACCAATGTAAGCCCATGAAATGAAAGTCTCTTAACTTTTCTTGCTGCAAGTCTTGGGGACTCTATCCTTCTTGCTTCATTCAAACTCTCATTGCAACAAGAAGCAGCAAATTTTAACTAATTTTTTGGTAATTAGCCTTGTGTTTTCATGTTAATATGCTGCTAATGCCATTATGGCATTATGCAATCAATCTTATCACAGATTGTTTATTGATTTGGAAATTGCCTTTTCATTTAGTTAGTAAAGCAACTGTTCGTTAGTGGGTTTTTCTTAAAGAAATAATATAAGAAGTATGCTGATAGAAAGCAATATTTTCTAAATGGAGTGAAGCACAGTTAAGGCGCCCTTGATGGCCAGCAAGAAAAAGCAGTTTGTTTACCAAATTACCTGTACTCTCGCAGTAGTCTTGTTTCTCATGTGGCTGGCGATTGTTGTCGGTTCTGCTGCCATGCCTTTAATCTATTGTAGAATCTCGATTTGGAAAACTTATTTTATGCTATACTCTGTTTGACAAAAAAGCTTTACCGATGGTTTACAATCTCGGATCAGTCCTCCTAAGTTGGCAATTACAAAAACAGTATCTTAGTTGAGACAATTTCATTTCTAGGCACATGTTTCTGATCCGAGTTTAACGTGCATTGCTTAAAATTTTCACAATTTATGAATCAAGTTTCTAAGGATAAACGAGGTGTGTCTTTCTTTGAGGCCCTTAGCTCGACAAAACCTTATGTACTCCTGTTGCATCATTGTCCCTTTCTTCCGAGAGAGGAGGAAAAAAAAACAGTTAAGTGTGAAACATTGAAAAAAGGAGAGTAGGAAAGTCGCTTTCATAGGATTTGAAAAAAGACATATAGATTATTATATTTTTGCTTGATTTTTTATTTTGGATGTATATACACATCACATGTATGGTTGATTACTGATGTACATTATTTAGTACATGAAAAAGTTGTCGATTTAAAAAAAAAACACAACCTTCAGCTTCTGCCGACCTCGTCTCGCTCCAACGGACGGCGTGGGTTTCACGTGGCTGGCGCGAAATTTTAAATCCCTATAATGTTAGTTGTCATGTCACGACCCTCACCCCATGCAATGCTGCACAATGTCACATGTAGGCATGATTTTGTTCCAATATTACAATGGTACCCCAGAGGAACACAATCTTGGGGAGGATTTTAAGCAAAGTGAAAATTACTCATGATAATCATAATTTTGTTGAAATTTTACATTTTCTAAATACGATTAGACAGTCGGATAAGGCAGGACCTACAATATGATTAGACATCGGCTGCTGGTCGGGTGGTGACTCTCCCCTGTGCTACCGAAAGTGTTTGCCTAACAAATAATATTAATTTCATTAAACGGTTAACGTAATGAAGACAATTATCAAGGTGGTCGAAATCTTCAATCTTTCATAAGATAAGTATGTCTGGAAAACTACACCACAGAACCAAAAGGAGAAACCAAAAAAGGAGGAAAACGAAATGAAGGAATTGGCTTTTTGTTCATGGAATGGAAGAATCATCCCCCGGCCCCAGCTGAAAAAGAAAACAAACGGAATGGCATAATCGTTAATACGAGAAAATGAAATGTTAATCTGGGAAAGTGAAAGGTTGTAACTCTCGTAATAAGTAGGTGGAAGTTCCTCGAAGAGAGTTAAGACGCACGCGTTCTGTTCTGCCCATCCCCTAAAACAGTTAATGGTTATGCTCCTCGGTACACGCCAATCATAACGTAATCTAATCTCCTCACATGAGTTCAGAGCACTCACCCTCTCTCTCTCTCTCTCTTCCCACGAGTTCTGATTTTCGTTCTGGGTTCCTTGTACTTTCTTAAGAGTTTAATTCAAAAGGAGCTTTCTATTTATTTTTTTATTTTTCTTGCTTGGAAGATACCAATACAAAGACTTTCTCTTTCTTTAAGCAGAAAAAGAAAAGACCCCCTTCCAATCTCATTTCCTTTTGGTTTTTTCCGTTATTTGATCGTGTCGGTGATTTACAGCAAGTACTAGTTGTTAAACCAAGAAGAAGAAGAAGAAGCTGACGCTTCAGAAATTCAAAAGGAAGAAGAAAGGAAGTGAAAGAGTGAACAAAAGCAAATCAAAAGATGGGGGAAACAGGTCACCACCACCAGCAGCAGCCTCCGCCAGTACTGGTGGCTCCTCCGCGATCTCAGATGCCTCTTGGGGCGGCAAGGGGTCCCATTTGGACTCCAACTGAGCAACTCCATCAGCTTCAGTTTTGCATCCACTCCAACCCCTCTTGGCGTTAGTCTCTCTCTCTCTCTCTCTCTCTCTCTCTCTCTCTCTCTCTCTCTCTCTCTTGTGTCTTCTTTCTGGGTTTTTGACAAATTTTCTTCCCACTTAGATTGCTGTATTCTATATTCTTTGAAATCCTGCAGGAAAAAGCTGGTTATTGGTGAAAGTTAGCTTCTTTTTTAATGGTTGGGTTTAAAATTAGAAGTGCATGCTTTTGGTATTGGTATTACTCTTTTAGTTTAGTAGTTGCATGTCTTAATCAGTGTGTTCGTGTTGTGGATTTTAAAGAATTGTTTATGTCATTTCTTGTGGGTTTAATTCTTTCCTAATTTGCAGCAGATCGCTTTTACCATATTTGGTTCCGATTCTCTCATCTATTCTGTTGTGTTCGAATCTATTAGTGCAACGGATGTTTCATTGCCAATTTCAAGTTATCCTGCTTAGCAGAATAGAATACGATGTTACTTTAAAAATATTTTAAGAAGTTGAACAGCAAATTTCCCCTGTTATTCCTATGATATGTTTTGGGATCAACTGCCATAACTAGATGTTTGCCTTTTGCAGCGGAAACATTCCTACTGGCTTTTCAGCACTATATCGTTATGCTTGGATCCATAGTTATAATTGCAAGTACTTTTGTGCCTCGTATGGGTGGGGATCATGTAAGTTATGTCCTGTATATCATAAAGATTATAATATATTAGTGATCACACACTTAGCTTTGATCTTAGTGTTCTGACCTTTATTCTCCCTTTGAACAGGGTGATAAAGCCCGCGTGATTCAGACGATGCTGTTTATGGCAGCAATAAACACATTGCTTCAAACAATCCTCGGGACAAGGCTTCCAACAGTGATGACTGCTTCATTTGCTTTTACCCTGCCAGTGCTGTCAATCATCAATGATTATTCTGATCGGACTTTCAGAAGTGAACATGAGGTATGCAAAGCTCAAAACATGTTATTCAAAGAGGATAAATCACACTTTTGTATCGGCATCCGTGGTTTCGGAGCAATTTGACTTTAAAACTTTGAGACAGAATATCTGAATGATCAACGTGTATGATTGCAGAGGTTTGAGGTCACAATGAGAACGATTCAAGGGTCACTTATTGTTTCTTCCTTCGTCAACATCTTCCTTGGATTTAGTAAGGCATGGGGGAACTTTACAAGGTTCGTAATCATTATCTTGAGAGTGATGGCTAGAAGCCTACACTTGAAGTTCTATCAGGTCTTCATTATCCTTATTTTCTAACTATTGTGGCTTTTATTTTTCTCCTCTACCAGATTCTTTAGTCCCATTGTTATCGTGCCAGTGGTTTGTGTGGTTGGTCTTGGTCTTTTTGCAAGGGGCTTTCCACTTGTAATGTCTTCGATAAAACACTTCATTGCTTTCATGACATTCATAAGAATAATATCAAAACCATTATCTCACTCTCTGATGTTCTACACAGCTTGGTAACTGTGTGGAGATTGGCCTGCCTATGCTGATTGTGCTGGTCATATCCCAACAGGTAATTAATTTTATCCAATCCGCCACGTTTTGTTCTTAGTCTATATCCTTCATAAGTTTAACGAGACTATGTTGTTTTGGCAGTATCTGAAGCGTGTTTTTCCTAGAGCCCATAACATACTTGAGAGGTTTGCTTTGCTTCTCTGCATTGGGCTTATCTGGGCATTTGCTGCTATCCTCACTGAGTCTGGTGCTTATAACAATGCTAAAGAGCAGACTAAACAAAGTTGCCGTACAGATCGCACTTTCCTTATATCATCTGCTCCTTGGTATGTACAGATATCAGGGCTCTCTACTTGTGTAACAGAGTTAATAAATTCTCTTCAAAAGAATTTTCCGTTTCCTGATACATTGTTGATATTGTTGTTTCAAATGAAGGATTAGAATCCCATACCCATTTCAATGGGGTAAACCCATATTCAGAGCGAGCCATGTCTTTGGCATGATGGGAGCAGCACTTGTTACATCTGCAGAAGTTAGTATCTATTCTATTGACCCAATTTATTTAAACATCTCAAACATTTTTGGCATTTATACTGCCCAAGGCTCTTTTGACCTGCTTCACCTTTTTATGCACTTAGATATAGTACTATACTACTATGCACATTTTTTTATGGGTTAAATAATATTCTGTTGCAGTCAACTGGAACATATTTTGCAGCAGCACGGCTTGCAGGTGCTACGCCCCCTCCAGCAAGTGTAATAAGCCACAGTATTGGCCTGCAGGTATTGCAAATACTCATGCTGCTCCTTCCTCCCTCCCCTCACCCGTACGATGTATCTGTAAATGCTTTAATAGAACTGAAAAGAAACCCTATCAGACCAAAAAGAAACCCTATATTGCTGAACAGTTAGATAATATGTGGTTCTATTTCTTTATGTTCAAATGCAGGGTGTTGGAATGCTGCTTGAAGGAATTTTTGGTGCTGCTGTTGGTACAACTGCATCTGTGTAAGAAAGCAAACCCTTTTTACTTTGACATATCCGTTTCTAATGAAGATTAGGAATTTACATGTGGCTCTAAATGATGTTGCAGTGAAAATGTTGGCCTCCTTGGATTGACACACATAGGGAGCAGGAGAGTGGTGCAGATTTCAACTGCTTTCATGTTCTTCTTCTCTATATTTGGTTTGTTCTGTCCTACCATTTTGAAGTGTACTAAAGACATTCCCTGTGTTTACCTCATTGTGTTTGATAATGTTAATTTGTGCCTTTCAGGGAAGTTTGGTGCTTTCTTTGCATCTATTCCTTTGCCGATATTTGCTGCCATATACTGCGTGTTATTTGGGATTGTTGGTGAGTGATTCTGTTACCATTTTTTCAAATGTTCATTTATCATGAAAATTCTTACCTTTGTTTCCTCTATCTGCAGCTGCTGTTGGGATCTCGTTCATGCAGTTTGCAAATAATAATTCCTTGAGAAACATCTATGTTTTGGGTCTTTCCCTGTTTCTTGGGATATCAATACCTCAATACTTTATCAGTAACACGACTCCAAACGGTGTCGGACCAGTTAGAACAGATGGAATATGGGTAAGTTACATAGACAATAGGCTGAAACTCTCTCTCTCTCTCTCTCTCTCTCTCTCTCTGTGATGATGATGACGGTTTTGTTTATCTGAAATACTACATCATTTTGATGAGTGCAGTTTGATGACATAGTGAACACAATCTTCTCGTCGAGCCCGACAGTGGCAATAATCGTCGGGACGCTGCTTGATAACACACTTGACGCCAAGTACTCAGTTGATGACAGAGGGCTTGCATGGTGGAGACCCTTCCAAAGCAGGAAGGGAGATTCTAGAAATGAGGAATTTTACAGTCTACCTGTTAGGATACGCGAGTACATTCCCTCCAGATATCTGTGAATGTAGTACACAACATGTGTATATACTATGAGCATATTTGTTGTGTTTATGTGCATGACATTGAGGCTTGTTATTAATTATATATATAAACATAAATCCCACTTGCCCCTTGAATTTTTTTTTTTCTGTTATTTTCTGGGTAATTGAAATAACCGATAGGGAACAAGCCCATAGGGCAAGAAAACAGAAACCAAACAAAAAGCACATTGCCCCTTTGCTCCATTTTCAATTCTCCATGATCTGATGAAAGTAGTGGTGAGATAATGATGAAATCCATCAGTGCCAATCTTAATCACCAGTGATCTTAATTAATATCGTGTACCACTAACTTTTGTTTGTAACAAAAACAACAAAACTATAAAGGAAATGTTACCTGGCCAGATTTTATATCATCAATATATTGTATAATCTATAATGTTAGTCGTCGAAGACCAAGAATGTGAATGCTCCAAAGCTTCAGCGACTACCATTCACTGAAAACCAAGCTTGGAATTGACTAAAGAAGCGTGGGTTCCATCTGTCATGGCTCCCACACGTTTTCTCTCTTTCTTCTCAATACGCGTTGCGTCGGCTGCTAATCTAAAACCCAAATCATAAAAAGAAGAAATAAAAAAACAACAATAATCCAAAAATCTACAATTTTTATACTGTCACTAAATTTGACTCAATTTAAGTTAAATTTGACTCAATTTAAGTTATCTCCATGGCCTGATGGATTTATCATTTATTATCATTTTGATGAGCTAAAATGATGTTATGGGATAGGTGGGATGAGGGTAGACTAATTCAAAGAGCCATGTAAGCTCCCGAAAAAAAAAAAAAAAAAAACAAAACCAAGAAACGTGAACTATTATTCAATATTCCAAATTTCTTGTCCTAACTTTTGGCTTCATGCTAAGTTACTTGTGAGTTAAGTCACTCTGTTTTTACCAAAAAAAACAGTCACTCTGTTGCTCCCTAGCCGCCTATCGTAAGGATGCTGACGGAAGAAATTGACAGCACTTGAACGACTTATGAAGTCTTGAAAGATGACAGAAACCAAGTTTCTACTTTACATGGTGGACAAGTTATTTACAATTTACATAAAGTAATAATACAAAGATACAGCCAAATATTGGTACAATTTGTTCACTCGTCAAGCCAGTCCAGATCGAAATGTCTCTCTGCTACCTGAACAAGAAGGTCCGGCAATGCCTTCTCTGCATCTCTCCACAGCCCAGACATCTCTTCATGGCATACTACACGACGCAGAGAATGTAATGTTGTAGCAGATTTTGGTAGGTTCCTGATTTGTGAACACTCCCTCATGTCAATCTTTTCCAAATTTGCTAACTTACCAATGCCTATGGGAAGGCACCTCAAATTAACACATTGGGAAATGTCTAGGTATTTCAAAAAAAGTAGCTCACAAATGCCAGCAGGAAGCGTCTGCAGTGCCGGACATGCATATAACCTTAGGATTTGCAGAGATTTCAGCTTATCCAGATCAGTTGGCAGTTGGTATAGGCTGTGGCAGTTGGTTATGCTCAGGTACTTGAGCAAATGCATTTCACAAATGCATGAAGGCAGCTTGAATAAATCGTCACAATGATCGATTGTGAGTTCCATTAGCCGAGGAAAGGCTGATTGATCAAGGCTGTTACTAATCTTGCATAGGATTATTGAAAATTTCCTCAAAATTTTCAGGGGGGTGGGGGATAATTGAGGGACCGAAACTTTTTCAAGCCAGAGGGTTCTCAACTTAGGCAGAATTGACAACACTGAAAACCCATGGAGGGTTGCATTTGATGTACTGTAATTCATTATTATCAATGCCCTCAGCTTTGGCATGTCGGCAATGAAGGGAGGTAAAAGGTACTCGTTGGAGGCAAAATTCAAAATGAGCACTTCACATTTAGGGAACTCCATCTGGAACCAGTCCATCTCTTTCATTTCACCTATATTGTAGAGTGATAAATTGTTTTAGCTCGGGTCGAAAGACTTGTAATAAACAACCTTAAATTTAATCAAATAGGATCATTCAGGACATGGTAATACCTGTATGAATTGATACCATCCTGGCATTAAATGGCTGATCTGAATACCTGTCCCATTCTCTTGGAAGTTCTTCCTCTCTTCTTGCCATAAGTAATCGACTGCGATTATTTACGCAGTCATCATCGCTCAAATGAAGAGCGAGGTCCCTCAGCACATCATGCTGTGTAACAGAGATGTCATAGAAACTGCTATATATATCTCCATCTCTACAACATTAACACAAACAAAGCGTTAAAAACTCAGATTCATTAAGCATTAAACATTAAACAGAATGTATTGGCAACATTAATACCTTGCATCTTTCACCAGGGTAAGGAGATTCTTATCTGAAAGCTCGGCAACAATAGCCAACGCTCCTTCTTCATTAATACCCTGTGTTTCAACCCACATGTTGGTAAGCAGATCAAGAGGGATCTTCTTGTCTTCTGGAAAGGCACCCAAGTCCAAGAAACATTCCTTAACTTTTCGGGGTAAGCAATTCACACTTATTGCCATCCGTTGAAGTAGATTGTTTTCATGGGACTCACAAATAGCTTCTCCTCGTGACAACCTGCTCCTTGCATTTGCCCAATACCATTCAGGCTGGTCCCTTAATGAAGCTCCAATCACTTTAAGAGCCAGTGGAAGTCGCTTACACTCGTTAACAATCTAAAGTTGAAGCAAATAATCAGCTAACAGTTTAGAGAAGAGAAAAAAGGCAACGTAGAGAACCCACTTTAATTAGTGGAAAATGGAGAGTAATTGTAAGAGCGTACCTGCTTCACCAAATTTTTATCAGCAGCAGGAGGAACTGACTTTTGGCCAAAAGCAGAGTGGCAAAACAGAGAGAGGGCTTCATCTTCCTTTAACAACTCCACGTCATAAGTGGCATCTATAACTTTTGGGAATTTGAAACGTGAGACTACAAGTATCTTGCAACCGGGAATTTTAAAGAGCAGTGGCTCAAGCTCTGCGAGTGACCACACATCATCCAAAACCACCAGAGTTTTTGTTACATTAAGCCACTCATATTGCAGATTCCATTGAGGAAGCACAGAAGTAGGACTCAAAATTTGGTTCCCCATAATAAATCCCACAATCTTCGCTTTCAGTTGCTCCACATTTGGAGACTGTGACACTGTCAGGAACAAAATTCTTTCCTGGAAGTACGCTGCATGGCACGCAAATGGTGATAAACCAAAAACAGAGTCAGTGTTTGATTAGAAATTCTAAAGAACCCATTAAAGAAAACTCAAATTCTAGAGAACCCATTAAAGAATATACTGAAAAAGAAGCAAAAGAAGAAAAAGTTGGAAGCTTTAATTACTCACATCTAACTTGATCATCCTTGCAAAGCTCTCTAGCAAGAGTGGTTTTTCCAGAGCCTCCAATCCCACAAATCCCAACAACCCTCAAATCCTCTCTCCCAAAAATCATCTCCTTCACCTTCTTCATCCCCAAACCCAATCCCAAAACCAATGAATTGCTGATCTCCCACTTCATCTTCCCCTCCTCTTCCACCCTCCTCACAGCCTCTTCCATCCACCCGCCGCCGCCGCCACCACTACTACAAGTTCCAATCTTTAAAGCCCCAAGCCGCTGCTCCAGCCGCTGGTTCCCTTCAAACCGGTCGAACCGCTGAGCAGTTTCAGACCTCATATGGTGCACGTCAGCCAATATATGGGCCTGCAATGGGCCCTGCATGAATCTGGACACCGTCTTCTCAAGCTTCTCCATCTTCTTGGCCAAGAGGAGGTTCTTGTAGACGTTCCAGCGTGGGGAGGCGAGGACCTTGTTGGCCAGCTCGAGGCCCTGTTTCAGAACTTCGGAGAAGCGATCGAGCTGGAACTGGCGTGTGGCTGGTAGCTCCACGCCAGAGTATTTGATCTCGTGAATTATGGGGAGGAGGTCATTGATGGAGGTTATGAGGCTCTCTGCAGTTCCTTTGCTGAGACATGACTTTCTGGAGATGGCTAAGAGGGTCTTCAGAAGCTCCGTCACGATCTCTCCGGCGAAGAAATCTGTCACTGCCATTACTAGTTGCTACGAGTCTGGCCGTGTGGCGGGTGAGTTTGGCAAATGCGAGGCAGCTTCCCAGTTCGAGCTTCCTAAGTTTTTCTTTATCGTGTTTGAAATTATGACATGACATGGGAAATGCTACTAATTAGTCAATTAATTATTTAAAAAAGAATGGAATTTATAATAAAAAAATTTGACTCTGTTTATTAATTTATTATGTCTACAATGCATGCACTGAGCCTAATCAAAGACTTCGAAGTCAATGAATACCACTTTAATTACTTTTTGAAAGATGCAATAATGGAAGGTAGTTGATTACTTTTTACGGCCAATTATATGTCTTGTTTGCTCCATGACTTTCTTTGTAGGACCTCCATCTTTTGGTCAATCCGATTTGATTGACTTTGGAAGAGCTTGCTGCTTCTAGACAGAAAACACAGCAGTGAGTAGTTTTTAGATGCTTGAGAGCTTGCTCCATTCCTTTGAGTTTCGATAAATCTGATGATTTGAGGCTTACCATCCTCTGATTGATACTCATCCTTAAGTTTTCTTAATTAGTGACTGATTCAGAGAGTCATCTATTTTTTTTTTTTTTTTTTTTTTTTTTTTTTTTTGGGGTGTGTTTGTCTAATCCAGACTCTAAAAAGGACTCTGTTCCAAAAAAAAAAAAAAAAAAAAAAAAAAAAAAAAAAAAAAAAAAACAAGTTGACGAGAAGGACAGGATGGTCATTTTGTTGGTCAATAGAGGAGAATCACCACTAGAGTGTACAGGGTGCAAGAAACAAGCATCATTGATCTGCTCTCTCATCTTCAACATCATGAAACAAATGAGATAAATTCACCAATATACGATGGTCAAATTTATCTTGTTTATAGTCATATACTGTAATTTTCTAACCAATCCTTAAATATATGCTCGTTCTAATACCATAAGCTTTTGAAAATAAAAGAATTACAAGGACTTCTATACATTCCGAATTTTTGTATGCAAATATGTTTTTGTCAAGACCTTTACAGAACACAATCGTTTACAATTTGTCTACACCCTTGACTGATGGACCTCATACGGTAGCGATCCATGTCAATCAACAAACCCACTTGTGCGCTATCTTTCTTCTTCACTTTCTTACTCTTCTTTTTTTTTATCCCCCATCAAGTATTTGATGTACTTTAATTGCTCGTATATCATGCTTAACCTCTCTCCTGGTTTATGACCAATTCCATTTTTTTCTTTTTCCAGTACATGGCAGCAACATATACACTCCAGGAGCAAGGCTCCAATACCACAATCTATTCCTTTTGTAGCCTGCACCTACTCATCATACTCCCACTTGGAGACACGGAAACGTTTTTGGCCGTGCCCCTGTTCTGCCATTCTCGTGTCAAGCAATTCGAGTTGTCTTTTAATCCATGGAGGATCACCTGACGACAGCCAGAGAGCTTCACCAGTATCCTTGTGCTTAAAATCTGGTTGCCTTGGATTCAACTTGTCTTCCCTGTTATCCCACCATTCATACGGATTGGCAAAAAACACTTGCCATAAGTGAAGGCGATCCTTATACTTCTCTGAAACAGCTCCACCTAGATTTAGTCAAGGGGATAAAACATCTTCTCATTCAGAAATAAAACAAAAACAAACAAGTGAAAGACATTGTAATATAAGTATGGCAGTACCTCCATCAGATTGTGGTTCCTCATAAGTTTTGGAGCTTGATCCTTGTCCATGTTGTGCTACATAATTCAACTCCTGCACTACTAACTATGAAAAAAATTCAATGAACAAGCACAAATATTTGTAAAACAAACAACCGATGTCCATGCCAAAAAAGGGAAAACCAACTCAATAATAAAATAAACAACTCGAAGGTATTTTAAGTGCATGAAACAGGTACCAAAAATTTCTAAAGATACTCGACGCAAAGTTCTGAAAAGTATTAAACATGCTAACCTCGTGATGCAGTCTGGAATTCCCATTCTGATCCACCCTTGTGTAAGAACCTAAACAACCTGAGACATAAATAAAATCATTCGGTTTCAAATGTTTGAAAGACAATTCTGCCATCTCGCCCCACATCTTCAGTAGTATCCTGTTCACAAATTCTACACGAGTTCACTACATTTCCAAAAATCTCTATCAATACAAAAGCAAGTATATAAGGAAAGTGACATGAACAGAACTGATGAACAATCATAGACACATTTTGTAATCAAATTCATAAATTAATATCAGGGGATCAATTCCTCTGTTTTTCCAATAGAACTTAATCCTACATACAAGTAATGGTCGTAAGTTAACTTAACAATAACAAAGACGAAACCATTCATAATTCATCCATAAAACAGGGATTTTAAATTGGCATTTGACTAGTTGACAGAAAATACTAACCAGTCTTGCACACAAATGGTAAATGGGTCACCCAGTTTCAATGTCTGCTTGCCTTATACTAAACCAATTCAATCATTTCACAATAATCTCATAAAACCCAATTTCATCCCACACAATAAATAAATAAATCAAAAATCAAAACCATGCCTTGTAAATTATACTTCCACACAACAAAAGAGAGGCTTTTCATAATAATACAATCATAAATAAAAAATAAATTCATAAACTGACGTAAAAGTGCTGTCAGATTGAGGGGTGTTTTTGACGCAAAGAACAGTGTGAACGCCAAACGGACCACGGTCGTTGTTGTTTACGACCCGAAGGGGGCCAGTCACAGTGCCGATAAAGCTAGCAGAGTTTCCCAGATTCTCTTGCCAAGGATGCCATACAGTGCCGATAAAGCTAGCAGAGTTTCCCAGATTCTCTTGCCAAGGATGCCATACAGTGCCGATAAAGCTACCAGAGTTTCCCAGATTCTCTTGCCAAGGATGCCATACAGTGCCGATAAAGCTACCAAAGTTGTCCAGATTCTCTTCCCGACGACGCCATGTGATTGTCGTTGGACGCTGGAACTTGAGTGCTCGCCGATAAACGCCGCTGCCTTCTCGGTCCTCGTCGGAAAAGGAATTTGAAACCCTAGGGTTAGCGGCTGAAGACGAAGAGAAAAGGGCGCGCCTTTGCGAGAACAATAGCGAGGGACTTGGCTTCCTAAACTGGGTTAGAAGACGAAGCGCCTTCATATGCATTTGGAGATCGCAATCATGGGTTGAATTTGGACTTTGAAGTCGGGATTTTGGCGGGTTTTTCACTGAGAGTTCTCTGACAGTCCGGTTTCTGTGGATTCGGCGGGGTTAATTTTGCTCCGAGCAAACAATGAGATTCAGGGCTCTGAACTGGATTTGAGCCGTTGGGCCTTAATGATGTTGTATTGTACCAATGATTTCATATATTGGGCTACGGATGGATCCATATTTGATCACGAGGTTCCATACAGATTGGTCCATCAGAAATACAAACCATCGAAAATGGGACTTACAGTTGCGCAGGCTCAGTTCCAATTCAACCTCTTCTGAACAATCGAAGTGCAATTGGATTTGCCATATCATTATCCGATCTAATTTATAATTGAATTGAATCGGATTGGATTTGATCCGTTAAACGAATGACAAAAAAATGTACTATATATAAAAAACCAAACAACATTTTCGGATTCATACCTCTCCTTTGAAATCAACATAAAATTCTTGCAACCTATATAATAATAAAGAACAGCAATTTGAAGCAAATAGTAACAGAATAGTGGACACTAGAGAAAGAAAAGAGGTAAAAAATTAGAGTTGGATAGTTATGATCAAGTATCTACAGCATTATTGTAACTTAGCTTAAAATTTTAAAACAAATAGAAACATGATGAACGACCAAAAAATTAAAAATAAACACGGTAAAACCGAAACCTAATCCAATTAAATATAGATATTGAATTGGGTTGGAACTTGGTTTGGTTGTTAAAGTTTTCAATTCAATGATATATTTACAAAGAGAACTTATTATTTTTTGATAAAAAAGCAATATAGTATTTTATTGATAAGACAAACAAAAACTAATACAAAGCAACGAAGGTGCTAAATATGGATACAACTTCTCAAATGACCAAACGCAACAATAAATTGAATTGATATAGAGAGAATACGCACTACCTAAAAAATGATTAATATCACCCTCACGGGTTGGCCCAGTGGTAAGGGCGTTTCCCAGGCCCTATGTAAACGGGAGATCCTGGGTTCGATTCCTGTCATTGGTGAATCAAGCGATGAGGGCCAGGGACGGGGTGAAATTCCCTATAGCCTCTCCGGGTCCCGGAAGGGGTGGATGGTCGTGGCTTGCCACCAGCTGTCCCCCTTTAAAAAAAAAAAAAAAAATGATTAATATCTCTGAATTAGCAACCAAAATCACATGTACTCAAAGATGCAATAAAGATTTGTCGCGCAACGGCAGAAATGACAAATCCGTACAAAAAGTCAAAAGCCAAAAAGAAAATAAAATATTGTTGAGGCCCAAAAAATCCATGGTTGGGCCCGAATAAATTATCAGCCTAAAACGACACTACATTAAGAAAAAACGTAAATCAGAGTATACGAAAACCCGCCACATGCGAGTTGTAGTTCACGTGCCATGCTAAATAAATTCGCCATGTTAGGGGTTGAGATAAAATATACCGGCTCTACAAGCCCATGCCGAAATTAAACATCGCAGTCCTTCCCAATGATGATAAAATTAAAACATGCCAAGCGACATGCCATGCCAAGCACAAAATCGTTATCTCACACCCAACCACGTTACAAGCCTAAGTGGGCCCAAGCCACTCAAATGTCCGAGGCTTGCTTGAGTGGGTTGTGGTATGAATGGTAATAAATCAACATGAGGCCCATTAATGGGCCGAGAAATGGAAAGTCTCGGGTTGCTTGGGAGCCTCGGGACTCAAGCTCATTTCTTTGGCCCAAACATGTGGGTGAGCACAAAGGAGAAAAAATAGCCTAAATAGCCCAAGCAAAATAGCCTATTGACTCAACCAAAAAGCCCAATATTTAATAAAAATAGCCCACTTACTTAAGGAACCACCTTGGCCCATACAAAACTCCAAAATAAGACACAAAAGCCTCAACCCCTTGCTAGAAAAATAGAAGCCACGTAGAGAATGTCTGTAGAATCATTGAATAGAGCTGCTGGAGGTTCCAGCACATGGGGGAGAGCAAGTTCCAAGCAAGAAACATTCAAGAAACCAAAGAATATTAGCATGCGAGCTGCCAGAAGCACCCTTTGAACTAGCATGTATATCCACTTCATTTCCTTCATCAGATCTGGCCAAGGAATGAGGAAGGAAAGAAGAAGAAAAATAGCTAAGAATGGAGCCTCCCACTGGAATAGCCACGGGAAAGGGGGCTTGAGCTCCTAAAGTTCTTGATTTTGTGCAAACAGACAAAGGAAATTTCACCAAAATAGGAAAATCCAAGGGAAGAGAAGAGAAAGGAAGGGAAAAACTTAGCCAAAATGGGTAGAAACCGTTTCTTGGGAATGAATGATTTCCAGCAGCTATAAAATGAGGCATCTCCTACCCAACGAAACCAACCCAGATTCAGAGAGCAATCTTTCTCTCTAACTTGCAAAACCCTAGCAACCTCGTGCACTATTCACCTTTCTTCTCTTCTGGCAGACAGAGCATTTGTCAAGTTGCTGGAAGAACTCTGTTCTCTATTTCTTTCCTTTTTAGCCAAATCTCTTACAAAACTTCTCATTTCTTACCTTAACACCCCTTTTTTCCCCAAAGAAAGCCTAAATTTCCCCTTAGTGCTAAACTCATATTGATTTTGCTTCCATGCCACTTGCCTCTCATGCCAAGCTCAAAATTTTATCTGTAAGCATGCATAAATTATATGTAAATTGTTGTTGTTTTAGTCGGTGAAGGTAACCAAGATGCTTCCTAAGGCTCTACTGCCCTTTCGAAACATTTTTTGGGCTTAATTTTCGAACTCAAGCAAAGGGGACAATTTCATCAGTCTGCCCTTTACGGCAGTCCAGCCCATTTATAGTTGCTGGAAGAAAAAGTCCCCTACAAATATCCTAAACAAAAAACAAACCACAACAAACTCCTAAAGAGTTCATGGGAATTATTAGACTAAAACAAACTAATAAACAAGACCACTTCTCCACAGCCAGTGATAGAGCCATGATTTCACATTAGAGGGGGCCTTTCACAAAATTTTTTAAAATAATTCAAATAGGAGCCCTCAAGTGCTCACCGGGTTAATAAGTTAATAATATCATTTCATATTGATTAATAATTTATCCATTTATTACAATCATAATTGTTCTGAATTTCATATTTTAAAATGATTGAATATTAATCTCATCATTTACACTATTAAAGACTCAAAATTTAATAATTTATACTTCAACGAGAGAAGAAATACAAAAAATGTTCATAAATCCCAATATTAAGGTGCCTTATTTAGACATGTAGCAAACAACAAACATTTAGCAACACATATAAGTAAAAATATGAGAGAGGGCCTGAGCCCATCTTGGTCCTTAGATGGCTCCGCCACTATCCACAACCTCTTGGGCAACCCAAGGAGAGTCATGCGCCATACCGCTTAAACCCAAACCCAATGCAACCTGACATCATCCATGCTTCGTAGCTCCAAATTTATATTGAAGGCTGACAATTGGAGCCAAATCCTTACATGTGTGGGCCAAAAGACGACAACTATATCATTGTAACGACAATGTTTTACGACAATTGCTTCTACATCATAAAACAAAGAATCATGAGAGAAAGGGAAGGGAATGAGAGGAAATGGGATATGTGGAGAAGAAAGGGAATGGAGTGGGAAGGGTCGGCTATAAATTTTTCTTTACCCTCATTTTGGATGAGGGATTTATAGCTAAAAGTAGGGGTGGGCACGGTACGGTATGGTACGGTATTGAGCCTGTACCGCTACCGATACCGGAAATTTAAATCGGTATGGTACGGTATGGGATTATGGTTTGCCAAATTTGGTACCGTACCGTGCCAAATCGGTATCGGTACGGTATCGGTACCATTTCGGTACCAAAATGATACAACTAAAAAATGAACCAATTCAATATTCAACACCAAAATAAGTGATGCCTAAGTTACAAATTCAAAGATTCAACATATTCAATATCCAAATCCTAATCAACATATTCAATATCCAAATCCTAATCAACACATTCAATATCCATCAACATATTCAATATCCAAATCAACCAAATCAATATTTATCCATCAACAAATTCATCAAACCCAAATGGTTAAAACTCATGCCTTATGGCTTACAAACCAAAATAGTTAAAATTATGCATTATGACTTACAAAAATACAAACACAATCTAAACATAAATGAAAAAAACATAAAGTTATACTATTCGGTACGGTACGGTATTGACCGGTACCAAAATCTTGATACCGCTACCATACCATACTCTATTGGTACGGTACGGTACCGAATATCTCCCAATACCAAATGAAATGGTATGAAATCGGTATGGTACGGTGCAGTTAGGGTACGGTTTCGGTATTTCGGTTTAAGATGTCCACCCCTAGCTAAAAGGAGAAATTGGGAATTTAAAATGAGAAATTGACAATTTCCTTGTTTGGTAACTTAAGTGCATAATTTATTAAATGACGTACAGAAAAATCGTAGAAATTGGGGCATCAAAATTTCCAAGTTTTATTTCCACCAAAATAAGTGTTATTTCACAATTTCTATAATTTCATTTACAAAATTCGACATACATAAATCAAAACACTAAAACTTTTAATTACCAGAAATTGAAATGATAGAGTAAAATTTTCTCAAAAAATAACGATCATGTGTGTTTGGGGGTTAGCGGCAAGAAATTTTGCTTTAAGATTTTCTCGAAGAGCAGCGATGGCGTGTGCTGCACTTGAACAAAGATAAATTCTTAAGTTAGTGCGATGGATGGTCACACTATTGTTTGACATTGCTAATTTAAAGGTTATAATATGAATGTAGAATATAATTGATAATTTATATAAAGAGATGGGTAAACGCACGTGTTGGTCAGATTTTTCCTTTTAACTTTCGTCCTCCTTGCTTAAAAGCATTTACTTTTATTTTAAAAACAGCCACCACAAATGTTATGGTGGCTAATAGTTAATAATAATAAAAAGAAGGAAAGAAGAACAACTAGAAGGTCATCTCGTGGGTAAACAGACATTGCGGGTTTGTTCCTGCGTCGTGTTCCAAATTCTGACTGGCTGACTCTCCGACCTCTGCAACACCAACAACGAGGACAACCTCAAATTCTCTCTCACTCTCTCTCTCAATTCGTATCTCAAGACAAGAGATATTAGGAGGATTCAATTTCAGGCTTTCAGTCAAGTAGTTTTAATTCTGAATTAAATATATTAAGTCTCAAGAGATTAGAGTTTAGTTATTGTCTAAAACTTAATTAATTCAATCACAGAGGAGCTGTAAGTTAACCCCTTCCACAAGTAACACATGGGCCAATAGGCCATTAACAAAAGCCATAAAGGGGCTCAAACACTTTCAAACGACGGCTGCATCTAGCTCTAACAACACCACCATCACCACCACGTGCTTTCTCACTCACCCAAATGTCGTCTTCTTCTTCATTTTCTCTTCACAAACCCTCTGCCACTGCCTCTTCTTCTGCTGCTTTTTCTTCTTGCTCTGTTTCAGTTTTGAAACAGGACAGGGGGGGCAGCTGTGAGCAGGCTCCGGGGAGGCTCATGAGGCAGAGGAAGCTCCGCTACCTCAGCAACCTGGACCTCAGTTTCTCTAGTTCTTCTCTCACTTCGCCTGAACATTCGTCCCCCTTGCCTCTTACTGAATCTCCTGTGATCGGCAGATCCAACTCTGTGCATACATATAGGTACTTGGACCCTGCGTTCATCAGTTTCTAATTTTCATGTACCTTTCTTCCATGTGTATGTTTTGTGTGTTCATTATGTCTTTGTTATATTGTTGAACTCTGAGGTGGTCTTTGCTGTTTGAACAGAAACCAGATTGCCACAACCTCAGCAATCCAGAATTCTAATTCAAGCGTTTGTCAAGGGGCATTATATAATGGTGGGGGTTTTAGTTACAACATGGGGCTGAATGCTTTTTCTAGGACAACTCAAGCAAATCGAATCGCAAGTCATCCTCTTGCACCACAAAGACCAGACATTGTGTGTGGTTTTCCTATACATGTTGCTACCACTTCATCCATTAATCGTTCAAGCATTTGTCAGAGGAGAATGCCAGAAGATCTTGATTGTGGATATGAAGGTTACAACTTCAGTAGGAGTGCTCCAACAAGTCCTTCATTTAGCCCTCGAAGATCAAATGCCATGGATCCTTTTCCTACTTTTGGGGTTTCTCAAGAACAATATCAGGATTCCCATCCTTCAAGATTACAACCAAACAATCCTCATCATAGTCCCAGTCATATTTCTCATCCTCACAGCCCCACATCTCGAAGTCTACGCTTCAACCACGAAAGTTCAAATGGAAATGCATTTGCGTTGCATCATAAATCATTTACAGAAAGGGCTGAAAGTAGTAGTCAAGTCAATGCTCACCCTTTGCCTTTGCCTCCTGGAGCAGTGGAACCACCAGAGTCATCTATCATGCATCATAATGCAGAACTTGTATCCACATCATCAATGAAAGCCCAATGGCAGAAGGGAAAACTTATTGGAAGCGGTACCTTTGGTAGGGTTTATCTTGCAACAAACCGGTATGCTGGTCTCTGGAATCTTTGTGCTACTTTCTCTTGACTTTGTTCTGCAATGACCATTTCTTAGTTTTGCTCTTTGTTCTTTTTATTTTGAATTTAGCTCTGTAACCATTTCTAATCATGTGACAGAGATACGGGGGCCTTGTGTGCAATGAAGGAAGTTGATCTCATTCCCGATGATCCTAAGTTTGCTGAATGTATAAAGCAATTGGAGCAGGTTCGTTTCTGGAGTGCTTTATCAATTTGTTAATTCACAGGGCAGTTGCAGTTATATATTGTTGTCTACCTTTAGGTTTATTAAAAGAGCAAGTCAAAAACTGCCAAGTTGTTCATCTACACACATGCCACACACTTGCGCTATGATCTTATCAGCATTGTTGTGTACGGTTTTTTCCCATTTGCCTTTAGTATGCTTTATAACTGTCCTCACTAGCTACATGGGACAGGAAATTGAAGTCCTCCGTACACTGAATCATCCGAATATTGTGCAGTATTATGGTAGTGAAGTAGTGAGTATCTTTTTCACACCTGCAAAATTTATTAAAAACTAATCTTTGCCGAATTTACTAAACATGGGGAAAATTGTTTTTGCGTATGCAGATTGATGATCACTTCTACATGTACTTGGAGTATGTTCATCCTGGATCAATCAATAAGTACGTCCAAGACCATATTATTGGAGCTATGACAGAATCTGTAGTTCGCAATTTTACTCGCCATATCCTCTATGGGCTGGCCTTTTTGCATAGCAAGAAGATAGTTCACAGGTGAGAATAATGCTCGACTAGCAGGATAATATTGCAGCGTCACTTATTTGTTAAAAAGAGCTTGTTACTGTATAAATTGTCTCAATAAATGATGAGACAAGAAGAACCTTAGGAAAAAAAATGTTTTTTTTTCTTCGAAGAGAGTGTTTAGATAAACTGTAGAGATTCTTAACATCATCCCAACCAGTTAAAATAGGGAAAAAAAAATTTGAGAATCATGTTGCCTTTATTGGTCATAAGCTTTCCTTGCTTTATTGAATGGAGTTTTTGTTGATTGTGCTAGGGACATAAAGGGTGCAAATTTGTGCGTTGATACATCAGGAGTTGTTAAAATTGCTGGTTTTGGGATGGCAAAACGAGTGAGTTTTGTAAATTTTTTGTTACTGACCTAATTTCCTGACAAATTCATGTTTGAGTAATCGAGATCACAAGTTTTAGTTGTTGTATATGTGATTTCCTTCAGATATAGTGATGTTACGTACTTGTGTATTTTGTTCCTGTCCTATCAACACTGGCTGCAGTATTGTTCTTGGTTTTATATTTAACTCATCTTTTGGATGCAGCTTAACGGACAGTCAAACAATCTTTCTCTGAAGGACAGTCCATACTGGATGGCTCCTGAGGTAATCACATCATCACTATCTAAGAGTTTGCAGATGGTCTGTGCATACTGTACGTATAATCTTTATATACGTTCGTGCGCTTGTTTTCTGCAGGTCGTAATACAAAACAATCCAGATCTTGGTTTGGCTGTTGATACATGGAGTTTGGGTTGTACCATCATTGAGATGTTGAATGGAAAACCTCCTTGGGGTGACTTTACAGGAGTAAGTTAATGAAAAAAACTTTTTCATATGCTTTATTATTCATCATAGTTTCTGATTTTGAATACTGTCTACTGCCCAAAAGGCAACCTTTGCTCTGTTTGAGCATAGCTTTGTTGCTTTCTTAACACCTCCTTGTCTTTCTATCTGTCAGCCTCAAGCTATGTTCAAGGTTCTGGACAAAATCCCAGATATACCAGAAACATTATCTGCAGAAGGAAAGGACTTCCTCAGTCGGTGTTTTCGTAGGAACCCTGCAGAGAGACCATCAGCTAATCAGCTACTTGAGCATCCTTTTGTACTAAACTCACATGATCAAACTATCTCACACTATGCCCACAATTTTTCTCTGATGAACCTGGTGAGCTTTCACATTCAACACTCAGTTGATTTTTTTTCCCCCTAAAGCTATAAAGTCATGAAAAGTAAAATTCAAAGAAAATTAAAGCATGAAATTTTCGATTATATGGCTAGTAGATTGATATCTTGGCATGTTATGTGTGTGCACTATTGTAGGATAACTTGCATAGTCCTAGAGACCAAACTAAGCTAGAAAATGGTCGACGAGGGAGGAATATGAAAACCTGTCAGCGGCTAAAGACGAAGAGAAAAGGGCAAGCCTCATGAGAATAATACTGTAACAGTGAGGAGGGACTTGGGTTGTTGAACGAGGTTAGAAGACAACGCCTACATATGCGTTCGATGATCAAGATTTGAGTTCGGTGAGGTTACTTTTGTTCCAAGCAAAGAATAAGATTCAGTGTTTTTCTTGATTTGGGCCTTCGTTATGTTTATTTGGGCTTTACTATAAGTTATTGGCTAAGAATGAATCCGTGCTCGGCCAGGCCTTTTTCTTTTATAGGGATTTTTTTTAAGGAAAATTTTTGAGTTGTTTTTTCTTTAGTACAAGCGATAATTTAAACTATAGGGAATGAGATTTGAGCATGAAACATCTAGTCTGCAAGTTAAAGCTCTTTTCCACTTGGCTAGACCTCATTGGCAAGGGATTTATTTGTTTGTTTATCGTGAATCAGCTTTCGTAACATTAGACCTTTGAATTTATTTATTTTGGATAAATCAGTTGATTAAATATTGTTTAATATGTGCCGTATATGTGATTCAGTGACTCTGATTAAAAGTCACCTTAACATAAAATTCTTTATTGAGGCTTTCTCGGATAATATAGATAAATACTCATTTAAACTTAATTATAATCTCGTGAATAAAATAATAACAATTCTAATCCCATTGAAGCATATTGCGGAGTGTCCCCAACAATGATGATTTTTTTTAACTATTCATTTGAATTGAAGGGATCCTTCTAAAGAATGAGCGTGTATAATAATAACATGTGATATAAGAAAAGAAAAATAGCAAAAAACAAAGTAAAGTCTTTCTTTGTTTTTTTTTTATAAGAAGGGAAGATGAATGAGAAGAAGACTTAAAAGTCAACTTTTCAGGTCTTTGGGGTTTATTTTTATGGAGGAGGTCTTGGGGGTTTGTTCAAATCCAACTTAATTTATGTTATTAAATAAGAATGATCCTTAGGTCCCGTTTGGTTCATGGGAAAGGAGGCTTGGGAATGGGAATTCAATTGTTTTCCCATGTTTGGTGTAAGTCCAGGCATGGGAAATGGTTGTCTGGCACATGGGAAAGTAAGGGGGAAAGTAAAGCCCTCCTCTTAACTTGGGTTTTATTTTCCCTCATCATGGGAAAGTTTGGGAAAATGAGCCAACATTCAATGCACAATTTTTATGACTATTTTGTACATATGAACAAATTATAATTACAACGTATCATCAAATGCATTCTTTTTTTTATTTGATTTAATATGGGTATAATTGGAAAATTATACAAATTTTGTTTTCCATTCCTACTCAAAACAAACATGGGAAATGAAACAAAGTGAAATCTCCCAGTTACTTTCCCGACATTACCAAACGTGGGAAATGAATCTTTCATTCCCATTCATTGAGAAATGATTTCCCCTAAAATCCATTCCGTGAACCAAACGGGACCTTAGTTTGAGTAGGGAATATCTCGTAAGCCTTTGTTTAATCTTAATCTTAGAGATCAACGGAGCAAGCAAGGCACTTACAAAAGAACAATATTTTCCTCCTTACCTAGTAATGTGGCTCAACCATAAATTGACATGTGTCTTTTTTAAAAGTCTCAAAAGTGTTTTTTCCTTCTCCTTGTCTAGTTATGAAAAACTAAAGAGGTGGTTTATGGGATAGATGAAAGCAATTTAAAAAATAGAATTCAGTTATGAATAATAAAGGAGAAGAAACAAAAATATTTATAATAAAAAAAGTCAATTTGTGGTTGAGCCACATCACTAAGTAATGAGGAATCTATATATATAAAGCAAAAGGCAGAGAATGATGAAACATTCAAAATATCATAAAATACCATTGGTTAATTCAAACATTAAGAATTGAAATTATTAATTAAATGAGGATAATATGGTAAATTTATATATTTTTTCATATTAAATAAAATTAAAATTAAAAACAAAATCAGATAATAGTTCTTATTTTTATGAAACATAACTACCCATGTTATCTTATTCTTAAAAAAAAAAAAAAAAAAAAAAAAAAATTTGGCACATGTGTGAGCATATACGGAGGGGCTAGTTCCTTCTTATAGTTAAAGTGGAAAGTATTTTTCCTTACAAAATATGATTTGAATAAGCAAAAATTAGTGGGTTGGCTTGGCTTGGCTTGCTAAACCTAAATGCATGCCACCCAACAGCAGTACGACCGACCAAGAATACTTAAGATTTTTCACAGACATAAAGTAATCTTACATTAAAAAAACAACAAATTTTGACATGGAATTTGATTCGTGCCTCGTTGGCTGGTCCAGTGGGTTTTGTCGTGTTGACGATGAGGCTTTTTTGTTATGTTTTTTCCAAATCCAAATCTCCATCCCATCATCCATGTGTTCCTAGTCTTCTTCGTTCAACAATAAGTTAAAAAGGTCAAGGGGGGATACAGTAAAACACCGTAACACGGTATCAACTGGACTGCAATTTTACAGGTCTAAGAGTTTTTGGTTTTGTTTTGTCAATTTTCACAACAAAAAAAGAAAGTCGAGGATTGGTTTCGTTTGGTTGACGAAGTCCTCTCCCCAACGAGCCCAAGAACGCCTAGCTTTGCAGTACGCATACGCTTACGGCGTATCCTAGATTTCGTCAACTCCAAACTTTCGCCCTCCTTCCTTAAAAAGCATTTAATTTAATTTTAAAAACAACATCAACACCAACTAATGAGGATAATTAATAACTAATCCCATACTTACCTTAATAATTAAAAATAAAAAAATAAGCAGCAGAAGGTCATCTCGTGCATTGACAATTGACATTGTAAACAGAGAGAGTTTGTGAGGGATTTGTTCCTCATCCTCCTGACTGGCTGACTCCGACGTCTCCTCTCTTCTCCATCACCAAACAACATCAAAGTCTCTCCTTTAGTCTCAAAGAGATTAGGAGGGAGAGAGAGAGAGAGAGAGAGGACCCAAGTAAGTTTCAGGCTTTCAAGTACTCTGAGGTTTCAATTCTGAATTCCCAAGCAGGGTCTTGACCATAAATAAATTCAAAGTATTGAATTTAATGAACAAATAAAGTAAACGAAGCAAGGAGGAAATTCAGATCAAAGCTAAGCGAGAAACAACGGAGCTGCTTCCCCTTCCACAACTTCACAACATAGCTTCGGAGCTCTGCTCTCTGAGATTTTGACACCAACAAACGATAAAAGACCACGGCTTTAAGCCTTTTAACTTTTGCAAAACCAGAACCACTTGCTTTCTCCATTACCCAAATGCCTTCTTCTTCCTTTTCTCTTCGCAGACCCTCTGCCTCTACCTCTACCTCCTCTGTTTCTTCTCCTTCTGCTTCCTCTGTTTCAGCTCTGAAACAGGACACTGGGGGCTGCTGTGAGCAGAGCCCCAGGCGGCTCACGCGGCAGAAGAAGCTCCGCCACATCAATGGCCAGGACCTGTGTTTCCCTCTCCCTGAAAAGTCTCGCTCCTCGCCCACTTCGCCTGAGTATGCCACCAGAAAGTCAACGTCTCCGGATCGTGATTCCAAGTCAAACCACTGGTCCTCTTCGGCTGCTGCTGCTCCACAACCCTTGCCTCTACCAGAATCTCCCGTGATCGGGAGACCCGGCTCTGTGCCCAAAGATGGGTACTTCAGCCATGCGTTCTTCAGGTAAATAAAAAGCCTTCTTTCGCCTCTCTGTCTCTGTATCTGTTTGCGTGTTTATATGTGTTTGTTATAATGCTCAACTGGGGGCGGTTTTCGCTGTTTTGAATTATCAGGAAAAAAAGAAATCAAGTTGCCACAACCTCAGCACCACAGATTTCTAATTCAATCAACAATCAAGGGGCATTCTCCTCAGCACCACAGAATTCTAATTCAAGCAGTCGTCAAGGGTCATCCTCCTCTTCACCACAGACTAATTCAAGCAATCGTCGAAGGGCATTATCTTCCCAAGATGTAAATAATAATGGTGGGGGTTTTAATTACAACTTGGGACTGAATGTTTTTTCTAGGAAAGCTCAGGCAAATGGTGTCTCAAGTCATCCTCTTAGCCCACAAAGATCAAACTTTGTGGAGATGGATGGTTTTCCTGTACATGTTGCCACCACTTCATCCATTAATTGTTCAAGCAATTGTCATAGGGGAAAGAGACAGGAGAATGAAAGTTACAACTTCAGCAAGAGTGCTCCAACAAGTGGGTTTTCAAGTCCTGCAGTTAGCCCTCGAAGATCAAAGGCGGGGGATCCTTTTCCTACGTTTGGGGCTTCTCAAGAACAATATCAGGATACCTGGCCTTCAAGGTTATCACCAAACAATATTGCTCATAGTCCCAGTCATTCTCCTCTTCCCAGCCCCACATCTCGAAGTCCACGCTTGAACCACAAAAATTCAAATGGAAATGTATTTGCGTTGCATCGTAAATCATTCACAGAGGGTTTTTCAGAGAGGGGTGAAAGTAGTAGTCAAGTCAATGCTCACCCTTTGCCTTTGCCTCCTGGAGCCGTGGTACTTCCACAGCCATCTAGCATGCATCACAATGCAGAACTTCTGTCCACATCATCAATGAATGGTCAATGGCAGAAGGGAAAACTTATTGGACGAGGTACCTTTGGTAGTGTTTATCTTGCAACCAACCGGTATGCTGCTCGCTGGAAGCTTTGTGCTACTTTCTCTTGGCTTTGTTCTGCAATGACCATTAATTAGTTTTGCTCTTTGTTCTTTTTCTTTTGAATTTAGCTCTCTAACCATTTCTAATAATATGACAGAGAGACCGGGGCCTTGTGTGCAATGAAGGAAGTTGATCTCATTCCCGATGATCCTAAATCTGCTGAATGTATAAAGCAATTGGAGCAGGTTCGTTTCTGGAGTCCTTTATCAATTTGTGGATTCACAGGGCAGTTTCAGTTATATATTGTTTTCTACCTTTTGTTTATTTAGACTAACCAAATTGCGGAATTAGGGAATATTAGTCATTTATACAGATGGGCACTTGAAGTATTGAAGGAGTTTTTTCTCTTTCAATTATGTTGTGATAAAACTTTTAATGGGACATGTTTCGTTGTGTCTGCTGTTATCAATTATAGGAAGGAATGAGTTGGTTGATATTAGCTAGTCAAAAACCTGCATAGTATCTCCACACATGCCACACTTGCACTTTCATCAACATTTGTTGTGTAGGAACTCCAGTTCATGCCTGCCAGTAGCCACTACTGATTATTGCACACAGGTTGAGGACATGTCACATATGCTGAAAATATATTTCATTTATGCTCAACTATGCTACTGCACATTCCGTAATAGCTTTATATTTTTTGCATTTATCTTTAATACGTTCTTGGACTGTTCTTACTAGCTACCTGTTGCAGGAAATTAAAGTCCTCCATAAACTAAAGCATCCAAATATTGTGCAGTATTATGGTAGTGAAGTGGTGAGTATATATCTTTTATGGTAGTGCAGTGTAAATCTTGTTTATATTTTCAAATTTATTAAAGACAAATCCTTGCAAGTTTTTGTAAAATTGTGTTTTGGTGTGCAGATTGATGATCACTTCTACATATACTTGGAGTATGTTCATCCTGGATCAATTAATAAGTACGTCCAAGACCATATTGGAGCTATGACAGAATCTGTAGTTCGCAATTTTACTCGCCATATCCTCTCTGGGTTGGCTTTTTTGCATAGCACAAAGACAATTCACAGGTGAGAATAATGCTTGTGACGTCACTTATCTGTTAAAAAGAACTTGTTACTTCATAAATTGCTTGACTCAATATTTGATGTTTCCCATCAAAGAGGATTGTCTGGTTAAAATGGGGAAAAATTTCTGGAAAATCATGTTGCATTGCTTGGTTGTAAGATGTCTTTGCATTATTGAATGAAGCTTTGATGATTGTGATAGGGATATAAAGGGTGCAAATTTGCTTGTTGATGCATCAGGCGTTGTTAAACTTGCTGATTTTGGGATGGCAAAACATGTGAGTAATACCTTACAATGTGAAATTTAATGCATATATTTTCCCTTGAACTGGTGTAGCAGTGTTGCTTCTTCATTGTTAATCTTTTGTCACTGACATAATTTCCTGAAAATTTAATATTGGAATAATTGAGATCACATGTTTTACTTGTGTATTTTGTTCCTATCAACACTTCCTACATTATTTTTCTGGGTTTTATATATAACTTACTTTTGGATGCAGCTTAACGGACACTCATACAATCTTTCTCTGAAGGGCAGTCCATACTGGATGGCTCCTGAGGTAATCAAATCACCATTATCTATAAATTTGTAGATGGCCTGTGCATACTGTTACTGTATATAGACGCCTCGTTTGTTTTGTGCAGGTCATAAAGGCTGTGATGCAGAATAATGCTGATCCTGATCTTGCATTGGCTGTTGATATATGGAGCTTGGGTTGCACAATCGTTGAGATGTTCAACGGAAAACCTCCTTGGAGTGACTTTACAGGAGTAAGTTAATGTTGAAACTTGTTATGTTTTATTCATCATAGTTTCTAATTTTTCAGAATATTGCCAACTGCCCCCAGTTTCATGTGTTCAGTGCAAATCTGAATTCGCTCTGTTTGAGAGTCGCTTCATTGCTTTTTAAACATATTTTTGTCTTCTATCTGTCAGCCTCAAGCTATGTTCAAGGTTCTGAACACAATCCCAGATATACCAGAAACATTATCTGCAGAGGGAAAGGACTTCCTCAGTTGGTGTTTCCGTAGGAACCCTGCCGAGAGACCATCAGCTAATCAGCTACTAGAGCATCCTTTTGTACGAAATCCACATGATCAAACTGTCTCACACTATGCCTCGAATTTTGCTCTGATGAACCTAATAGTGAGTTTTCACGTATTCAACACTTAGGTTTTATTTCTTAGATCAATAAAGTTCAGAAAAGTAAAATTCACAGAAAATCAAGAGACGTTTCGATTGTATTAATAAATTGATATCTTGGCATGTTGTGTGTGTGCACTTTTGCAGGATAAATTGCATAGTCCGAGGGACCATACTAAGCCAAAAAATGGGCGATGTTGATCTCTCCACACGCTTCCAGTTGAGAGGTGGCTTTGCACCATTCTTCATACCATGTGCTTGAGGATCATCCCTGCCCCTAAACTAATTGCAGCCCTTGTTCAAGTTAAAGCTTCCAGCCGTAAGCATTTTAAAGACTCATTGAAGGGAAGACCCAAACCTAGGACCCATATGTTTTTGGAAGAAATGGAGCCAAGTTTCTCTCATGCAGTATCTGGAAGATGCTAGCTTTTCTTTGGAAGTATGCCAGCGTGCAGCTCTAATGGAGATTTTTCCGTTGCCCATTTCACCTTTGCTGCCTTTGGCGAAGGTGCATGGCTTTATCGGTGAACCGAGTAGGATTTGGAAGCTGGTTATTTTATTCCTCATCAAGTCGAGGACTTTCAACTAATATGACGGGTTCCTGCTTTGAGGGATGACTCTTCTTTTTTTCGTTTTTTTTTGGGGCCCCCTTTTGAGAATGTCACGTGGAGCTAAGATCAGTAGAAAAAAAATAGAGTGCATATATTTACATAGAACAGGTGATGGAGCTCATATTAATTTGTAAATACGAATTTGTGTAGTAATTAACATTTAATTGAATCCATGAAGCTGGCTTATAGAAAATTTCAAATATTCCATTCTCGGTAAATGAGTTTATGATAAATTTCGATTCTCTACATTTAACATGACATGCTTTCATAAAGGACATTAATTTGACATAAGTTGATAGATGAGGAGGACAATGTCACATGCAACCACTAGTTAAATTACATGGTAATTATACTTTAGGTTTGATGTGGAATTGTTTTATTAAATTATGGGTCCGTAGAATAATTTAGGTCTATAAAAAATACTCCAAAGTATTATGCTAAATCCTATAAAAAAGAAGAAGAAGAAGAAAGTATTATGCTAAATAAAACCTTATTTTTTTCTTTTGAGAATGCAGAATAAAACCATTGCCATTTATCTTTTTGGCTGAGAAATAAAACTAATACCCATTATTAAACAAATTTATTTTAGTATTTATGTTTTTCTTAGGGGGGGTGCACGTGTTAACGTGTATACAATATGCATTGCGCGCTTCCCTTTTAAATTTGTTGTATTTCTGTTATTTTTGAAATTAAAATACTGGTTCAATTTATTCTCACTGGGGACTGGGCTTTGGGTAAAGGAAATGCTACTGCGAGAGCAACACTGATAGTACAGTTCCAATCAACCGATCCAGTGGCTAATGCTAGCAGCGGTGGTGGAACCCGGAGGAACTCCACACCATCTACGACGTCGTATCATATCCATACGTACTGTGCATAGTTTAGTTTACAACTGGGTTAGGGTTTTGCAGTGATTAGCAAATTGCCATCGTCGTTGAGGTGTTGGTAGGTTAGGTTTGGTTCTCGCGATCAATCAATTCAAATTATACAAGGTCAAACTCAAACCCAGAATTCGGCAGGGGAAGGGCCAAATTCACCGATGGGGAAGCCTCTTTGCTATGGTATGAGATAATCTTTTGCTGTTTCTTCATTATAAGTTTCTATATTTATGCCCGTCTTGATTTTCATGTTTTCGTGGATTTCATATCATCCTTGATTCGGCAGATGCAGGAAATGCAGAAGTTTCTCAAGGTTTGATCAATAGGCTTTACAGTGACTTCTCCGATGGCATATATTTTGCAACACCAGTTTCTTCCTTGAGGGCGAATGAACTTGACTTGGTAAGTCTTTAGCTTTTTAAATCAAATGTAGTTGTACTTTCTATTTGGTAGGCTTGGAACCTAATTTATATATTTTTCCTTCCAAGGTTCGTAGTGTGTTGCAAATGTTGCAAGGATTTTCTAGCTCACTATTTTATTGGGACCAAAATGGAAAGTCTTTTCAAGTCAAAAGTGGGTTACATGTGAATCACCTCTCTCATACAAGTCTTCACGCCATTGTCCATCAATTTATGTATGCTGCAACATGCTTACAACTGGTGGAAGTTTTAGTCAATAAAATTGAGAAATCTGCTAAATTACCACCGCCTACTTTGAGGGCTTTTGCGTGTTCTGTTTCTTCATGGCTTACGGTATGTTTTGGATTCAATTTAATGGATGAAATTTTCTATTTTCTAGTTGTCATGTTCAACGCTCATTTATAAGTGTATGTTAAATTGTGCTTGGGCAGAGGTTGCGCGATATTTCTTTAAAGGAGGAAATGAAGATAAGCAATGATGCCATTGGAACAACTCCTACGTTATTGGGGTTGGCCAATTCTTTATCTAGGTTCGTACGCTGTTAGCTTTACCTTCTCAAAATTTGGGATGTCAGTGGCTATAGTTTGTCCCATACAGTTGGAGACAATCACCACTCAAAAGCTTATCAGAATTATCAATATTTTATTATTCTCCATTTTTTTGTTTACCTTCGAGGTTACTGTGTCAGCCCTACATGTCAATTCCCCTTTTGGATTCTACATCCTCATGCAATGGATATCGCTGATGACAATTTATTGATATTAGTCTTTGCTCAGGTGCTGAGTATTTGTTGCAAATAGTACATGGTGCCATCCCCCAAGTGTATTTTGAGTCTAATTCTTCTCTTCCTGCTGCTGACTTGGCTGTGCATGTCCTTGACCATCTTTACAAAAAGCTGGATGAAGTGTGTCTTGTGCGAGGTGGTGAGGTTGTTACACATTTTTTCTACAACCTTATGGTTTCTAGTTTATACTCGTGGTTTAGCTGGTTTATGTAATCCAAATTTGGAACTTGTGCCAATTTCAGGAGGAAGGCTACAAGATGCTACTTCATTTATTTATTGGAAGTATATTGCCATATATTGAGGGTCTTGATTCTTGGCTTTTTGAAGGAACACTAGATGATCCATATGAGGAGGTAAATGTGATTGGAAATTTGGTTTTCCATGTCCCAAAAGTTTGCAGCAGTTTATTTATTTGTTATAATTCTTCTACACTTTTTTTGCATCCCACAAGTGCTTGTGATGCATCCAATCCATCTTTTATTGTTTGAAAGTTTGCACGCCATGTAATTCTAATTTCTGTACTCTTGTGATTATAATTTATCTTAAAATTTGTATAGGCAGTATACATGCAATTTTTTTCTATTTTAAATGGGTGGTCCTATATGTATCCTTGGTGAACACTTTTCTGGTGGCTCCTGTCTTTTCAGATGTTCTTTTATGCTAATAGAGCAATATCTGTTGATGAGGCTGACTTTTGGGAGAAAAGCTATCTATTGAGGCAAGTACAGTGTCAAATGTTAGATGTTGGGGCCTCTGCCTCATCTTGTGCCAGTGACCACATATCAGTAGCAAATGATAAAAAGGGAGTGGGTCAAAGGGAATCCATCTCAACGTCTAGTTTTATGAAAGGAAAGGAATGGAACAATAAAGACCTTCAGTCATGTCCACTGTTTATTAAGGACATAGCTAAGTCTATTGTTTCTGCTGGAAAATCATTACAGCTGATCCGGCATATTCCCATGACATCAGCAGTTGTATCTAGAAAAGGAAATGACTGTGAGATTGATGGTTTTGGCTGTTTGGATAAAGGTGTTCAACATGGGCATAGCATTGCAGGCTTAACTTTGTCAGAAGTTTTCTGTGTGTCATTAGCAGGCCTTATAGGCCATGGTGATCTTATTTTTCAATATATTTATGGTAAACAAAAAGTGGAGAGTGATGATGGTGTAATTGTGCCAGTAAAACGCTCAGAGAAAATTTGGTGTAAGTTCTTGGTTGATACGCTGGCAGAGAAAAGGTTGGTTGATTCTCAGTCTGCACATGAGGATGGAAAAACACTTCCTGATGCGAAGGAAGAGAATATGCATGCAGGTGTTGTAAATGAATTTCCTCTTTCAAGATCCTTCTGTCAAGAAAATCCGGTTTTAACAGTCTGCCAAAAGACCCTTTCTAAGAATGGGGATGCATGGAAAACATTGAACTTATCTAGAAATTTATGTCTGCCTCCTTTAAATGATGAAGTTTTGCGAAAGGCTATATTCGGTCAGGAGAGTGGATCGATTTCTGCAGCTGAAGGAACAAATTATACTTTTGGTTTCCAGTTTGGTGAATCTGAATATCTTCGTTCACAAGACGACTCACATATGTTACAAGCGTTGTTTCCTTTTCCTACCCTTCTTCCTTCTTTTCAGGTATTTCTGATTGATAGTCTAATGTTTTTGTTAGATGTTATAGCATTCTTTAGGTCTAGTTTTAATGTAATTCCTTGCCAACAGGACGAGCTCCATATGTCAGAGCTCTTACCTTTCCAGAAAAATAGCACCCTTCCATCAAGAGTTCTTATCTGGGTTCAGCAGTTTGAACCAAAAAGTACTCCACTTCCGGTAGTTTTAGTGCAGGAATGTCTTACAGTGTACATCCAGAAGCAGGTGATAGCTCGAACCCATGTACAGATCTCAGTTTCTTGGTTGTGGGTAACATGATGTCTTCTTTTATATTTCTATTGCAGGTGGATTGTATTGGCAGGCATATATTGTTGAAATTGATGAATGGTTGGAAATTGATGGATGAACTGGCAGTGCTGCGCGCCATTTACTTGCTAGGATCAGGTATGTCAGAATTACTTTAACATGTTTGCTGGTCTTGTATGTTCAACCTTTAATATCCTGGTCTATCAATAGGTATGTCAGAATTACTTTAACATGTTTGCTGGTACCTTCCCATCTTTAGGTGATCTGCTACAGCACTTCTTGACTGTAATTTTTAATAAGCTGGATAAGGGAGAAACATGGGATGATGATTTTGAGTTAAACACGATATTGCAGGTTCAGTTACTTTTATTCAATCTAGCATTTTCTTCCTATTTTGAGTTAAACACGATGACTGTGGGATACCTGGATTTTCTTCCTATTTATAACATGGCAATGTCAATTCTTATTAACTGCAGGAATCTATAAGGAACTCTGCTGATGGTGTGCTACTAAGTGTTCCTGATTCATTGATTGTATCTCTCACCAAAAATCATGACTTGAATGGCAATGAGCAACCACCTAATATGGCTTCACTTCCCTCGACTCCTCGTAAAAGTCGTGCTCACAGCTTTGGCATGGATGGACTTGATCAGCTAAAATTTACGTATAAGGTCTAGTGATGGCTAATAAATCTTCTTTTGTCATTTAGCTCCTTGCAACCACTCTGAGCGTTTATATGTATTTTATTGTCAGGTCTCTTGGCCACTTGAACTTATTGCAAATGCGGAGGCGATCAAGAAATATAACCAGGTTACTTTTATTCATTGGGTTATGAATTTCTTGTCGAAATTTAATCATCTATCTTCGTTGTTCCTTTTATATATATATATATATATATATCTCTCTCTCTCTCTCTCTCTCTCTCTCTCACGAATCAATGTGAAATTTTTGGGGAGAGGTAATCTGATTTCAACTTGGGATCTCCTCTTGGAGGGGAGGTGTGACTACCAACTGGGTCACTTCCTGACCACTAAACTTGTTATCTAATTGTTTAAACATGGATGTAGGTGATGGGATTCTTGTTAAAGGTCAAGCGAGCAAAATTCGTACTTGATAAAACTCGAAGGTGGATGTGGAAGGTTAGTTTTTATGCCCTTTTTAGGATAAACTATGAGCAGTGGTAATTTACTTGGCCTAATGACGAGAGCTATTTGTGTGTGATAATACAATGACTTCGGTGTTTCTTGTTTTCCTAAACAGGGTAGAGGCACTGCAGCAAACAATCACAAGCGTCACTGGTTAGTGGAGCAGAAACTTCTCCATTTTGTGGATGCTTTTCACCAGTATGTGATGGATAGAGTAAGTTTTGTTCCTTTTAACATAAAATCACCCTTTCTATTATTAACTGTGCTGGTATATGCTTGCTTTCTGGAAAGCGTATGGAATTGTTAGATCACTAACCAGTACTTGTTAAACAGGTATATCATAATGCATGGCGTGAACTTTGTGAAGGCATGACAGCCGCTCGATCTCTTGACGAAGTCATAGAAGTACATGAATTGTACTTGTTGACAATTCAGCGGCAGTGCTTTGTAGTTCCGGATAAGCTGGTGGGTAGTTTGCCTTGATTGAGAACTCATGAACTATGAAATAATCTTTTATGTCCTGAGAAAAGCTGAATTGTGTTTATTACTCTCTTTTGCATCAGTGGGCTCTCATAGCGAGCAGGATTAACAACATCCTGGGATTAGCGTTGGACTTTTATTCTATACAGCTGACACTTAGTGGCGGAACAGTTTCTGCAATTAAGGCCAAATGTGAAATGGAAGTTGACCGTATTGAGAAACAGTTCGATGATTGCATTGCTTTCCTGCTCAGAGTAATCTTCTCTTTGCGTTGATTTTGATTCAGATGGGACTGATTTTAAGATTTGCATTTAACGTGTAGTTTGGTGCATGCTGATTCTGCAGGTGCTTTCTTTCAAGCTCAATGTGGGGCACTTTCCTCATCTAGCAGATTTGGTAACTAGGATAAACTACAATTACTTTTACATGTCAGATAGTGGAAACCTCAGGACTCTCCCCAGCTCTGAAAATGTTACTTCGAGACTGGGAAAGGCTTTTCTGGGCAGAACAGACTGATAACAGTTGAGGATTTCATTTATTTATTAATTTTCAATTTCTAGTTCAGGAGCCAGCACTTCAGATGCAATTTTACAATATGAAAAAATATGTCATTTGAATTGGAAATCTATAAGTTACAAACAGGCAGAATCCAATTAGGGTTTCTCAAAATCTTGTGAATAAACTTGTTCCTCTTTCCTCCTGTAGGCCACTTCCAATGTCGTGAGAAGAAACTTGTTCCTTCTTCCACCTGTAGGCAGCTAATATTATCTTGATCTCCAGAGGCATCATCTTTCTCTCAAGGGCATCTTCAATCCCTAGTCTGACCCCATGACGCTTCCTAAAAAGTACAAATTTGCTATATAAATCCATGCCCCGTCCTTTTGGTATATGATCAAGAGCGAACTTGTAGATACACATTGCACGCAAGATTTCTTTGCCCTGCTCTTCGAATTCGGCAAAAGCCACCAGCAACTGCTCTGCTGCCTCATTAAAATCAGCTAGGTCTACCTTCTCCAGTGCCCTCTCATACACCTCCCTTGCTCTCGCAACCTCACCATTACTAGTCTCAAACTTGGCATATTGAATCCAAGCCTGGATTTGATTTGGTAGACATTGTACAGATCGCTCGCAAATTGCCCTAGCACCCTCCACTAGTTCATTATGGAGAAGCTGGAGCTCACGTGCCTCATGGAGAATTTGCTCGGCAGTGATTTGGACAGTGGCTGGGATTTTGTTCTGAACCATGGCCGGTGGTGGTAGCTTGGCCTGCAAGTCATCTTGGGTTGGCTCTGCTTGATTGAAGGAACTCATGGCTGGGAGTAGGATTTTCTCACCCGCGCTGTCTGAAAACTAAACAATTCGATTTGGATCACAAATATTTTGCAAACTTGCTGTGATGTAATGGGTTGCAGAGTGCACATTTGATAGGGTGAGAAGCGGAGGTATATATAGATCTTGCATTTTCCAACTAGGATTAGGATTGGAAACCAAAATTCCCAATAAAACTGAGAATCCCATTCCAGTTTAGAAAAGGATTTTGTTTTTAGTTTTTCTTGTTCGCTTATACTAACAAAGTCAAACGACGAGTCGTTTTGGGTTTTATAAACCCCCTTTTACAATCCCAAAGCTACTCCAACGCGGTCGTGCCCTCACGGCCACATCCTCCATCTCTCCCAATTCAAATAAACCATTAAGAGCCAGTTTGGCATTATTGTGCTGTGAAAATAATCGCTGTCAGATTTGCTATGAGAGAAATCAGCTGTTAGAGAAAGCAGTTTGGCGTTTGGTAAAATTTTTGTTAAAAGTGTTGTTGGTATTGATTTTACGCATAATCAAAAAATGATTGCCGCATAATCATTAAACCCAACGCATCTTTGAAACTGATTCCTACATAATCAGAAAATGAAAGCACCTCATTAGCTGCTTTCCCTTATAGCTTTCTCTCACAGCAATTTTTAACAATAAGTGATTTTCTCACAGTTTACCAAATAGGTTGTGTTTCTCAAAATTTTTAAAAAATCACTTATTACCCCAAATAAGCAATACCAAACGGGCACTAAATCCACACGCTCCTCACTTGATTCGAACGGGCATGTCGTTGGCATGTGTTGTTGAAGACAATTCTGTTAATCCATATTTGAACTGTCAAAACCTTGGTGTTCCTCTTCAGCGGACCATCAGATTGTAAGTAACATCTGCTATATTTGTATCTTTCTTTTCTCTCATTGAAAATAAAAATAAAATTTGAATCCCTTAATAATTTATTGAGTAATTAAAAACTGATCATGTCTGACATTAATACTAATTTTCAACACATCGATTTTGTCCCTAAAACCAGGAAAAGTAAAATAAAAGCATATTGATTTAATCAAATAATGTAGCTACCACTAAGGATTTGGTGTGAACCAAACAGGTCGGATAGAAGATCGGTCGCTAGAAAAACTCTGGGAGAAATCAAAACGTCTAATGGTCTTGTCTGTCAAGGAGAAGACTCCGAAATCATGTTTGCTTGATGGTGATTCTACACAATAATAATCAAAAGCAAAATAGATGCAATTTCTTTCAAGCCTCTCACCACGACCATGGTTACCATTAATATTGTTGGTAGTGGTAGTAGAGATGAATTGGTTGCCAATCTCGCTCACAAACAACGTCCGGTCACCAAGGTCAACAACCTCTACCCATGGCGGAGTGTTATTGAACTCTAGTTTCAACACTCGAAATCCTTTAGTCTTAGGTGGATTTACGTAATTATGAAAGGTGATCCGAGGAAAGAGATTGAACGGACCGGTAACATAACTTGCCTCACGAACAATCATAAACAACTCCACTGATGCAGAATCTTGTGCTAGGGAAATGTATCCGGTGTCAGTGAGACGCTGGATTACTTGTCCGCTTCTTATCACCCTTTCTCTATAATTAGCTAGGAAAAGACAGGGAGGTGGCCAGGGACGAAGCAAAACCAACTTTTCAACCCTATGGCTGGGTTGGCTGCCATTGCTGCCATTGGCATCTTCTTGGATTATTATGTGAAACAACCTTAATGCCACCCGTGTCGTAGCATATATTTTCCCATGCATTATAACTACATCGTAAAAAAGAAGCTCCTCCTCCTCATCAATTGAGGTCCATGATATGTCGTTTATCATGCAAAATTCCAAACGACCCGTTGAGCAAAGTCTCACCACAAAACAGGGTGGTGGTGGTGGTGGTTGTTGTTGATGTTGGCTTCTTTCCCCATTTCCTGTTGGTCCTGAAGAGGCAACTAACTTGACAGTGGTGCAGCCTTCCACACATTCGCAGTAGTATTTTGATGAGGGAAGCGTCACTCGGGCACCTGATATTGGATTCCAGAAGAAGTAGTGAACATGAAAGAAAAAGCCCTTACGATCAACCATAATCAACCATCCTCCAATTGAGCCGGCCGAAACATGTCAAACACTTCCTTTTATTATAAAAGGGATTTGATGGGGATGGAATTTTATGAACTTTTCCGTCACTTAGACTTAAAAACCAATAATCTCTGCCGGCGGAGGGATGATAACATAGCATAAGCCATGCAAGCTCAGGAGCAGGACGACATTGCATGCTTTTAATCATTGCTTGCCAAGAACGGCAGACTGCACCACATCGAACCCAATCTGATACGCCTAGTCGTTGTACAATCAATTGCATAATCTCTTTTGGGACTTGTTTCGACCACAGGCTGCTGCTGCTGCTACCGAGAGGGAGCAATAACATTATGTGAAATACCAAGCAGTAAAGAATTATATCCTTCCTTGTCTGCAATCTGCGACACATATAGAAATATACATCTTAGTTCCACATCAATTAACGAAATATGCCATTCATCATACCTTAATCTCCACCACAACTATATTGTGTCGTACAAAAGGCAGTGATTGTGTACTCACCCTGGTGCGTTCATCAGCTCATTCTGGAATTTGACGAAACCCTAGCTAGGTTATTGACTTGCGTACGTGTTTGGATTCGCATCAGGCTTTTATTACTTGAAAACAAAATGGAGTTCTATATCTACTGGATTATTAATTGTTGCGGTTAGCAGTGCTTTACTTAAAAATATTGGCTTTTTTTTATATCTCTCTTTTTGGTGAAACTTGAAAATATTAGTAAGTTTTGACCCGAAAAAAGAGCAAATATTAAGAAGTTTGGGAGTTCTTATGACATACAATAGTTGACTTTTCCCCCTTGGGCATACATCTCTCGCTCATTTAAGGTAATGCATACATCTCGCACTTCAAGTTACATAAATTTTGAATTTTGTTGTAATTATTTGGTGGCATTGATTCTCTCGTTCTGAAATTTAAAGAATATTGGGTTAAAATGAATAAGCGAGAATAAGGCCTTTTTATTCATTCAAATACTAGCCTATCTACACACACTCTCTAGACAACCATCAATTGTAAAAAAAGTGGGAATTATTATGCGCAACTAGCACAACATACTACTATAAACCATCAACTACTAAAGAAGAGAGACCCATATGAGTCATAAACCATATAAACCATCAACTACTTAGAGGTTGGTTTTTACGGTTTTCCGGTCTAAAATGTCACCCCTCATATGATATGACCAACGGAGCAGGCCAAACCAAATGATGAGATTTCGGCCTAATATATTGGGCCAAGCCGAATCTTCACTCGGGCCTCAAAACAAAGGAAGTAAGACGAAACGAAGTTGTGGTGCTGTGACGCATGTGAGATTATATTAACCAAGTCAAACGACGAGTCGTTTTGGGTTTTGTAAAGCACTTCGTTCCCGCTCCCGCGCCCCCACTGCTTCTCTCACTCTCTTCTCTGGGTGTGGAGAGAGCTTCCACAGTTGTCTTCCTCCTCCTCCGTACTCATCAATGGAAAATGTGAGAATTTTCACAATTGCAGAGCTACTCCAACGCGGTCGTTCCCTCACCGCCACATCCTCCATCTCCCCCAATTCAGACGAAACATCAAAGCCCTCCACAGACTCCATTCCCATCCATCCACTCAAACCCTAGCCCCAACCCCAACCCTAGGCATAAGGATCTTCCCCCTCTTGAACACTTGGCCATCATCTTTGGAACCCTAACCCTCCCCACCGCCATCGACGCCTCCGCTTCAGCCTCTTCAAACACCACTCATCGATGCTACTACAACACTTGCTTCCAATTCACTTAACTTCGACAATCGGATTATGGGGAAGAAAATCAGTGTTCTTGCTTGGAATTTCATTCCCTGGAAACTTGGTGGCGGATTCTTGGAGATTATCAGATGGAGTTTTCAAGATTCCAATAGCTTACTTCGTCCCTGTTCGAATTCAATTCCATTCCTCTTGGTTCGGACTCTTTGAGTAGCCACGAAGACAGCTCCAGAGCTTGTCATGGTGTATTTGGCGCATTGGAGGTAGGTAGCCCTGTGTCCTCTGTTCCCTGTGCAAACGGTAATTTGAAAACCAATAAGGCTTCAGATTCAAACCGCCGAGGCTTTTTACTCCAATTTATGGTTTGTGAGTGTAAATTCTGCAGTTCAAAGGAGGTAGTTACAGTTTTGAAGGATTTCAATTCAAGAAAAAGACGCACACTCTTTTACAAACCAGTGCTTGTATATAGTTCTGGTTCTGTTTCGTCATGGCATCCTGTTTTTACAAAACTTGTAGGAAATGTTGTGGCTTTATCAGGCTTGAAAAGTTTCTATTCGCAGCATGGATTATTCATGGAACTGTGCAACCATGATTCATGTGTCTCTGGCTGTGGACCGTACATCGGTAACCTGAATTTGGTATGTCCTGTCCAGAATCATTTGTGTGAAGTGATCTACTTTTGCATTGGCTTGCTTCTGTTTAATGTTGGGCACGTTGATTAGGTATAGAACTGTCAATTTCTTACAGCTGTCTGGCGTTAAGTTATTATTGCTGAAAAGTAACTTTTATATATGTTCTTAAGTTCAGGTAGTTCCCTTATCTATTTTCATATGTCATTGTGAGGCCTTATGGATGAGAGCATTGCAGTTGGAAAATAGCTGTGAAAAACTGCATGATGACAAGAAATATAGCCTTCAACTCTGTGAAGGGAGATCTCATGTTCAGTCTGTTAGAAAGATATTTTCAAGTGAAGATATGGGTGTATCTTTGATGGGAAGTTTGAAGGTTAGTGGTTGGTTTCCTATTTCTTAATTTCTTTAGGTATATACTGATATATGAAATTTTCTATCCCATTTGTCTAAACTGCGATTTTGTTCTTTGGCATAACAACTGTACATGATAACATCTGGTTCCAAAATGCTGGGAAGTACGGAAAGCTTTAGTTTGTTGATTGTGACAGAATAATGATTTACTGCATGACGTTCAGGTTTTTTCCTTTTAACATAAAATCAACCTTTCTATCATTAACTGTGCTGTTATATGCTTGCGTTCTGGAAAGCATATGGAATTGTTAGATCGCTAATTAGTACTCGGTAAACAGGTATATCACAATGCATGGCGTGAACTTTGTGAAGGCATGACAGCCGCTTGATCTCTGGACGAAGTCATAGAAGTACATGAATTGTATTTGTTGACAATTCAGCGGCAGTGCTCAGTTTGTCTTGTTTGAGAACTCATGGACTATGAAATAATTGTTTATTCCCAGAGGAAAGCTGAATTGTGTTTATTACTCTCTTTTGCATCAGTGGGCTCTGATAGCAAGCAGGATTAACAACATCCTGGGATAAGCATTGGACTTTTATTCTATACAGCTGACACTTAGTGGAGGAACAGTTTCTGCAATTAAGGCCAAATGTGAAATGGAAGTTGACCGTATTGAGAAACAGTTCGATGATTGCATTGCTTTCCTGCTCAGAGTAATCTTCTCTTTGCGTTGGGTTTGATTCAGATAGGACTGATTTTAAGATTTGCATTTAACGTGTGGTTTGGTGCATGCTGATTCTGCAGGTGCTTTCTTTCAAGCTCAATGTGGGCCACGTTCCTCATCTAGCAGATTTGGTAACTAGGATAAACTACAATTACTTTTACATGTCATTAAACACAATTACTTTCAAGCTCAATGTAACTAGGATAAACTACAATTACTTTCAAGCTCAATGTAGGCCACTCCACTGCCCTCTCATACACCTCCCTTGACCTCGCAACCTCACCATTACTAGTCTCAAACTTGGCATATCGAATCCAAGCCTGAATTTGATTTGGTTGACATTGTACAGATTGCTCGTAAATCGCCCTAGCACCCTCCACGAATTCATTATGGAGAAGCTGGAGCTCACGTGCCTCACGGAGAATTTGCTCAGCAGTGATTTGGACAGTGGCCGGTGGTGGTAGCTTGGCCATCAAGTCATTTTGGGTTGGCTCTGCTTGATTGAAGGGACTCATGGCTAGGAGCAGGATTTTCTCACCTAAGCTGTCTGAAAACTAAACAATTCGATTTGGATCACAAATATTTTGCAAACTTGCTGTGATGTAATGGGTTGCAGAGTGCACATTTGATAGGGTGAGAAGCGGAGGTATATATAGAACTTGCATTTTCCAACTAGGATTAGGATTGGAAACCACAAATCCCAATAAAACTGAGAATCCCATTCCAGTTTAGAAAAAGGATTTTCTTTTTTGTTTTCCTTGTTCGCTTTGTTTAATGAAATAGAAAATCCTTTCTCAACCCAAAAATATAAAATATAAAAAATTCTAACACACATTACTGAAGTGTTATCCGGGTTCACACATACCACTAATATGTAAGGCCATTTTATTAGCTACACCTCTTCGGGGAAAAAACAGACGGCTGAAAAAGTAGAAATTATTATGTGCGACTGCCATGTCATACCACTCCAGGCCCAAAATAAACGAAATCATACGAAACGAAGCTGTGGGATTGCGACGCGTGTGAGATTATGCTAACAAAGTCAAACGACGAGTCGTTTTGGGTTTTATAAACCCCTTCGTTCCCGCTCCCGCGCCCCCACTGCTTCTCTCACTCTCTTCTCGGTGTGTGGAGAGAGCTTCCACAGTTGTTTTCCTCCTCCTCCATCCTCATCAATGGAAAATGTGAGAGTTTTCACAATTGCAGAGCTACTCCAACGCGGTCGTTCCCTCACCGCCACATCCTCCATCTCCCCCAATTCAAACGAAACATCAAAGCCCTCCACACGCTCCATTCCCATCCACTCAAACCCTAACCCCAACCCCAACCCCAACCCCAACCCCAACCCCAATCCTAGCCATAAGGTTCTCCCCCCTCTTGAACACTTGGCCATCATCTTCGGAACCCTAACCCTCCCCACCGCCATCGACGCCTCCGCTTCAGCCTCTTCAAACACCACTCCTCGATGCTCCTACAACACTTGCTTCCAATTCTCCGACGGCTCGGCTTCCATCTGCTGCGACATTCTTGACTTCGACGTTCGGATTATCGGGAAGAAAATCAGCGTTCTTGCTTGGAATTTCATTCCCTGGAAACGTGGTGGCGGATTCTTGGAGATTATCAGATGGAGTTTTCAAGATTCCAATAGCGGACTTCGTCCCTGTTCGAATTTCAATTCCATTCCTCTTGGTTCGGGCTCTTCAAGTGGCCACGAAGACAGCTCCAGAGCTCGTCATGGTGTATTTGGCGCATTGGAGGTAGTTAGCCCTGTGTCCACTGTTCCCTGTGCAACCGGTCGTAGCAATTTGAAAACCAATAAGGCTTCAGATTCAAGCCATTCGTCAAGCCTCCGAGGCTTTTTACTCCAATTTATGGTTTGTGAGTGTGAATTCTGCAGTTCAAAGGAGGCAGTTACAGTTTTGAAGGATTCAATTCAAGAAAAAGATGCACATTCTTTTAACAAACCAATGTTTGTATATTGTTCAGGTTCTGTTTCGTCATGGCATCCTGTTTTTACAAAATTTGTAGGAAATGTTGTGGCTTTATCAGGCTTGAAAAAGAAGTTGGTTTTTATAGGAAAGGAAGAGTCTAAACTAATGTATGTAACTATGGAAAATTCTGCATTGCATCTGCTTAGATTGTCATGGAAATGGCGGCCAAAATGTACGGCTGTTGCCAAAGGAAAAGGTGAATGTGGCACATATAGAGGGATAGTCAAAGGTGTGTATATGCAAGGGATGGTTGTTGAGTTGGACAATGAGGTGTGGCTTTTGTTAACCGATCAACTGCTTACTCCACCGCATAGCCTTAGGGCGGGTGCACTCGTAAGTCCTATATCTTTTGTTAAATTTTTTGCCTTAAATGATTTTGATCTATACTATTTGTCAATTTGATTTTTAGAACTTTTCAATTTTTTGGCCTTTTTTTCAGGTTTCTGTGAGAAATGTCCATTTTGTGAACCCCAGATTTTCTTGGACAAAAATTCTTATACTTGGTGCTTGCTTTAAGACTAGTGTTATTGTGGAATCCTTCTCCCCACTGGAAACTGGGTAAAGACATGTACTATGAATTGCACTGGAGATAATTGTCAATCACACCCTTTTTTGGATGAGCTAATATGCATTTAAGCCATTTAACATCTTTGGGATGCCCAGACATATGCATGCTCAGAAAGTAATATAATTGCATGCTGCAGGTGTCATATACTTCCGCAATCACAGAGTTCGTTGGGGAAGTTCGTTGAGTCCTTAACATTTTCTGCCAGATTATGGTATTGGTTTTTGTTGATATCTCTTTTGTGTTTGGATGGGAAATTCTGTGGTTTTGTTTCCAATGTTTAGAATATATTACTTTCCTGGTTAGCTTACTAAGCAGTATGGTTGAGTTTCAGGGTATTGCTTATTGCCTCATGTTTCCGGAAAAAGTTTTCTGGCATCTTATCTGAGAAGGAGATTTTGGGAACAAAACATGTAATTTACCTTTCAGTTGAAACATTTGTTTTCTTGCACAATGGTTGTTATGTTATTACCTAATAGGGTGAGTTGGATGGTTGCAAGGTGCTACCAGAAGGGAGGGTTTGTTCAGATGTATGCGAGTTCACAATTTCCTTCATATATGCATCCAACTCGGGTAAATTGGTTTTGCTTCTGAATAAGCACACTTCTTTTGTTATACTTTTCTGTTAAAATCTTATATAGTTTATATTCGCAGCATGGAGTATTCATGGAACTGTGCAACCATGATTCAAGTGTCTGTGGTTGTGAACCATACATCGGTAACCCTAATTTGGTATGTCCTGCCCAGAATCATTTGTGTGATGTGATCTACGTTTGCATTGGGTTGCTTCTGTTTAATGTTGGGCACCTTGATTAGGTGTAGAACTGTCAATTTCTTATGGCTGTTTGTTTGGTGTTAAGTTAGTGCTGAAAGGTAACTTTCATATATTTTCTTAAGTTCAGGTAGTGCCCTTATCTATTTTCATATGTCATTGTGAGGCCTTTTGGATGAGAGCAGTGCAGTTGGAAAATAGCTGTGCAAAATTGCATGATGACAAGAAATATGGCCTTCAATTCTGTGAAGGGAGATCTCACGTTCAGTCTGTTAGAAAGATTTTTTCAAGTGAAGATATAGGTGTATCATTGATGGGAAGTTTGAAGGTTAGTGGTTGGTTTCCTATTTCTCAACTTCTTTAGTTATACTGCTGAATGAAATTGTCTATCCCAGTTGTCTAAACTGCGATTTTGTTCTTTGACATAACAACTGTACATGATAATATCTGGTTCCAAAATGCTGGGAAGTACAGAAAGCCTTAGATTGTTGTTCGTGACAGAATAATGATTTACTGTATGACGTTCAGGTTCTTAGGTGTTAGCATATTAATAGTCAAGTCTAAATAATTTATAGTTGAGATTTGCACATTTACAATTAAATACTTTTGGTTTGTCATCACCCTAACATTTGTGTAATTCAACAATTTTTTTAATTACAGTTGATTTATTCACCATTTTATATTGAGTATACAGACTTCTCCATCTTCTGGAAGGCTGCAGTTGGTTGATGCAACTGGGAGCATTGATGTTCTTATACCAGACCTTCCATCAACTTGGGATGCCAATAGAATATACAAGGTCGTGTATGACAATAGAATATCTGGACATAGCTACTGATCTCTACATGTCCATTACACCCTTTATGTATCTGGACATAGCTACTGATCTCTACATGTCCATTACACCCTTTATGTATCTGGACTCACTTATTTCAGTGTGGCTTTCCAGGTAGCTGACTTCAGTCTTGTTATTGAAGGAATGCCTCAGTCTGTGGAGTGTATAGGATTGCTCGACAATGATTTATTCTCATGCAGAACCCTCTTTCATTTCATACCGTTAGCAAGAAAGATGAATTTAACAGTTTATGTTTACTTTCGTCTGAGAAATTCAATGTGCAGAAATCTACCCATTTATCCTTGTACTGGACCAGGAGAAGATTTGAAGAGACTTGAAAGTGGAATGTTTCACTTGCTTTTGGTTACCCACAAATTTCCAGTGCTACAGAAGGTATATTCCAAATTTATTATCTTATGTAATTTCAGTAATGTTTCCAAAAGCTGCTCTGAGGAGTTCCACATACTTTTCATAAACCCCAAAATGGAAGAAGGGGACTCTTGATAGTAGACATGGAAATACTGTGTTTCCTTTACTTATTAGTGATCTACTTTCTTGAATTTTAACAGTATCAAGATGATGTCGTTATAGAAAACTCTTCAAGCATCTTTGTGGAGGCTATAATCTTGCCTTGGGATTTATTTCTTGCTGGAAGCTATGAGATTTCATGTCCAACTAGGGCTTTTGGGGATAATCCGAAGAATTCCATGGAAAGTGCTGGTGGAAATTACTTGGACCATGTTTCTCCCAAGAGGCGTAAGGTTAATCATTCATCAAGCAAGGGATTAAGTTCTAATTCAGTGAACAATTCCTCCGAGGCAGTCAGAGAACCGAGTTCTTGTTCTATTTCTTACAAGGAATCCAGGGAGAAACAGAAATATTGTGACTTGACATCTCGTGAGATATCTTGTTCGGCTATGATTAGTGGAGTCAACGGTCACAGTCTAGTTGGTTCAGTTATCTTGCATTGCACTAGGGCCAAATTAAATAATGGTGGCTTTTGCAGACCAAGTGGACAGAAGGTATTGCTGGAGTTTACATCTGAAAGTTTTTATAAGTATCAGGTGCGTCAGATTTCTCCTTTTCATGGTTAGGACATGCTTGAGTAAATAATTCAGTGAAATAAACTGCACTAATTTTTGTTTACATTTCAGTTGTTGCATATTGGTTGTTATTATATCACAAAGCATGATGGAGAAGATTCTTTTTGTAATCTCAAAGATTCTAGCTATTCCAGCAGTGATAACATTCTTATCCCTTCCACAACCCATCTGTGGAGCCTTTCGTTTACTTCTGATGAGATTTGTCAAAACAATAGCTCACCGAAGTGTCTCCCATTAGATAACTCTCTGAGAAATAATGAGGTTCTATCTGAACATCATAACGAAGTACGTCTTCAGATGTCCCCTGGAAATGGTTCTGAAAACTCTTCAGATATTTCTCTCTGTCTCCCTGAAAATGTTATCAGTTTTGGAGAGGTAATCCTGAAGGAATTGGAAGAGGGCCTGATCAAGCCAGTTGTGACAGCTCAAGGGATTCCTAAAATATCTTCATGCATTAGTCTTGCAATGACTGCGCCTCTGCTGTCACTTGATTCGAACGGCCTGTTTCCTGAGGGAAATCTATTATCTTTGTGTGGGCATGTCATTGCTGTTCATAGTGCGGAAGACAATTCTATTAATCCATATTTGAACTGTCAAAATGTTGGTGATCCTCTTCAGTGGAGATTCTTGCAGAGAGCTAAAAGCAGTTGTATTCATGTTTTGGTAGACCATCATATTGTAAGTAACATTTCTATATTTGTATCATTCTTTTCTGCCTCATTGAAAATAAAAATAAAATAATATTTTGATATCATTTCGTCATGTTAATCAAATAGGTAAGGCTATCTGGTTCCTTGAGTGGACGTGCTTTTCCTGTCGGATTTGGACCTGGTGTGGATGCAACATTTCACCGGGTTCTTGAATTGCGGTATGCTGTCTAATTAGTCCTTGACACTTTACTGCCTTATCCTTCAGTCCTGATTTATCGTTTGGCAATTTTGGTATTCTCTCTTGTCTAAGGGCATAGTCTGATAATCTTTAGAGGCTTTTAGTATTGCACCAGTCATGTGACAAATTTGTGGGCTTGACCTCTATTCTTTGGTTTCCAGGGGGCAAAATAGATGGATGTTGACATCTGTATCATTTATTGTAATCAATTCCATAAGCGCTGTCAGCTTCCAGAATAACTTCATAAAGGTAGATAATGAATCATGCAGCGACAAGTGCTCCAGTCCTGCTTCATGCATGCAGAATGCTGCACCTCTAGACTTAGTTTCTTCAGGTTTGATTTCTGAGTTGGTTAAGTGCTTGGATTTCAAGCCCATGCGGTTTCATTGCAGGGTAAGTTGTATATTGTCTAGTTTCCCTCCCTACATGATTAAATTTTTTTCTATTTCCTTTTCACAATCTTGTTTGTGGGCAGTTGAAGCTTATTCTTCTGTATCAACATTGTAATTTGTACAGGTTGTTGCCATCCACATCCTAGTTCTGGAGAAGAAATTTAGAAATGTCATTTATCAACCTACAAAACACTTCAGGCCGTATCTTGTTGACATCCCACTTGCCGGTTTTGTTCTGGGTAATCTATTTGTTTATTTAAGAAATTTTGCTATGTTTAACCCTCGTTCTGCATGTTGGCCAAGTCATTCGAAAATTGTAAAGGCATGGTGTATTTGTTACTACTTAATGCTTATCATACTTGGTAAGTATTGATAAAGAATTCAGACTATCATCAACACTTGGAAGCAAGCTTCTTTCTTGTGATGAAAATAAATTTTAAAAAAAAACTCCTTTTGGTGTTGTCTTGTTTCCTTTTTCAGGTTATTAATCTTTTTCTCTATCCTTATGTGTAGATGATGGCTCATCCCCATGTTGTTGCTGGGCTAATTCTGAAAGAGCTGCAACTTTGCTAAGGCTGTATGAAGACTTCCCACTGTCAGCTTTTGAAAGCTGTGGCTGGACCCTAAAGTGGGTCAGGAAAGGCGACAATGCATGTAGTGCCACCATGTACCACCTCGAGAGAATTTTAAAGAATCACGACCGGATTACGGTGAAGAACTTTGGATCAATGTTTGATTCTTCCTATCAAGATCTCGCTGTGTCTGTGAGTTCTGACAATGCCCTCAGTAGCCATGATGAAAATCTTCTAAAATTCATAATCTTCAATGCTTGCTTCAGCAAATTTTGGGTGAGTTCATTTCCAACTAAATTACTGTGGTTTCACGATACAGTTAAAAATCAATTGATTTAGCTACTATATTTGCAGACCGTAATCGGTAGGATGATGGATTCGAATGCAGTCACGCGGTTGAAGACAACAAACCTACTGGAAACGGAGATGTCTATGCATTCCATGCAACATATATGGGGCAGAGAAGTTCATTACACAAATCCCCTCACCGAGGCGAGGAATGTGGTTCAAGAACTCTGTTAGACGGGTGATTGTATTTAAGACCAATTTATGATGTGCAGTAATCAAAGCATTCATATACCCAAAAGCATCTGTGCTGTGAACTCATGAAAACTAGGCTTCATTATCAAAATGCTGAATAGATGAGAAGATTCAATATTTGATCTAGCTATTGCTTTTTGCAAGGACGCTTCATCTTGAGAAGATGAGAGAGACCTGCTATTACATGTAGCCGACTACTCGGAATACCAGTCTTTGCCAGCGCCCTCCCCTTCTTGTCCACCAGCACAAAGCAAGGAACATATCTAACGTCATAATGGAGAAGCTGCAAAAAAAAGGGTCTACTATGTAAACCAGACTATATCATGAAGACAGCAATTTCACCCCCAAGAAAATTACAAGCAAAATAGCCAGTAAAATACCAAATTATTTCATGGGTTCATCAACGTTACCATATTAACATATAAAAATCCATAAATAAAAATAGCTACATCCGTGTAGATATAGAATAGTGTTTTGTGAGCAAAACTAATGGGTCATTCAAAACCAATATCAAGAAATAGAGAAACCTGTGGGTGGTAGTGTACCTCGGGAAGCCATTTATAGTTCTCTGCATCTGCCATAACAATGTTAAGCCAGTCTGCGTTCCTACCTTCAACCTCCCTAACAAAATTAAGCAGAGAATTACACAGCCTGCATTTGGGTGAATAAAACTCAACCACAGTAGCCTCTTTCCCACTTGCTAAAGCTGAGGCAAATGCTCTATGCTCTGCCTCCCCCTGCTCTTCAGGACCCAAGATTGTTTTTGACTTCAAACTGTTACTCTGGCTGGTTCTTGCATCCAACTGGGAGGGCTTAAAGGTATTGGCCAATGAAAACGAGGACCCGGAAACTGAGTTGACGAAATTGAAAGCAATGGACCCAATAGTTTGCAGAGATTTGAATAACCAAGGACCCTCAAAGTTGCAAGCGCTAGGAGTGTTAGCTTTAGCATTTTGGTTCATGTCCCACGGCCATTTTAGACAAAACAAAGGGTGTTTAGGTGTAGAACCCATTTTCCTCTCTAAATTATTTATCTCCCTGAATTAACACTTTCTGAATCACTTCAAGTTCAAACCCTAATGGATGGACATTTGTGACGAAACGTTGACAAAATTGCAGATATAAAACAAGCCGTGGGGAGGCGGTGAACTGCATTAGGATACAAGATATAAGGAATAAAAGTTAGCATTGGGGGGTTATGGAGCCAAATAAAACAATAGCATTGTCAGTTAAAGCATTCAAGTTCCCTTTTCATGGTTTGCAATTCAAGCATGTTAATGGGTTCCCATAAATTCATAAACCCAGTTAAACCCCAAAACCAAAATCAAAATTTTTGGTGCTACCTTCAATCTAATCTAGCTGAAGATAGAAAACAAAACACCCCAAAGACGAAAGCTTTAGATTAATTTAAAAAAAAACAAAGATAAAACATTGTGAAATATTCGAAGAAAGTATAACTACTTACCCCCTGTAGTACCAGAGATTCAATCGCTTGCCTCTGACATAATTGAGTTGCAGAGAGCGAGAGACAGAGAGAGGTATCTGTGTAATTTCAATGGTGGGCCTGAGTCGGTCACTTCTTCTTCTGTGAGCTTTCTTGGGCTTCAGTATATCGCTACACATATTGGGCCACCAGCTGATTTCATGGGCCAGGTAATAACTTGGGCCCACATATCACCGTTGAATTGAATTTTTAGGTTATAGCAGTCAACCAACGAGAACGACCAACAACCCACATTCAGTTGTTTTTAGAGACCTTATTGCCTCTCTAATCATAACCATAAACATGTTTTTCTTCTTACCATAAGTAAGTGGACTTTCGCCAACATCTTGAAGACTAAACGCCCTCGTCGTCAACCATTGTACCCTCCTTTCTTTGTTTTCTCATCCAATGGTACATGAAACTTGAAAAACGGCATTGACATGAGAAGAAAACCCAGTAACAGCACCAGACAATTGACAAAATCTACATTTTCTATTCACAAAAAATGAAAATTTTACATGTTTTCCGGCTCCTCTAGTGAGAAACGAAGGCAAATTGTGGCCGATTTGCTTCAGGACATGTGATCAAAATGCACTATATAAACCTCTTCAGCTCATATCCCCATTACCACAATCTCATTAATTAGATTTCTAGCTCCTTAGTGCCCTGTTGAGGATCAGGAATTTGAACATGGGTGTCAGTTATGGTTCACAAGGATTCATTTTGATTCTTGTAGCTGTCTCTCTTTTTGCACTTGGTGAGGCTAAAACTGTGGTTGTAGGAGGGTCTCAAGGTTGGCGTTATGGCTTCAACTACACTCATTGGACTCTCAAAAATGGCCCCTTTTACATAAAAGACACACTTGGTCAGTACTTAGTTTAATTTCAATTTAATTACTTAATGCAAGCTCAATATTGTTTTTATTGAATAATGTTACACACTTAATTCATAATCCCATATTGATGTACAGTTTTCAAGTACGACCCACCAAGCAATACCCGTGCTCATGACGTGTACTTACTCCCAAACCTATGGAGCTACATAACATGTGATTTCAGGAGGGCAAAATTGGTGGCAAACGCTACGCAGGGAGGCGGCGAGGGGTTTAAGTTTGTGTTGAACCAGTGGGGGCCTCACTACTTTGCTTGTGGCCAGGGTGCCAACAGCTCTCACTGCAATCAGGGGCTCATGAAGTTCTTCGCTGTGCCATGGCCCCGCTGGCATTTTTGATCCTCATGCCTGGGAAGAAGAAGCTGTGCTTTGATTTTGCTGTTTTTGTTTGTTTTATGATTCCATGATTATATATGTATTCAATAAAATTCAGGCAACTTTCCTTTTTCCAGGAAATAAATAAAGGTTGCAACATATCGACCATGAATATGAACTTGAACATAATTATTATTACAATCTCTGTATGAGTTGGTAGGTAAGAGGTAAGGCCCAAAGGTTGATCTTCTCCTGCTATCCTTTTGTCGGTGCTGTTGGAGATGCCTCTCATTTCTGCAACTGCTGATTATTATTGGACGATCTCAATAAATTATAGACACAAGTTCACAAGTGCTTAAATATGGGGAGAGGCTCAACAAAATTTTCTTAGCATCTTCCTCAAAGTGGTACCGCAGCTATGAATTCTTCTTCAACTAACATTGTGGTACGAGTCGATGATTGCATCTGATAGGTATTCACATTTCGCTAAAGATAATCCTGCCAGGGAAATTCTTCCATCCTTTGTCATGTATACATGCCACTTGTTTGTCATGTTCTCGGTCTGACCGGACAAAAACAAAGGAGGTCAGATGTAAATCTAGGGGCAGGGTTTATGGTCAATAAAAATAAATAATATAAAGATCAAATTTGCACGGAATGTTGCAAGAATGAAGAGGACCAGGAACAAAATTCATATCAAGAGATCGAACACCTATAGATAGACTTAGATCATAGTTTAACAGGGGGCAATTACCTGAGCCTTGTTCAAGCCTGTGAAAGAAAACATGCCAATCTGCTTAAGTATGAATGACCAATCCTTTCCACTCTTATCCTTTGCAGTCAAGTTATCGTATAGTTTTTGTCTCACGTTCTTTATCCTTCCAGCCATCATCTCCATCTCTGCTTTCCATTCACTGAAAAGTGTTGGATCTCCAACTACATTGGCCACAATTCTAGCCCCATGAACTGGAGGATTTGAGTACATAGGTCGAGCAATCCTCTTCAGTTGGCTCTTTACCCTGAATATAAAAACTAAAATCATTAGCAGATCCTACAAATTCAGGTATGTCACTATATCTGATCGCAGACTCAAGTAACCGCAATAATGTAACAAATTACAAGAACCAGTTCTTTATTTTTATTCCTTTCTTTGCTTGACAAGAGTTGAACCTAGGATCTACCCGAGTCTTTAAAACTTGAGCCAAGGCCCAAGGGAAACAAGGCACAAAAGATGGTTTAGTGGTTTGCAGATTCAAGTTTCCAAGGCATTCAAATGAAACCTCAAAGAGGATTTCAGTATCCAACACCATACAAAAGATCCAGAAGGAGACTTCAAAACATGAAAAACTATGATGCACATTGCAAGTGTTGGACCACAAATTGATCCAGAATGCAAAGAACAGGCTTGAAATAGCAACAGAGAAAATTAAGTAACCATGTTACTTAGTAAATTATGCAATTATGAGCATTGTCTTATGCCAGAAGATAAATATGTGTAGTATAGTGTCTACTGCACCTTGTTGCTGTATCAGATGATGTGCACACAACATTGATTGCTCCAATTCTTTCTGCATAAAGACCAAGGTTTTTACTGTATGACTGAGCAACCAATAACTCTAAACCACGTGCAGCAAACAATCTGACAGACGCTGCATCAGTATCCAAGCTTCCACTAGCAAATCCCTAAAGCAGAGTGACAAAGTTCAGACATTAACATTATAAAATAACTCCACCTACAGCTCCGCATTTCAACAGAAATTTTAAACCATCATACTTTAATATATTATTAACTTTTCAATATGAAATAGATTATTAGAGATTTCATTCCAAAGATTCAGTGTTATCACTTCCATTTCAGCATTAGAGAAATTACTACAGAAACTAAAATTACAGCTTGACTCCAGCCAGTAGTATGTAGTACAATGTACCTGGTATGCAACATCGAAAAAGGGGATATGGTTTTTTTCTTGAATGACATCAGCAATTTTTTCCCACTGGTCAGGGGTTGGATCTATGCCGGTAGGGTTGTGAGCACAGCCATGAAGCAACACAAAAGATCCTTCAGGTGCTGCCTAGAAGATGGAATGGCATACAAATTAATAGTAACTAATTCCATATTAACAGAGAGAAAAGATTAAATATATTACAAATGCAATTACTGAATAACAAAAACATGTGTTCTCAAGATCCAGGTGATCAATGAGTAACAATTTCAACAATCCATAACTCAATGTAATAACCATGCGTATGCAAATTCCTGTGCAAAACTATATTACCTTTATGTCGGATACCATCCCCTCAAAATCCAAACCAACTGTTTTTGGATCATAATATCGGTACTCTGACCATGGAACTCTAGAGTCATTAAAAATATTCTTGTGGTTACCTGCAATACAATTTTGTTAGGAATGAAAAACAAGTAATCTCGAGACAAGTCTTATAATGATATGGGAGTGATGATACAGACCCCAGGTTGGAGATGATATTAAAACCTTGGCCCCAGGAAAATATCGTTCAATAAGAGCTGCAGCAAGACGAAGAGAACCAGTTCCTGATAGACCTTGAACAGTTGCTACCTTAAAGAAAGGAAAAAAAAAACAATCAAAAGACCAATATAAGGTCAAAGAGATATACTACATGATTAACTTCACAAGAGGCACGAGTTCTGATTTCTCACATACTTTTTGTTGCTTTATTACTGGGTTGTCTGCTCCAAATAATAACTCCGCAGTGACCTTATTGAATGCTGCCAAACCTTCTATTGGGAGGTACTGCATATTTTAAGTGAACTGCAGTTAGTAAATCGTAATTTCAAGAAGAACAAACCACATCAGTTAGATTGTTGTGTATAATTACCTCTTTGTTTTCTCCCCTTTCAATCATAAGATTCTCTGCCTGCAAAATAAAAGGATTTCACTTTATAAAATTTACAATAAGAAACTCAGGATTTCAAAATCTCGTTAGCGAAAAATTATCTATTTCATGAAGAGATATAGCAACCCGACCTTCTTAACAACATCAAGCACGTATGGCTGAAGCTCTTCTGTTCGATATGCCCCAACTCCAAGGTTGAGCTTTGACTGATTTGTGCTAGCTTTGAATGCTTCGGAAACTCCAAGAATTGGATCAGGTGGGGCCATAGTTACGCCCTCAAATTTAGAAACATTCACAGCAGCTACCATAGATATCCGACCAAAAGACTACAGGCAAGACAGCAAAACCACATTAGCATTAATGTTAAACAAAAATTCCAACAAAGCCATAGCAGCTCACGGCATTTACCTCTGTCTTCGCAAATAGATTGTTCCTTTCCTTGTTCAAGCTCAAAAAGGAACTCCCAAGCTTCACCTTCCCCTGTTGAACAAAATCACACCAATGAATTAAGCCGAAAGTCAGTACTTTCTCGGCAACCAAACAGTAAAAGATAAGAAAAGGACGAAACCGTTCATGAAAGTCGCAATTAATTACGAAATGAAATGAGCGGTACCTTGGGAGTCTCATGCGTAGAGAGTGAAGCTGAGGGAGACACAGAGGCTAACGAAAGCATCGTCGAAGCCATCTATCTGAAGCAAAAGCAGAATGTAAACGGTTATTTGCGTGTATAATCAAGAAAACAGCAGAAAAAATTGACGAATCAAGACTGTTAATTACGCGATCTACGAGCAAATCAATAGCTAAGAGTAAGAGATAACGATTATGATGTAATTAACCAGATGGATTCAGATAACGGACTCGAATGAATTGAAAGCTGAAATTCGACGAAGAGATAAAGTTTGTGGAACTCACCGATAGAGGGCGTTGAATACGAAGCGGAGTCCTCAGCGTCAGCTGTCACGGAGAGTGAATGAGTGAGGTCAGGCTAGTACTCTGCCTCTTTAATCAGTGGGTTTTGCGAGCGAATCAGAGTGAGCGTTCGGTCGTTATATCGGTAGTGTAGCTTACAATTATTTAATAGGTGGGATTCAACTTTGCTACATATGCAATTAACGGAAATTTTGGCATTAAAGTTAATACCAAAATCATATTTTAAATTATTACAGTACATAATTGTTGAAATTGAGAGTGCAAGAGTAAACATGTTTTAAGGTGGAAAGTTTAGGATACTAATTTGGAATATAATTTTGTTATAAATAACAAAATTATGTTATAATATGAGAATTAATAACACTACATTTCAATATCTCTTCACATAAAAAATTTCATCATTAATTCACACGTGACCTACAGTAAAAATGTTGTTTTTCCTTTTTTTCCCACGCAAACGAACCACTTTTTGTAACATACAAATATTAAGAAGAAGAATCGAAAATAAAATTTCAGATTATATAAATAATATGGGACGAAGAATCAAACATAGAATATCAAATATTAAAAAAGGAAAGGATCGAACGTAGCACCTCAAATTCGTGAACAATTACTCATTTTGTTTGTATACAAGCGATCACCGAGCAGCTCGGATACACGCTTCTTTTGATGCCAGTTTAGGGGTATTTTTGAGCAAGTAATGTCTTCCTTCCCAAACCCATATGGCACAAAAAAATCTCGCCCAAAACCATTTGACATCAATTACCTGAAAATATCCTTCAACTAACATTGAAAGAAGCGAATAAGTGGCACACAACTTACAAGCATGCCACATAGGCAGATTAATAGAAATTTCGCTATTGAAATTAACACCGGAATCATATTGCAAAAAATTAATAAGATTAGATACATAATTGTTAAACTCGAGAGTGCATAGACAAACATGTCTTGAGAGTGAAAGTTCACGATACTAAACTGAAACTAACCCCCAAATTTTTGTCGAACATACGTGTCCTGGTCACTTGCAGAGTGAAGATTGAAGAAGTTCAGGTATTTTCAGATGAAACTTGAGAGATCCGAAGATAAAATCTCAAATTCTCAACTTGATTCATTTTTACCTTATCCTGCTGACAGACGGGAAAAGAAATTTCAACTTGATTCATTTTACTTTATCCAGCTAAAAGAAATTTCATCTTCAACTATTTCGTTTTAATTCAATTGTTGGGTGTAGGCGGACACCATAACATAGAAGAAAAAACCGTTGTTTCAAATGTTTGGGCGGTGTATATCTGCATATTGATCTTTCAAAAAATTATTGAATAGCTGAATAGTTCTTGAATCAAGAACAAGAGCGTACAAATTAGCAGAGGAAATCAGCTATGAGGAGAATTTTTCATCTCATCATACACAAACAATCATGATTTTGCCCTATCATAGAATTCTCCTGCAGAAACCAAACGAGAGATGGGGCAAACACATACAACCTCAGATGAAGGATTTGGGTGAACTGGGAATTCATTTGACACTTGAAATTGATTCAGGGAAGCTAAATCATAATAAACGTCTGAAAATAGAGAGACTCTTATGAGTTCTTACAACTGGGTTCTCAACAAAGTACAAAAACATTAAGCTCTGGAGTCTGAATCAAAACTAAAACCCCTAATCAAATTACAAAATAAGCCAAATGACATTGGAGCAAAGCACCTCAGAAACCGAGCTTGGTGCGGCGCCAGTGCCTGCGCTTGGCGTTGTACCTGATACATACATGAACAAATTTGATAACTTGTAAGCATCTAATCTGAGAACCGATCAAGAACAAAATGAAAATTAACAATGAAATTCCAAAATAATTAAAGCAGAGAAAGTAGTTTGGACCTGATGGTGTTGTCGGTCCTCAAACGGATCCAGTGAGGGATGGGCCTGTTCTGCCTCATCTTCTTCGCTAGCTTCTTCTTGATTATGAAGGTCTTGTGGGACGGCTGTGCATATTCATCATAAACCCGATGAGAAATTTACTTCAATCCCATGAAATCAACAAAGTACAGGAACTAACAGAGATATATATAAAGATCGATGCAATACACATATGCGTAACCAGAGAGCAGGAAGAAGGGAGAAGAGAGAGAAAGGTTCACCATTTTCGCGCTTGGAGATCCGCCGCGACGGTTCAGAGCAGAGAGCAAGGAGCGATAACCCTAACAACAAAAAGGCACTACTGGACGACTAGGAAAGACCGGCGCTTTTTTTAGTTTTAATATAAAGGAAGGGCAAAGTTGGAATTAGAGGTCGACTTACCTGCTGGGTAGCTAAGCTATTGACCAACGTAGTTTCACTGGCCCAAGTACTGAAGATAGTGGGCCCGATAGTTTGACCTTTCTCTCCTTTTTCTACAGAAAGGTATGGCTTCATTGGTCCGTGAGGCAATCTTTAACTTGGCCCAAACCAAAACCAGTTTCTACGTCGGTTCATGTCGGTGTAAAGGCCAGATTTTATTTGGTTTCTAATCCATCGCCAACGTGTAGGAAGATTCATGAGGATTTAATTTCACTCGTCAAGCGCGGCTATATTCGTTTTATGTAAATAAAAAAAACTTTTAAATAGTATAGCTGTACGGCTTTACTTTTTTGACACGTGAGTATATGGGCGATAGGCGGCTATACGCAGTTTTAAAATTTTATTTTTAAAAATGCTATACTCGGTTTTTAAATTTATTTTTATAAAAAAAAATATAGCCGTTCGGGTTTACATGTTTGACTCGTGGATATATATATATATATATATATATATATATATATGTAGTACAATTTTTAAAATTTATTTTTAAAAAATATTATAGCTCGGCTATACGTTTTTTTTTTTTTTTTTTTTTTTTTTTTTTTTTCACGTGAGCAACAATCGCTAGGCCGGTCCTCTTATACTTTTTTTTAAAATAAATAGTATAGCCGTACGGCTATACCAGATTTTTAATGTTTTTCAAAAACATTATAGCCGCACGGCTATACTCTGTTTTTCCTAATTATGTTTTAAAATAATATAGCCTCCCGGCTTTACATTTTGACACATGGCTCCTATGCGCTGGGCAGGTCTTTTTTTTAATATATAGTATAGCCGCGCGGCTATACTTAGACTTGTGCCGACGAACTTTTGTCGAGAGAGGTTTTTTTGTTTTGATTTTAAAAAATATATATAATTAGTTTCTTGACTTCTTTTGTTTTTGCCAGCTTCTTTAATTTAATATATGTAATTAAGTAATATCTTAGACTTTTTGAATTACTTTGATTAGTAATTATATTTTAGTTATTGTTTATATACGATTAATAATGTATTATATACGTACATATTTTTCAATAATACATCCGTGTTCTGCAAATATCTTAAAGACTCAGTTAGGTTCACGTTCTTAAAAAGCAAATGTACAATACTCATATTATACACGTATTTTTTTACAAAAATTTCAATAAGACACACAAACTTGACGTATTATACACATAATTCTCACATATTATTGAATAAAAATAATTTATATTAAAATATAATATAGTGGCCAAACTTTTAAGTTCATGTGCCAAAATTTTGCCTAATAAAACACGTACATATTTCATTCATATTTTTTCCTAATTCTTTTAAAAGTTTGACTTGCAAACGAGTTATTTAAAAAGAAATTATAATAAAAGTCATTGATAGACATGGTTAAGCTAGTTGTTTAGGACAGTGAATCTGTCCCATTACACCCATGTTCGAATCTCTCTCCGTAAATTAAATTAATTTAGAGTAATTTAGATTATCATTTTTATCCCCATAAGAAAAAAACTTTACTCTTGTAGAACATTTTCCGTAGTGCAATTTTAGTGATGGCTTTAGAACTGGAATGTATTATTGGGTGATTTTGCCCGTTCATAATGGAAACAATAAATGAATAAATAGTTGTAAAGAGAAAAAATAAAATTTGTAATTTGGGCGTTTGGTTTGGTGACGTGGACCGAACACAAGAAAACGAGTAAAGCCTGTTGTGATTAATGATGATGACAGAGAAGCAGTAGTGTATGAAATTGTCCAGAGCCCACAACAATTCTTCTTCATCTTCTCAACTCAGCGTACAAAAGGAATGAGCAAGTACTCGGCATAGAAGAGCTACAGCCAACATATTTTTAAGTCAGTGCCAAATAAACCAATGCATTCTTATGCACATTTGCTTGTATAATGTCACACAGGCATGTGCTACTTATCATGAACACAAAGAAAACAGACAGGTGGTAAGAGTAAGAAATCCGTCACCTTCCAGATGAACATGTAAAAGGAAGTTAGAGAGGCTTTATCAGCTATATCGACAGATCGAGCTCGGAGCCAAAGAAGGGAAGCGAGTGCAGTGTGGCCTAGTATCTGCAACCAAAGCCTATGTATCAGTAAAACATGTAAAATTAATAGCTAGCAGAGTAGAAGTTTGAGTAAGAGATGGGGGTACACATACAGTAAAAAGCTTGCTAGGTAGGAAGGGAGAAGAAGCTCCTACCACCAGGGCAGCCCCGTATGCAGTTAACAGCATATTTACACAAAACCAATATACCTGTAAACAGTGTACAGAGGAAGGAGCAAATATTAAGAAGTACACAGAATGTATATATATATGTCCTAAGAAAAGAAAAAGAAAAAGGAAAAAGGAAAAACTAGTAACCTTTTCTTGTCCAAGGCTGACGCTGAAGGATTGAATGCCATAATATCTATCACCATCCACATCAGGTATATCCTGTTCAAATGCCAAGGACAAATTACCCCTGCACTCGAGGTTCATATTTTTTTTTTAGTTTAGCAGTTGTTTACCTTGAATAACGCAATAACAGAGGAGAAGATGCACATGAAAACAACCGCAAATGCCAAGGATCTTGTCATCTTAACAGGTCTACCAAGTACAAATTTCTGCAAAATACATATATATACTGCTTTAGTTTTGTCAAATATTTGGCTTCTTCAGATAAAAATAAAAACTAACCGGTGTATGTTACCTGGATGTGTACATAGAAAGCAAGCTGGACAACGATGGCCCTCACAATTAGGATGCAAGTAGCAGCAAGAAAGGCATGTCTCTTCCACCGCAGCAAAGGAAGCTAATCAACAAGTTAAGATGGATGAAGTAAGGTAGGTACTTGGCTAGCAAAGTAAGAGACTATATGAAGAGGCACAAGAAACTCACTTCAATGGAATAAACACTTCCAAGCAGAAAACTGATGAGAAGGGCACAAAACAACGGCGGAGATTTAAACATAACTCCCATGGCAAAACTCTGAAAAATAACAGACAACAACTAGTGAGTAACAGAGATTTATACTGTAGAAACACTAGGTGGTCTCATATCAGTGGCAATTGATTACCATCAACAAAACTGTGGAAACAATTGTGATCCCAGTTCCCATAGAGAATTCACCAGAAGCAAGAGGGAGCTCAGGTTTGTTAACCTGAGAAGCAAGAGAAAAAGATACAAAATTAATGAACATTATATATATATATATATATATATATACACAGTATTTTTCATCCTTCAATTTGGTCTCACTTAATTTTATACCTTGTCAATTTCGACGTCAAACAATTGATTCAATCCCACCACATAGATGTTCATTAGGATCGATGGCGCCAATGCCTGAGAGATATGATCAATCATTGAAAAAACAATCACATGTAAGAAGCCCATTTTACCTGTGGCATCAAACAGTAGTGTTTCGAATTTTCTAATATACCTTCAATAGTCCTATGAAAAATGCAGAGGACAGGTCAGTAACATTTTCTAATGGAAGAAGAGAGACCGATGAGATTCCTATAACCTGAAAACAAAAAAAAATTAGTGAATTAGTGAACCTCAAAATTAAACTGTTCAATCCAAATGTAATTTATATCAAATTTTGAAAGGAACATGTGAAACTCACAGTGCCAATTACAGTGTGAGGACGACAAAAGCGATGAAATGCATCCCATTGTTTACAAAGGCCAGTCCGAAAATGATCACCTTCATTCTCTGGTTTTGATGATGAAGCATAACCCCAATGTTGAGAACAAACAGGTTGGCAATAACATTTCTTGAATCTTTTACTAGGGTTTCTTCTGGTGGTCACTGTGATCTTCTGATCATAGTTTGGATTGGCATTGGTGGCTAGAGATGATAAGTTTCTGGAACAACATTGCGGCAAGGGCTTCTTCTTGATTACGTTGCAATGTGTTGTTGGCTTCACTGGCACTTGAAGTAGTAGCATTACGCAATCCCAAAAATTTCAAAGACGAATAAGATATCATTATATCAAATTCAACATAAAAAAAGGTAAAGGGGATCAACCATGAAACTGAAACCTAGTTACTGCATTTTGCATGCCTTTGTATTTTCATTTGATGCATTGTAGGGTTCAAGTTATGACTTATTTTTTACCACTTTAAAATAAAATAAACACTGGCAAAACGAACTCCATATTTTTCTTAACAGATAAGTTCAGTTATCAAAACAATCAAAAGCTATGATAAGAATGCAGCACATTTTTTGTTTTTGGTTACATAGGGGGGGTTTCGAACCCTGAGGCCAAAACCACCGCAGCTAAACCCCATTGGCAGAATGTAGCACATTTGGTTACCTACAAAATGAACAAAACATAAAAGGCTAACCTGGAGGACAAAACCTTGAACAAGCAGGCGTGTACTGAACCATCTGTCTACCTCTTTCTACGGGCAATGAGATTAGCAAAGAAGAAGAAAAAGAAAAGATAAAAACATGTTCACGCAATCTCATTTAATATTGAAATAGTAAAAAGCTTTTAAATGGTTGCTAATTAATGCTGGCATTGCCAAGTTGAGAAAATAATCTGAGAGGCACTTGACTATTTAGCTACTCTCGAATCAATTACATACTGAAGAAAAGGATACACAATTGTTTAGGCCTTCCCATTGTTGGAACTTGGAATATTGAGTTCTGGATAGTTTCCAATTTCAAAAGCCCAAAACTCTAGTAATAGTCTGCTTCTTACTGAAGCCCAATATCTGCGTTCTTTTTACTCCAAGGCCCACATCTGTGAATCACAATTTGGCCCAACAATCAAGCCCAAATGAACGGTCGTAAGTTTCAAACTTGGTTCTTTTGTTGTTGTTGACATTATGGGATTGCATTCATAATTCAGCCAAAAAAATCCCCCTTCACAAAGTGTTAATGCAAATTAGCCATAAAGAATTACTACAATAACGAAGCGATCTAACTTGATTAAAATAAATGTTTGAAAAAAATAGAGCAAAAATTGTAAATTTGATTGAATATGTATCGAAGCTATTGAACCACATGCCTTGATTTCCCTTCTACGCAATTCACACAGTACAGCAGCATGTGCTTGAGCTTTGACTAACTTGTGTGGGCCAATACACCAATATCTATCAAGTTTAGTTTAATAAGTCTATAGGTACCTTCTAATTCTAGTTTATCTCATCTGCACAAAATTTTCAACTGTATCTAGCAACTGCTCTTGTTTTACCCTTATATTGGGTTGGGGTAAATTCAAAATTGCACTGCCTAGCTAGTCCTCTACTAGCCTTTATCTCTAATTCCCCTTTTTACTATTTTTAATTGTGGGTGTATTTGTTATAAACACGGTCATGGTCATGGTCATGGACATATATGTCCCTTTTCATGGCATGCAAATGATAGTAGAGTGACAAATCCCATCTACTGCGGGCATAACTTGAAGCTGGACGACACAAATTTCTACCTATCAACATCCATCTTAATATTTTTATTTAAAAAAAAAATACATCACCTTAATTTACTTCACCTCTTTCTTCCTTCCTCATACGTAACCGCGTCAAAAATTTGAAAGTATTAGACTCAACCCGACTTAAAAAATTTGTATTTGACAAATGTATTCATATTTAGATCATTGAATTAAAATATTGTCATATCAAATGTCGTAGCATTACCGGTCATTCCGATAGTAACATATGAAAAGAGATTACGCATATAAAGTTTGGAATTGATAGAAAAACTAAATTCAATGTTTCTGTGGCCAACAAACACATGAATTTTCTGAATGATTTTTGTTGTTTCTTTACCTTTTATAATAATTGTTCAATGGATCAAACATTGGATTGTTTTTTGCATGTGACTTGGAGAGTGTTAGTCCAAAATTGACAATTGATATGGACCGGACCGAGTCATGGGGCTTAAAAACCGTGGGAGGTTTTCAGTTTGTTTCACGACAAACATCCAATCCATCCCCCACAAGCTTCTGCTTCATCTTCAACTCTGCTCTCATCACCCATGTTCATGATATATATCTTTGGGCCCCACATTACGCGCTTTTATAACTGGGCCCCGCAAACTCCCGCGTATTAAAATGTCGATTTCAGTCTAAAGGGGAGGTTAGCTGTAAACCAGGATTGTGACAAAGATTTTAATCTTTTGATTATGGGAGATACATGCTTACATGCTGTTTGTTCTTTTGTCTTTTTTGTCTTGCTCTTTCTGCAGTTTCTTCGACCTTTTCATAAAGAATATCTCGTCTCATCTTTCTTCTTTTCAACACAAGCTCTAGGAAAATCGTTAGGGCAGTCGAATTGGTACATGGTGAGAAAATCTTCAAAAGCCTATGTATTTGCCAGTGAATTAATCCTACTGATATGACGTTTTTTTTTCACCTTTTCATTCGGCAGCGTTTTTTCTTTAGGCCTCATTCATTATCGTTAGCACATACTATTGTCATGTCCTAAATTGCCGTTATATGTTTAACGGTAACATTAGATAGCATCAAAATGTGGTCTCCCTAGCATCAAAATCTGCCGTTTAAACAATCCACGTGTCAACATGCACACAATCTTGACTCCAACATTGTAAATTGGAGGACACAAACTTGTAATCTGCAAGTAAAACGAGTGGTTTCCATTGGCATGCTCACTGTTGATGCCCCCAAATAAGGAAACACAAAAGTCCTAAATAGCTGCAGCATGAGAGATATATGGGAAATATACTCATCACATGCACAAGATCATATAAACGCGTGTTAAAAAATAAAAAAACCAAAAACAATTTAAACTAATCTTACCCTAGTCCTGTGCAAGCCATTGGATATTTTGCAGAAAACCTGCAAGAGCAGTTGGCAGCTCATGTCATCAACTCACAAGCTTGCCCTGCATCTCAGCATGGAAAGTCCAGGTTTTAGAAACTGGGCATGGCAATTCAAAAACAGACACTGTTTGGTTGTCTGCTCTTACTTTAAACCATATGCCAATCAATGTTTCTGATTTTGGCACCCGACGCCAAAAACCCAAGTGGCATGAACCATGACCTCACCAGTCACCCCCACCATATTTTTATTTCGCAGATTGATCCATTGATTCTATTTGTTTCTACCTTGTTTTGCATGCATCATCACCCTATTTTAATCCATATTTTTTTAAAATGAAGAAGATACAGAGCCGTACAATCAATATGACAACTATCAAGTTGGTATTTCTCTAATTAGTGTAAATTGATTCTTAAAATAGTGAAGAAGATTTGGTTTATGTGATTGGGATTGTTAATTAATAATTAGCTGAGGTAATTATGAGGATTGACCCAATCATTTTGGTGCCAATCGATGGTTATTTAACTATTTAATTGTTTACCCATCCAGAACAGAGCATGCAGCCTCTGTTTTGATCATTGCGTTGAAGCAATCAGTGCTCAGAACAGAGCATGTTACCAATACATGAAACTGAAATTCCAAGATTCCTTAAAAAAATTATAATTACAATAATGAATATTATACATGTTCATACCAATTTTTTTTAAAAGGTTCCCAGTTCTTATAATACTCTGTAATTATTGGGATAAATAAATGTATATGTTTGTCATCTCCTGTGCTTAGACCATAGTCACATGAAGAATCTGCGGGGCTGTGACCTTAGATTTTCTTGAAGAATAGAAGGCCCAAAAAGCAACTGAATTGTAAATCTAAAGTTTATAGTGTTTTCTTTGAGACAAAAATTATTAGCATGGTCATGTGAATTGAGTTTGGTCCAGTTTGAAATTGCACTTGACATATTTATTCAATAATCATCAGTTGCAAGCCAACTGGTAACTAATAAGATACAGGAAAAATAGAGTGAACAAGACTCAAAAAGGGGCCAAAACTCTTGTGGGACCCAAGTTCTTAATCTGTTGCCAGGAGGGAGGGTTAGAAAAAGGGGAGCCTCCAAAATTGTCTTTATATCTGTCAGCAAAACCCAACTACAAAAACCAATCTCTCCTCCCCCCCACCTTCCCACTGGCATAAGCATTCATTCCTCTCTCAAAGCTTTCATTGCACCCCAAACCCACACACAGGCATTTTCACAAACACTTTCTAAAAGAAACGTTTCTTTTGCACAACAATGGCAAGACCGCAACAGCGGTTTCGAGGTGTGCGACAAAGGCACTGGGGCTCTTGGGTCTCTGAAATCCGCCACCCTTTATTGTAAGTCCACCCCAACTTTGCTTCAAAACGTTTAATAATTGTTCATACATACACGTTTCTGCATTTTAACAGGGAAACTGAAAGAAACGTTTTTTTTGTTGGTGTGTGTTTGCAGAAAGACTAGAATTTGGCTAGGAACATTTGAAACGGCTGAAGACGCAGCCAGAGCTTATGATGAAGCGGCAAGGCTTATGTGCGGACCAAGGGCGAGGACCAATTTCCCTTATAACCCAAACGCATCTCAGTCCTCAGCCTCAAAGCTTCTGTCAGCAACTTTGACGGCAAAACTGCATAGATGCTACATGGCTTCCCTCCAAATGACCAAAACATCCCTACAGGAGCCTAAAAAACCACAACCTTGTTTCGTTGACACAAAAAATGACAATGCTGAGAAGGCCATTGAACTGGGCATGAACTTTCCAGAGAAAAAACCAGAAACTCGTCATGAGCAAGAAGAACCAGAAGAGACGATGAATTGGGTTTTCAGTAAAGTTAAAGTAGAAAGCAGCCAGCAACAGTTCAAGCCTCTTGAAGATGATCACATTGAGCAGATGATTGAGGAGTTGCTTCATTATGGGTCCATTGAGCTTTGCTCTGCTGTAGCACCACAAGCCCTCTAAAAACTACTCTAATCCAATTAATGTAAGCCACAAGATCATTCCACCAGATGAGATTATTAGCTCATATTTATTTCTCTGCCAATGCAACTCATTCAGCAGATTTAACCCAATTTTCTCCACCATCCTTTCCTAGACTCAATTAGGACTGAGTAACCCATTTGATGATGCTATGTGTACAATATTATCATGTACGATATTATCAATTCTATGCTTAATTTATGGCTTTGTTTCCAGTTCATCTTCTCCGCAATAAGCGCAAGTGATTTAGGATTTTCTGAAAGTTACAGAGTTGGGGTTGTTTGTTAGCCATTCATTTTGTTGGAGGTACATGGAAAATTCACAAACTTAACTACACAACCTTCACCTTGCCCAAGTCAATATAAAATTGGATGCGGTACATTAAAATATTATCCATGTCTGTCGTATTGTTATCGAGATGACTCGATGTTTCCCGTACTCTTTATTCTTATTGATCTTATAAAATTCTATCGCTTTTTTATTATAAAATAAAGAAAAATATATTATCAGGAGAATGCCCTGCAAGTGCAACCATATTGAAACCAAACACCATTAAATCTCGTCACAAATTTCAAATGGAAGTTGGGAAGAAGGGCAGTACTTTTCTTTGGAGGCCGAAATTTCAGTGGCCAGTCAATGAACTTTTGTTTAATGCAACCTGCATTTTGGTGTGAGATACAAAATATCACTCTCACTGTCTGTTTTTTTCTTCTTGGCACCACTTCTCGCTGTGCTATTCAAAGTACCAAAATACCCAACCCTCAGTAAAATGAAAGATAACCTAAATCCGTACCTCATATCTTTCCAGAAAATAAACAAATAAAACTGGTCCTTGTTTTGCTAGTGCGCGCACGCACACGGTGTACTGTAACCTCATCAGAAAAGATGATCCTGCAAAAAGTAACTTTGTATAAAAATTAGACCTTCCGACAACACATGGGTTTATGGCTTCTTTATGTTACAGCTGAAGAGGAAAACAAAACAAATATATATAGTGAAAAAACATGGAATTCCGATCTTGTGTAATTGTTTCCATAATAAGAAGCAAGAGACAACTGCCATCAGTTTCAACATGGTACCTAGAAATGGTAATTACATTTCAACTCGTATCACCTTATTCTTAGGTGCAAATGTGCTCTAGGGAATGATGTGTCCATGTATTATTGGCCGAGCAAGCAAAGAAAAAGGAAAAAAATGAAAACTACTTTCTGGAATTCTTTGGACTAAAAGGGTTTCTGGGTTTATTTGAGTTTTCAACTCATGACTTGTAAGCCTTGGCAACAAACAAAAAATAAATAAAAAACTTATGACTTGTGACTTATGAGCAGGCTTTTTTATTTATTCAAAGGTCCATATTTCTCTCTCTCTCTGTCTCTCTATCTGTCTGTCTCACTTTCTCATAGCTTGCTAGAAGCATAATATATAAAGTTTTTCCAGCATTGGTTTCAAATTAGTTGAAATTGGAAAGAGCTTATTTTCAACAAAAAGTTTCATTGTTAATTACAAGGAAGAAGTTTAGTCATAACGATCAGGCTATTTCAGTAGTTTTAACCCTACCCTAAGAGCGCGTTTGTCCCTACATTATTTCATATAAAATGGAGTCATGTCTATAGACGATAGGATCTTACGCTCATGGGAGACCGGCTCCATGCAAGCCGCAGCTCTGAGCGCATATAGCTCTCTACTAGGCGTGTGAGATATATAAAAAAAAAGCCTGACATTACTAATCAGATTATTAAAACCATTAAAACAGTTGCTATCAAGCTTAATGTGATGTTTTACCATGATGTTCTGATTATGAGACCAAAGTTATTAGAGTGCAGTAACATTTGATTTTTCTTTGCTATATCTATCTTTAGATTCGTTGCTGCAGTTTATTCAAATTTCCTTTTGTAGATTGTTGTCTAGCTAGCTACTAGCTAGTTGAGAGCGATATGAAGAGGAGGAATATTCTTTATCCAATCTTTTTCATGTCAGTTTCATCCAGAATTTCAACCCTGGTTTTCTTTTTCCTTAGTTTTTTGGGATGTGCAAGGACTTTTATTTCACGTGGTTAAGTGCTCTGTTTTAACCTTATTTGGATAAACACAATTACAAGGCAAGTTTAGCATTAATGGAATGGAAATACCTTTCCTTTAATTAATTTTGTAAAATACATGTGTTGCTAGCTTTTGTGTTTCTGGTGTCCCATCTCTATCAGTGAAACTTCATGATTGTTCACCTGTTTGGGAATTGATTTTGCTCCCCACAACCATAAAAAATTAAAGTTGGTTTAGTCTCATTATATTGTTTTGCCTTTTGATCCAGAAAAGTGCTTAAATAATGGCAAGTTAGTGAGTTCACCATCATCAATAGTTTGAAAATTGAGACCTGGGGACACATGAAATTCCACCTGAACAAGTATGTTGCAAAATTACCAGTTGCCAAAAAACTGCTCATTTGTTTTCTAGGAAAAATCCCAGTTACACAACAAGTACTACTGCTTTCACTGAAGATTGATCTGATAGCCTGATTAGATACTGAAATGAAAGCATTTTGGCTCTAAACTTTTCATCCCTTTTGTTACCTCTTTTGCAAATTACAGAGCACTTTGCCATGTAAAAAAGTGGAAAACTTTGGATTTAAGCAGTGTTTTTTCTGTTCTTTCTTCAATCAAATTTAACCAATTAAGGCTTTTGATAAAACATGTAGCGTACGGAAATTCCCATAACCTCAATGATGAAGCTTGCATTTTTGGAGAACAGTGGCCTTCCCTTGAATTGCACACCTGACACAAAGTGTGCAGTGAAAAAAAGAGAGAGAGAGAGAAAGGCCTCCAAGAGTCAAAGGAGAGATCTCGCTCACAAGAAAAAGCAGTCAAAACAATGATGGTGTATCCAATCATGATGTATAGAATCTCATGTGAAACAAGAGACAATCATATTGGTATTCAATCTTTTCATAACCCAACAACACAATTGCATTTCATAATTCTAATTTCTTTCTAATGGGATTTATTTAGGTGCCTTGGATCAAGTGAAGCATGCAAAAATCCAAAAGGCAAATTGCTTTGTTAAGTGAGTGAGAAAGTCTGATAGAAAAGGCTGGTGGTGGGTGGGTGGCCTACTCCCCCTGCAAAGCCAAAATACTTTGAACCCTTTGTTAATTACTTCAGGAAAACTAGTATATATTTCTGTTGTTACTCTGGTAGCACCTATAGACACCACAAACTGATAAATTAGTATGTCATCATTTTTATCACATTAGGTATATACACTGGTGTCTCATTCCTCATTTTTTTTCCAATCTTCCCATGCATTCACATGGATGGGCATGTGCAGAATTGCATGCTGCATAAGTTGTTGACATTTCCACATGGGTCCTAATCACATTTTCTCCTTAAACTAATCTAAACAGACAAAATATTAAGTCATGGAAATCTCTGCCCTCGGCCACTTAGTTATCTCTCTTAATTATATTTTTGTCATCTAGTCACATAATTTTCTGCTTACTAGGCAATGGGCCAGGCCAGGTTTCATCAGATTGGGACATAATCTAGCAGCTTTGACAAAATCAGAGTGCTTAAGCAGAAGGGGGCTGAACCTGGATCCATGAGATGCCAAGGGTTACAGTGCTTGATAGAAATGTTTGTCAGTTTTTATATCTGAAGAAAACTCTGGAAGAAAATACTCAACAGAGCAAAACCGTGACTTAGTATTTTCTAGGCTTTATCTACAAATCATGGCAGAACATTCGTATGAGAGAATTTATATATATATATATATATATATTTCATTTGATAATGGCATGTGTGTGATAATTTTTATGTCTAAATAAATGGGTTTGTAAATATTTTCCTCCATTGTCGATTGTCCATACACAAAGGCGTTTCTGGAACATGCATTCTTGAGCAACTGGGCATGCTTTGCATATTGAACATGTTTTCTTCCATACAAAACACAAAACAGTCCCAACACGCGGCACCAACTTATTGGATATCTCCGATTTGGTAGATTTTTAGAAGTTCTTGCAAAGTAATTGCCTGCTACAAGAGGACACATGATGTAGGTGGAAATGATAGAATTAGACCCTATGTGTTGGGCCAATTAAACTGTGACGCTTGCAACCATTAGGTTGAGTCTTTTTCAATTTTATTTGCTTCTGATTTTGTGTCACAGGTAAAGTTGGGCCTTTAGTTTGGTTGGCAATCTTTTAAGCCTACATAAGTTGGGCCAAAAATGGGTTAACCAGCAAACCTAGGCCGACCTTAACCTTTAACAGTGAGTTAAGATATGTTGGGAGGCCCAATAGACTCAATTTTGTAGAGTCATTTTATGACGAGGGTGCAATATATATACTATAGATGTGAATCATTCATCTGAATAGTAACTTTACTTAAGTTTAATGAAATGATCGTGTGGCTAATATTTGTATTGGTTTCATTGGGTGGCCCGATTTGGATTGAATTGTAATTGAGTATAAACCAATCCTTATAAGTTGGACTTATAAGATACAATATGTTGGATTATTGTCCAATTTAATAAGATCAATTCCATAACCAAACAAATACCATAACTCTTGTCAATTTTAATTGAAATAGTCTAATCCAATCTCACTCACCAAACGGCTAAACTTATTGGTAGCAATTGTGACTTCATTCAACTAGGGGCCACCCAAAACTGGAACCTAACATTGACAATATATATTCATAGAAAACCAAATCTAAAATATAAAATTAAAAAAAGCGTATTTTACAAGGGAAAGTGTAGCTCTGGTATATAGCTCTGATAGGCCCTTAAAAAAAAGGGTGGGTTTTTGGGGGGGTTGAAGAAGTGTTGGATCTGTTGCGGGATTGGCTTCTTAATTTCAGGAGTTAGGGTTTCGTTGGGTGGTTTGGGTGGCAAGCGTGCTCGGTCAGATACCCAGAAGAGAGAGAGAGAGAGAGAGAGAGAGAGAGAGAGAGAACAAAATTAGGTGCGGACTGACACTGTTGTATTGCGTATGCTTAAAGCTTGGGGAATATCTGCACATGGTGGGGCTCCTCTGTTTTCCTCATCAGTTTTTTGACCCACACATAATTTAACCTCCCATAAAACAAAATAACTATAAAAATAAATAAAGTTAGTTAACTACTTTTCTTTGTTTGCATTATTTATTTTGACTAGTTGTCTTCTACCGTATGAAGACTTCAAATTAAATCTGACATAGTCAACAGAGATGAAACCTTTTCCAAAGTTTCATTTCAAGTTATATGTGAATCGATTATACCAAAGTACATTCCCCTAAATTTTATTCTTTCTCAGCAAATTTGACACTTTCTATAGTGACAATATTGGTAATTTGAGCATATATGAATTAGGTCAGTTGGCCAGAACAGGGAGCTTGTTCTCTGGCACTCAAATTCGAATCTTCTTTATGGTAAGTTAGATCAATTTGGAGTAATTTAAAATATTGTTTGTCTATAAAGAAAATCGGTAATTTGGTATGATCAAATTCCAAAACGCATCGTATTTTTTTCCTCATCTACTTGTAACTAGGCAGTGTAGGGCAGTGCTGAAATAAGTAACAACCCAACTTCCCCTATGCCTCAATTTCCTGGAAACTTCGCAAGACGCATTAGAAAAATCTCACAATCACATTAAATTAGGGGTCTAAACTCTAAAGAAAAAGTACAACTTAAAGGAACGGTCGAGTACCTAAAGTACCAGCTGGCAAGTTTAAAGCAGAACCAAAGCCTCTCCTTGGCAAGGGGACAAAATAAAGCATGATATAGCCCAAGCAGAAATGCTTGGCCAATTGTGTGGCTGATTGTTGATGGCAAAAGAAAAATAATTGGGTCTCGGCTGTCTGTTAGGTTTTATGAGAGAGAGCATGGCTTTTCTGTCTAATCGGTTTTTAATTTCTAGGACCGCAGAAACACTTAAATAACAGCATCTCCAAGTTCCAACCCACGAAGCCAAACTCAAAATATCCTAAATTTTAACTTAATTTCTCTTTTAATTCAAAAAAAGAAAAAATAAATAAAGGACTAAAATTAAAGAAAATCCGAACTTGATGGAGCCCATTCAAGGCTGAAGCAGTCCATGTGCAAGGAAGAATCAATAGAACGCCATGTGTCGTGTTGCTGGTGCTACAGAAGGTATCGTGTGCTCGTGTCGCAGCATTTTATTTTTTAATTTTTATATTCCAACAATAACCAAATCAATGATCCATATTAAATCCAAGCTATTTTAACGTTAAAAAAATATATATCCAACGACTAAAATTTAAATTTAACGGTTAAATTAATATTTTAAATTAATCTAAATCATATCCAATCCCAAAACTCACTCCAAATTCTATAAATACCCACCTATTTCTCAAATAAAATTATTTTTATGGAATTTCAATTTTTTTAGGTCAAATTGTTTAAAAAATTAAATTATGAAGTTATTTAAAAAGGTTAAATGAAGAAAATTTATCCATGAAAAAAAAAATTATTAGACTTAAACTATTTATAAAAAATTTAATAAAGTTACGGACTTAAAATTTGAGTCTAACGGGTTGGGGGAAAAACGGTTTGAGTCATAGCAAAACCCAAATAATTACTTTTTGGATGGGGGAAATTTGGGTTTATGATCAAATAGGTTGGAGAATGTCTTAAATAGGGATAACACTATTTTGTTATTTTTGATCAATCATGGTATGTCAAGGGTAATAACTTTTCTATGTGACATTCTTTAATTAGCCGAAAATAACAAAATAGTATTATTCCTATTGCATACAATTTTTTCTGCCATAAATGGCATATGATATTAAGCATGCTGCAAATTGTCAAGCTGTGTGCAGATGGAGGGCCAGGACTGTGTGGCTACAGTGACTTCGTTTGCCACTTGGAGTTATGGTTTTCTTGATTAAATAACACATGCCATTTTTCTATGTGAAAATAGGAACTTGGGTTTGGCTATCTGATGTAATGTCAGCCTCTCTATCCCCCCCAAGGTTTACAAAGTACTGTGTCTTCACACCACCCGTCCTTGTGTCAGCCTCTCTAGGCCCCCCAAGGTTTACAAAGGACCGTGTCTTCACACCACCAGTCCTTAATTATGTAGGGCAACCAGGTATATATTTTCAATCAAAGGTCGGGAAAATTGAAATGAAAGGAAAAAAGTCCGTGATACAAGCGATAGAGGAGGGGGAAATCGAACACAAGACGTGGAGTGCAGTAGCTCCCAAACGTTGATAAATAGAACACCCATAATTGGAATTTGGCGTTTTATGGGTTTTTGTCCTTACAAAATATTAAACCTCCCATCTCTTCTTAAATTTGAAATAGATGGTAAATAGTTGTTGCTGGTGTTCCATGATGAAAGAGTAGCAACAGTAAATAATTTAAAATAAGAAAAAGAATGGGAAAATAAAGTGATAGGCACATGCATGAAAGAAATAAAATCATATATTATGAAAGGAAGTTACCCCTGAGCTAGCACAGGACAGGAAACTAGGCTGGAAAATTCGAATAGAATCACATACATCCAACAAGTGGTTCAAGTTGATCGACTTGGTTCTTCACACGCTTTGAAGAGAGGGAGAGAGAGAGAGAGAGAGAGACTTTGGCCGTTTCCAAATTTGCATTCAAATGGCTACGTTGTTCAAATATTCCATGCCTCGGATTGACTTTTATGTACTAATCAGATCATAATGTTTGAGACTTAATTTTCATTTAATACACAGGAAGAATTTTCAGAGTTCACCACAAATGGCGTAGGTGTGTGTGCTTGTAGCGTGAGAGTTGCTTCAGAAGGCTCCTTTCTTGGCTTTTTCTTCCTCCTTCCGCGGGTTTTCCTTTTACCCTCTCACCTACGTAATTACAGTCTACAGATACTCAGATTTTGTTTTGCCATATTCAATTTGCAATGAATCTAGCACTAAGAATATAAGGTAACCAATTTATACGGACCAAGAATTTAAGGTAAGAAATATAATACATTTTTTATAAAAATAAGGGCATTGCTTATATGGTTATTTTTATTAGTATGCTTGTAAGATCCTCGCAGATTTTCCATAACGCACTCACTTTTGAATAGGGTGTGTCGATGAATTGTAATCTATGAGTATGCAATCTATAGAGTAGAAGAGGGCATCTATAGCAGATTTAATGATTGCGGATTGGGATCTTTTCCATTTGTAGGACTTTTGCCTATATCTTATCATTTTTTGCTTAACAAACAAGGGAGTTGTAGTTAAAATGGTTAAAAAAGATTTTTTTTTAAATCCGAAATTTTGTTTATATTTAAAGGGCAATTTCACGTAGCGGACTCTTATTACATGTGTCGTTGAAAGTCCAATATTTTCATGGTCTTTAGTCTCTCCTCCACCTTTATCTTTCTCCTCCCTTTTCATCTGTGAAGTCTGTGACAGGCTCCCTCTCTCTCTCTCTCTCTCCCCTCCCAATACACCCATAAAACCCCAAATCCTCTTTCTTTCTCAGTATCTCTCTTTTCTGTATGTCCCTCCAAAAAGCACCAAAACCCTAAACAAGATTCTCTTAAATCATCACATTCACACCCACGCATCAAACTTCATATCAAATCCAATCTACCAATCCACCACCACAACCCAATGTCCCGCCACAACTCCTCCACTTTCCCTTCTTGCTTCCGCCCCTCCACCGCCAAACCCACCGACCTCCGCCACTCCTCGCCGCCTCCACCTCCTCCCCCGCCAATCTCCGGCCATCCCAACCTCACCACGTGCCTCTACCACACCGACCTCGCCCTCTTCTCCCTCACCTGGTCCCGCTCCTTCCTCGGCCGCTCTCTCCACCTCAACACCCTCCACCACTCCTTTGACTCTCCCCTCCCTCCTTCTCTCTCCTCCGCCTCGCCCCCTTCCTTCCACCTCCACATCAAACCCTTCATCTTCTGGAAGAAGCATGGCTCCAAGAGGCTCTCCCCCAACACTCGCATCTTCTGGGATCTCTCCAGGGCCCGGTTCGGGTCCGGACCCGAACCCCAATCCGTGTTCTACATCGCCGTCGTCGTCGATGACGAGATGACCCTCCTAGTCGGAGATTTGACCAGAGAAGCCTACGCCAAAACCAGAGCCCACAAAGCCCAGACTCCCCAAATCCCAATTCTGAAACGGGAGCATGTGGTCGCCAAGAAAATCTACACCACGAAAGCGAGATTTGGTGGGAAGCTGAGAGAGATCCAAATCGACTGCGGGTACGGCAACGACCTGAGCCGGCTATGTTTCAGCGTGGACGGCCAGAGGGTTCTGCAGATAAAGCGTTTGAAGTGGAAATTCAGAGGCAACGAGCGAATCGAAGTGGACGGGGCGCCGCTGCAGATCTCGTGGGACGTGTACAATTGGTTGTTCGAGAGCGACAGTGACGACGGGCACGCCGTGTTCATGTTCAGGTTCGAAGAAGACGAAGAAATCAACAAAGAGAGCAATAATTGCCAGCTGGGTCATTTAAATTCATGGAATTTTGGGATGAATGGGATCGAGTGGAGGAAGATGGGGAAGAGCTTGTCGTCTTCTTCGGTGTCGATGTCGTCTGCAGGGTCTTCTGGAGGGAGCTCGTCGGTGATGGAGTGGGCTAGTATGGAGGAAAGTGAGCTCAGCGGCGGTCCTACTGGGTTTTCTTTGCTGGTTTATGCCTGGAAAAGGTGAAAATTGAAAGGAAAGCAAAGCAATTCAATTCAAATTCTTCAAAATTACAATTTGAGTAGGCTGGTTGGTTCTATATAATTAATTGTTGGTGAGATTGCTTAGTAATTTGTTACTTTTGCTAACCCATTTGTTGTTGAACATAGTCGAATAAATCCAGTTACTATCTATCTACATGGAAGGAAACTATGAAATTCATAGCTACTTCATATGAGATTAGATCTAACAAATCTTACTTAGCCTGTCTATATGTTAAAGACAAAACCGTGTTTGGTATTTTTTTGTTATTTTTCTACTGGGAAGGGAATTAATTATGCTTTAATTTCCCAATTGTTCGTGTAATGTGATTTATGAGGCATATTATTGATGAAGAAGAAGGCAAAAGCATTTGCTATACCTTCTTGTTTTCTCGTTCCGTCTTTTTTTTTCTTTTTATAAAAAAAATTTTAACGAAAAAAGAAGAAGCAAAAAAGCGCAGAGATAACAACATGACATGGCGACATGGAAAATCTTTGGTTGTTCTTAGCTATGTAGGACGGACACGAGGATACGGAAGCATGACATGGCGACATGGAAAATCTTAAAAAATTAGGACACGACACGGCTAGAATACGGTATTTAAAATAATAATAAATTTTAATAAAATTATAATAGTATATACATATATATTCATATTCAATATTTCAATGTCATAATACCATAAACTAAATTTATACTCATAATTTAGCATTACTCATCTTTTCCTAAACAAAATAAAGAATGATACACATATTTATTCACACATATTCATGATTCATCATAAACCTAATTTCACACATTTTTCATATATGATCTATCGTCTTCAAAGTAAGAAAAATAATTTCCCACTTCATAAAATAAGAATCGAGTTTGCATAAATAAAGAAAGGAAAAAAAAACAAAGTGAATGAATTACTCACTCAAAAAGAAACTTCTCTCACGACCAAATTGCTATCAATATCCTTAGTCAACGAAAAATATCAGCTATACTATGAAGGAACAAAGAAAAAAAACATATCTAGCCAACTTTTAAAAAGTATTTCAAATATGTCCACATAGTTTTCAATAATGATGTTTGACCCTAGTTTTTGTTTTATGATTTTCAAAATAGTCCATGCAGTGTCTTGACTTTAGTTGATTGTGTCCAAAACGTGTCTTGACCGTTGACCCGTGTTCAAGCCGTGTCCAAGGTGTGTTCGTGTGTTCGACACTTCGGCCTGATGGAGTGTTCGTGCTACATAGGTTCTTAGACATTACCATCAATTCATAAGAGCATCCGCAATTGTTGTTCAATAGTTCAATAAATTGATCTTTTTTGGCATTTATTGAATTGAACTGCATTTTTACTTGCAATGGTACAATTCAGTAGCGTCCAATCAATAGTTATATCTACTTACACGTTTTTTTACATACTCAAATAAAATAAAAGGAATAAATTTAATAACATTAAAAATTGTACCATTGCAATATTCTCAAAAAGATCTTTAAAAAGGGACCAATTTTGAATGTATTTGAAAAAAAAATTAATTGATATATATTTTTATACTAAATTGAACTATTAAACATCTATTGCGGATGCTTTTAACAGCATAATACATTAATTACTATATAAAAAAATTTATTGCTATGTAGGTCCCATGGTTAGTCTATTGCAATTGCAATAGAGAGTTCATCACTTAGCACCCTCTATTGCAATGAACTAAAGGAGGTGTATTCAATTAAGATTTTAAAAGAGTTTAAAAGTTTGGGTGTATTCCATTTAGATTTTAAAAGAGTTTGTAAAAGTTTGGGTGTATTCAATTCAGATTTCGATTGATATTAAAAAAAATACATCGAAATCTAAGTGTATTCAATTATGAATTTTTAAAAGTCAAACAAAATTTAGGTGTATTCAAAAAGTAATTTATTTTGAAGGAATTAATAAGTTGCCTGATTTCGTTAGAAATTAAAGTGGTAAGTATAAATACAAAAAGCCCTGACAAATCTTTGCAGTCCTTGAATGCGTGTGCTTGTCAAGTAGAGGTAAAAAATCTCTTCTCTTTTCATATATGTATGATCTTTCATCGTATATTTGAATATTTGTTCTTGTTGTACATCATCATATATCGATGAACAATAGCATATATATCGATGTATATCACAATATGAACAGTTGCTGCTTGAATAGTTGTTGTTGTTGCCATCATATATAAATGAACATCAACATATTTGTTGCTGTAAATATTTGTTGTTGTACATCAAACAAGTTTTCTACGCTTTTTCTACTTTTACTTTTTTTTTGTTGTTGTTATTATTATTTTATTATTCTATTTTATCATATATAGGGTTTAGGGTTGCTGTTATTTTGTTGTTGTTGCTGTTATTATTATTATTATTTTAATTGTTGTTAATTTTTTATTTTATTTTTTTGGTTTATGGACATTATATCATATAGATGATTGCCTTCTTCATCGATCTATAGTCATTCTTTTTCTTGTTTTGTACAATATCTATATATCTAGTCCATGCCAAAACAAAAAGGAAAAAATAGTCTTCATAAATAATTTTTTTCCTATAAACTAATAAAGATTGCATGTATTATCTAGAACATTATGGGAGAATGAGGGAGAATGTTTTTCCTATGAAAAAGACAAAGAGCATTCAACATTGTCATCGTTACTAGAAAATGAGGGAAATAATTATGACCAAGTTTTTCAAACCCAAGAACAACAACGTGAGAATGCTAACCAATGGAGGGTTGGGATATCTTCAGATATGTGGAGAAATGTCATGAATGACGGGAGTCAAAGATGAGAAATGAAGTAGATACTTATTCGTTTTTATGCATTTAGAATTATAGTTTACTTATCATTTTTTCGGTCATGAAATTACTTTTATGTTTTTAGTTTTGCATATTTTTCATAAATATATAGACATAAATCCTTATTTGGTTGGACATTTGAACAAAATAGATGCCCTTCCTTTATTTTCTTTGGATGTATATGGTTTGGACGTTCTTTATAATTTTTTTTTGCAAAGGTACTTCAAAAAAAAAGAAAAAAAAACATTTTAGAACTCTAATAAACTCTTTTAAATTTTATGATGAAACTCTAACGAACACCATTAAAATCAATCTAGGAATTCAATCAAACTCTATGTGGAGTTTATAGAAATCAATTGAAATATATTGAACTCTATAAAATTTATAACTCCGTTTAACTCTTTTAAAATCTTAATTGAATACACCCTTAAATCACACCATTGCAAGTGAAATTTTTCTGTTTTAAATCAATTTCAAGCAATGAAATTACATAGATTTTAACCATTGTAGATGCTCTAAGGAAATCATCCGAATTGTGAACCATGGAAGTTTGTTGACCGACTGTTGGATGAATTAATTAAGTGAAAAAAAAACAAGTGACATTGGATTGAAAGCGGGGGAAATGTTAAAGAAAACAAAAATCCAATTTGGTTGGTACCAGAGAAGAGAAGACAACAGCGGTATCCAAACGAAAGGGGTGTGTGTGAAACGGTCAAATTAAGATTTGTATTATTGTTTTGGGAAAGAAAGAAAAGGTCCTTCAATTCAACATCAACTTGTATTCAGAAGCTTCCGTGGTTTATCGCCCACTCCTGCCTTTCTGGACAAGTATTTCTTTCGAGCATAGCATACGGCCTAATCAGTCACTTTTTAAACTTTAAAAAAAAAGAAAAAAAAAGAAAAAGCGATATTTGATTCATTAAGAGAACAACATAAGATCTTAAAAAGCATGATGATATCAGAAGATTTCTATACCACATGAATAATAATATCGGGAGGATCCTTATATCATAAGAATGTTTCAGTCAAAGATTAAGCAAAAGTGTTTAATTCATTAGGATTTATATAGAGCACGTATTTCTGCAGCGTTTTCTATTTTGATGTGAAATGCCCATAGCCTACAGTATAGCAGGACCGGTACTAGATGCAAAATCCACCTTATTTACTGCCCCAAAAAGAAGGTATGCTTAGTCAATGTATCATTAAATGAGTTATTTTCTTACTCTCAATTGAACTGAACGTTTTGCTGACTCCGAGTAAAAAACACCCCCCCAAGACACAGTAAAACGTTGATACGCTTGGTGTAAATGCAAAGAATGGTAACTTAGGGGACATAGAGGTAAAAGGTAGGGGGTCCAAAGTTCAATCAACGCGCAGAGTTTGTCGAGATGTTTCTTGTAAAAAGATGGCATCTCTCGAATCTGATAAAAGGCGGAGAGAGAGAGACAAGTACGTTTCATGCAGTGCAGAGAGTGTTTTGTCTTCTCTTGCGATGGAGGGGAATGATTTTGTCGATTTCTTTCAATACTAGGTGTCTTTTCTCCAGGTACAGCTACAGCAATACAGCAATTGAGGTGGAAACAACTTTACATGCATTTCAAGGCACTGGTTAATTTTCTTCTGTAAAATGATAACCTGAGTTCAAGGAACACTACCAAAAGATTGCCTTCTCATCCATACCAAATTCAAGCTTCCTTCCAAGCAAGGTTCTTGCAAGTTGCAACAAACAACTTGTTATGAACTGGGTTTTGCAGGCTTCTTGTTATATGTACAAACCTTGAGCCCCAGCCCCAGCCCATATATGCATTTGGGTTCTCTTCGTACATACAGGGATTAGACTAAACATGTTTCCATTGTTTGGATCAAGCCCAAACTCAAACCCCAGACCAGTACAAGAACTGGAAACCAAGCCAACCACCGACATGAGAAAGCTTTTGACAAAGAATGGGGCCCCAAACAGACTGTCTTTCTCTTCTTTCTAATCCACAACGAGAAAACCACCTACTTTGTGCAATTCATGTCTACATTAATTCGCATTAAGTTTGAACAAGTCGGCGGCCAGCAAGAATTAATTTTGATTCATTCCATTCAATGCCGTGCATATCTGCATGTAAACCTGCACGTGTGTATGTTATGTGGACATGTCACATGCTTGACTGCCTTCTTATTTTGCTTTAATTTCTTGAAGATAGACGAGAAACCAAAAATTTGAAAGCCATCAACCTTGTCTCCCCAGTATGTCAGAAACACGAAGCATTTTACACAAACAGGCACACTGAAACAATTTTCAAGCAGCTGTTTTACATAATAATAAAAACAGATTACACAACGGGGCAAAACCAAAATTTGCAATTTCCCCATCTGTTGTTCATATGGACTCTAAAACCCTATAAAGTCTCAATCAAATAGGTGTCACACCTTTACAGTCAAGGCCGAGGTTGATGAAGAATGGATCAAGGTGGAAGATGGAGGAACACAGTGTCTTTGTCTACTACTTCTGCCTGCAGAACCCCCACTGGAGGGTTGTAAAGAAGAGGGCCGAGGATTTGAGGATGCACAATTAGTTGAAAGGCTTCTCAATTTCTTCTTATCCCCACTGTAAACCCCATCTGATTTTACTTGCCGAACTTTAGTTTCATTCAAACCAGCTGGAAGAACACAATTGCAGAAAAAACCTGAAGTTCATCAAGCAGCCACACACACAGAAATATATTAGGATTGGTTTTCTCAGTAAGTAATTAATGTAGGGAACGAGAACAATCTACGAATACCTTTTTTTGTTTTGTTTAGGAAAATGTTTCAACAATTGGCATTCCCATGGAAACAAATCTAAAAGTCACGTTTGCATCACACAAACAGAAACAGGCACTACGGTCCTTCTAACATCGCAGAGATCCCAAAAGGATATAAAACATGGGCAAATAATGAACAATAGAGTCATCATTTCTACCCAAATTGTTCTTTCCCATTGAGTTTTGAATCCTATGTTTGCAATGATCTCAATCTAAAGATGGATGGAATCTGTGATGATGTGAGGGCAAGGGGTGACAATGGTAGCTCTGGTTGTGGCATTGGCATCGTGTAGTGGTTTTGTTTTGTGATCGTACTACTAATAACGGTGGGATTGCGAAAAACTGATAGGAGATAATCAAATCCTTACCAAGTCGAGCAAGACGGTTGACCCAGCGAGGAATAGGCTTCCCCGTCAATCTGGTACACACATCATTACAGAAGTGGTTGCAGTTCTTGGTGATCAGATGGTATGTGTTTCCAGAGTACTCTTCTGCTAGTTTCTCCATAAATGCACGGACCTCCTTGGGGCCTAAATCTGTTCTTCCGATCAAAATTGATTTTCTGAATACAAAGCCAGGACATTGTTTTGGTTCCACTTCAAAAATCCCAGTCGTTGCATGGTCATGCGCTCCAAAAGCATATTCAACCCCATGTACTACAGCACATTAAAATAAAAACTTCTTAAGTGAATAAATAAATACAAACGTATGTAAGCAGGAGCTTAGATAGACATGTGAGAGAGTCAATAGATAACCAAGTCTGCCATAAAAATTTAAATCAATGGATTACATTACATCCGTGCGGTTGATGATAAACTAGAGAAAAACAATCCTTTTTTATTACCCGCGATACGAAAATCAGTCGAAATGAGGAAACTTGCTTACAATTGAGTTTATTTGAGATGAAAGGTTTTCAATTTATCACACCAAAAGCATGAAAACTGAATTCAAATTAGCCCAATTGCTTAAAATCACTCTGTTTCTTTATTGTGCAAACCAAAATTTGTGAATCAAACACTGAGAATCTCTTTGATTCTTCCAAAAAGATGAAACCCAAGTTCAGCTGACTCGAAATTACGCTACCCAGATCCAAATGAGCATTTAAAATGATACACAAAACACATCACAAAGTGCAAATGATTGGATTTTCGTAACAATTTTAAAGACAAACCATCTGTTCTGTTTCATTCATACCAAAACATACACGCAGATCTACTTTCTCAGCATCCAAACAAAGCCAGAAAGCAAGAAAGGAAGGGCAACCCATTAAAACCCATTACCTTGTACACCGGAATGGTAGACCCCAAGGCCGAGCCAATACGCGTAGCCATTGATCGGAGTAAGATCGTACACATTCAGATAAACCGGCACTTTCCCAATCTTCTTCTTCCTGGGCACCAACACCATCCTACACAGCATTTTTCTCTCAGACTCGTCTCTCCAAAAAGAAAACTCCAAAATGAAATCAGAATTAAGAACGGAGCTCCAGCTGCAGCTAGAATTGCTTAAACCGAGGGGCGCCTTGGAAATTGAAGAGATTCTTTGGGTTTTGAGGGGGGGGCAAACCGGAACAGAAGATTCGTAGAATTCCTTTCCAGAAAATTTTAATCCTTTTCTTGGAAGACGAATCTTATGTAGTTCCGGCGGCCGAAAGTGCCATGGCCGTGTACTCGATTTTATAACTAAAGTGGGAGACGCTGTTTGTTTTGGTAGTGAATTGCTAATCAGATAAAACACCCCTGCAAGTTTAACTAATTACGGAAAATGCCATTCCAGCTCCAAAACCAAGACCAAGGTCAAGAAGACCCAAACCCAAAAAACACCCACCAAACTACAAACCAGGTAAAAAACGAACGTATGCAAACGATAGGCTTCTAGATCTTCTGCGACAGAAATCTCCAGCTGCTGCAAAATTTGGTCATTTGTTTTTTAAGTTTTTAAGATTAAAATGGTAGAGTAGAGTGATTGGTTGAAGAAAAAGAAAAAGGTTGAGTCCATTTCGTCCACGTCGTGCCTTTCTTTCTTTTCCAACCTAACGTGTAAGTTAAGTCTCTGCTGCGTCTCTGCTTTTGCAAACCCTACTTTTTGGTATCAAATGGTTGGAAATTGGATTAGGGTTAATATATTATTAATCAGGTTTAAATATTATGCAAATGTGGGTTAAGGGCTAGCTGGTTAAGAAAGTGTGTCTGCTCCTTTGCACCTGAATTCAAACTCTCTTTAAACAAGCGATATCTACGTGTAGGGGATTCAAACTTGGATACTAGGAGATGTATACAAGCAATATCTACATAGAGGAAATTCAAACTTGCTTAATACCTTTACCAACTTGCCTAACCCTGTTTGCATATAATATAATTATTACATGACCTTGCTTAATGCCACATAAGTGGGAAGGAAATTGGGGAATTTACTGGGGAAAAGCGGAGGAATTTAGGGACAAATTGGGAAATGTGATTTTATTTTAATTTTTTTGTTGGAAGAGTGAAGAAGAATCTATGAGGTTGTGAACTTGGGTTCCATCGTTAGTCGCATGATGGGCTTATATATCCAGGAGCACGAGCCATTGTCACGTACAAAGGAGACAGCAGTGATTTCACCCACGATCAGTGGCGGAGCCACTCCTAGACCTGGAGTGGCCCTGGCCCCCCCCATATTTTTATCACTCCTCTATTATATTATATATAATATATAGAATTTGTAATAAACAACTTAGAATTTAAGTTAAAATTTCCTCTAAAACAAATTAGACATTACTCAATTAAAAATATTTAGCTCTAAACATGTAAGTATTGAATACTTAGGTGTTTTATGTACTTGTATTTTCTCCTTCGGCCCCCCCAATTTTACAATTCTAGCTCCGCCCCTGCCCACGATATTTTAATTAGATTAATATTTGTTTAATCAATCATAATAGCTTCTTAAGTTTTGATATCATACAAAACTCGAATAGAAATATTCCAACTTGCATAAACCGTAGCAACTCATTGCTTACCAAAGATATTAAAATTTTGTTTTTTTTAGTTTAAGTTATTTTGGATTTCTTTAATGAAAATCTAATTTTCTATTTGTTTGTTTTTAACCATACAACTCTTTGTAATTTATAGCAATTGTCGTGCTGACGTGTTATTAATAGGATTTATCTGCAATTCCATATCATTTTTGTAATGAAAATCTTACAAAACTTGCAAATATTTTATTACCACAGCTATAAATGGCAATGTATTCGTACTATTTGCACCAAGTTTGAATTTACCTCCTCATAAGTTAAAATAATTTAGAATATCACATTATCAAAAATAATGATTATATAAAGTGTGAATTTAAATAATATAATTATTACCAATTGTGCCAAAAAAAAAAAGGATTTCGTACCAATTACAATACTCTTTTACTAGTTGGCACTTTACTAATAAACAATTATATAAATCTTAACTTTTGAGCATTCTTCTATTGGGAATCTTAAATCTCTGCATTTAGAATCAATGCATTTACACGCATTTAAAAAAATTATAAACCATTAAATTAATTTAATAATTTTTAAAAATAATTCATATTGGTATAAAAATATTGTTATAATTTAAGAGATAAGATTTTTCATTACTTCAGTTTTTCGGATGGTCACGTATTTTTCTATGGTCATTGATCACATCCTTAACATCATAAAACAAGAAAGATGGATGTCACATCTACTACTTGGCTGTGACCTCATTGTTTATTAATTTGATATCCATTCATTTTGGCAGTCAAGAATGACCATAATCAATTATATAAAAATATATATATATAAAATAAAGGATGTCCGCAATTTTCTTTTTATTATTATTTTTTTGGATGAAAACGAACCAAGGACATAATATCCATAAAATATGAAGAGTTTGGTCAAATTTTGGAGAGACTTTGGAAAAACACAAAGGAGAGATAAATTTTGTAAAAAAAGCCAAAATGGACAAAATTGCCCTTATTTATTTTTAGATTTCCTAAGAAATTCTTTACATTTGCATGTCTTTGATTTGAAAATTGAGAGGTTTTTTTGTATTGTTTGAAAAAGTTTTGGTTTTTTCCAAAAGTGAAATATTTTTTTTGGCCAAAACCTAAATTTACTTAAATTTTAACGGTCATAAACTTTGTGACATACAATTCCTAATTGGTTTCCAATTTCTGACTTTGTACAAAAACGAACCAAGGACATAATATCCACCTTGTTTTTTGTCCTTCCTTAGCATTCTAATTAAATTAATGGTGGATTCATAATGCTAAAACAAACCGAAGTAATGATAACACACCGTCAAACTTTCTATTTTTGTCCTTTGTTTGCATCATGCCCATTTACACCGAGAAACATTTTCATACAATGAGAATAACATTTTTTACTATCTCAATCAATAACATAACGACATATAGGATAACCTATTTGCACCCGCACTGCACCCATGTGTCCAGACGGGGAAGGTCATTATATATCCGCGTCATCATCTCATCGCCATCATCAAAGTAATGCAATTTTTCATTTTCATTATGATGCAGCGTGGCAAATACTGTTGCTGCTTGTGCATTTTCATGTCTTATATCATTCAAGGGATGGCCTCAAGAAATTATTGCACCAAACCATGTCGGCTATCAGGACCCATTTTATGGGGTTTCAATTCAATCAAATATATCAATATTATTTGAAATAATAATAAAACAATTTTCCCTCCTTTGAATGTTCTGTTTAAATGGGAAGGGAAGCATATGGATAAACTGATGGTGAAGCGGAGGAGTATATTAGGGCTACCAATGGCCATAGAATTTTGTTGCCATCGCTTTCAGTATTCTTCAAGTTTTCAGGCATCATGTTGGGTGGTTAAGAAACCAACGAACTGGAGCAGAAGATAAGACCGCCATGGGCTCTATGAACTATAGAACCCCGCGCTAGGGACAAGTAATTAAGAAGCGTCACACCTCCATAATCATTCATACCACATGCATTTCAACTTTCAAATAATGATGCCTATAAACAACAAAAGAGCATGTTTCAAGCTCGCTGTCGCTACGTAAGAGATTTGTAATTCAAATAGTTAAAAGCGTTTACAAATGTGTCAAGATTTCTTCTTATCTATTTCTGACTTTTTTCGATCTCATTTCTCTTCGTCAGGGCCCAAAAACACATTCTTTGCTATTTGTAGCCAAAGCAAATTGCATTCTTTTAGTTGGGCCGAGTTTGAGGCCCATTATGATATTATTTACGATGCACGTCGAAACCCAGATTAGATATCCATCTTCTTCCCCATTTCAGTTCCACTGTTTACCTAAAACCCCAATCCTTAAACCCTAAAAAGAAAATTTTGATTCTCAACAGGTAATGGCTCGATTAATTCGAACTGCTCAAAGTGCGCTGCGATTGTCTTCTTCTTGTTCATGCAAAACCCTAGTCAATGGCATTCAACGCCACCCAAATCCTCCGCTGCAAGTGCAGAAAGCAATCTCAACCTCTCTCTTCCAAAACAGACCTTACGCTTCTGAGACGCTTCCCAAGTCGCCCATGGAAGCTAACATCCTTAGAATCCTCAGAAACGAGGAGGAGTACCAGTCCGATTATGCTCCTCCTGAACAGGTCGGTCATCCTCCTCCTTCGTTTGGTTTGTAAGAAAATGCACGAACATAAACTGAGAAAGCAACCATTTTTATTAACTTGATTGAGTAGGTCTTTGTGATTTCTCGATTCCCATTTAAGTTTATTCATACTGGACAGTTTGAAGTGTCGATTGTAATCCTTTTTCATATTTTGTGATGGAAATTATAACAATTGACAACAGCCTCCTACAAAATTCAATTCGTTTACGGTGCAAGATCGGCCAGGTGAGCTGTGGATGACAATGAGAGGAAAATTTGGAGACACTGAGGATATTAAAATTGAAGTTACTATGTTTGATGGGTATGAAATGGTTCCCAAGACTGGAGATGACAGTTCTGGGGAAGACGTGCTTCTTCACCTCAGTATGATTGTTGATATTTCCAAGGGGGATGGCTCCAATGATTTGGAGTTTCTGTGCTCGGCCTGGCCGGACCGTCTAGAGGTTCAGAAAGTTTATGTTCTTGATCGTTATAGAATGCCGGCTAAGCCATATATGGGACCTGATTTCAGGTACATTGCTTAATTTCTGCCAGCAAGTATATGATGCACAAAGAATGAATGTTTGTTGGTTGTATGAGTTTGCAGTGTTGGGTGTTTGGAGGTGACTTGTTGCTTCTTCTGTGTTTTTGGGCAGGAGTTTGAAGAGAACGATTCAAAAGAGGTTTATTGAGTATTTGGAAGCAAGGGGAGTGAATGATGAGCTTTCTGTTTTCCTGCATCAATATATGGCGAACAAGGACAGAATAGAACTTATCAAATGGTTGGGAAAGGTCAAGTTGTTTCTGGAAAAATAGAACGGTACATGTCTAGTACCTCTTCCCTCGATTTAGATTTGTGGTGATTCATTTGTTCTTCTTCCCTGAAAAAATTTGTCATTGATTGGAAAGAAGGTTCTGCCCAAGTTATGCTTTATATTATATGCGAGCATGCCTTCAAAATCATAGGTTTACAATGTAATATTTATTCAGGTCAGCAACTCTGTCTGTCTTATGGCTTTGAGATGCTTCTGATTGTATGAATTACTCCAAGCAAAATGATGGGAAATTATGATTTGTGATGGTATGCAGATTTATGCGGTGTTCATGTCTTTGTTTGCTGATTTCTCTTAGCTAAGCTGAAAATGAAGTTTGACACAGACAAGGGCTATCAGCTATGCGTCCTGAAAGTCTTACTTCAATAGAAACTCAAAATCTCTTGGTAATGTCATGAGCTTTGTTGAAACCTCAAAACATATTTTTATTACACATCGCCATTAGTTCTCCATCGCCCTTGTTTGAAACATAATTGTTTGAAGGTGTCTGGATCATTTTTTGGGGAACTAGGGTGGTTGGTTTGAATTTAAAAAAAAACCCAGCAAACAACAAATTGTCGGCGTTTTCAGCATGGTTTGATCAACCCACAGACAATCATAAGATTTACTTTCAAAATGTGCATGCAGATATGAAGATGCGGGAATATGACGTGCGGGGGCAACTATGCGAAAACCTTGTTTATTGGGGTGGCAGGTTGAGTGACTTACGCCAACCTCGAAGAAATTTGAGTTTCTGATGGGAAAGTTATGTAAAATGTGACACATAAACTATTATTACATTATTATACAAAATGTTTAAACTTGAACTAAATCTTTCCTAGATTTTCAGATCAGTTAACGAAAGTGACTCGGTACACGCTCCTCAAAAGAGGACAAAGATACCACCAATTTTTTTAACATAAAAAAAATGAAAAAGCAAGTCATTTTATATGATGCATGCAACGACAAAAAAACATCATCAATCTTATATTCACAAGTATGACTCGTTTATTTTGGGTTTCTTGTATTATCAAGTTGACAACTTTCCACGTTCATCTATCTAATCCCCTTCGTCAGTGGCAGCTTTGTCTCAAGTTTAGAATAAAAATTCGTTGTCTATTTTCTTTATTTTTATACAATTGATATTGGAGGGGCACGGCATTCGAACACACATTAGGTATAAAGGTAGCCCTCCTATATCATTTGAGCTATTAGACCCTTCTTTTCATTTTTAAATATATGAAAACCGGTGACTTCTGACAAATTATGTGTTTATGATCTGTTTATTGTAAATCGGCAAAGATTATAGAATCAAATTTGTCTCATTGTATTTGATTGTTTGTTTTGTTTGGATCGAAGTAGACGGATAATCCTAAATTATTTGGAACGACACTCACAAGCGTCACATGTCCTTTCGAGTGCAAAGCATGACATTTTTGAAATTTTGTTGGGCCAAAACAGAGGGGCTCTGTTCTGCTTCTGATTGTTGATTGCCACTGCCAGATAGCACCAATTGATTTAAGGGAGTACTAAAAACTTCTGAACATGGCTCCACCTTCGAAACTTATCTGTTTTCTAAAATAAATTTCTATAATTGACGAAAAATAACAAGAGGGTTCTTTCTGTTTTAGTTTTAACCAAAATGAGGATTAAACAAGTTGAAAAAAATGAAAATTTTTAACCCAGATAGCTATGGACAAGTTCAAAGCAAACCACAAAGAAAAAGGTTGTAAAAAAAAAAAAAACCATAACATATCGAAATTTGAAGAAGAAAATTTAAACAACATCTCAATACTAACAGAAAAAAAGAAAACAAAAACAGAGGATCATATATGTTACATTGAATAAGAATTGTGCAGAGCCTATGCTAAACTACCTAGAGCTTGAGGGATAAGTCAAGCTTCTTCATTTCCTCCTGATCACTACTGAAACGACTGCCGTTTGCCAACCAGAATTTACCAATTTCGTCATTGGCTTGGGAACCCATCTTGTTCTTTCCCATGTCAAATCTACCAGCACCGCCTCTCCCTGACGTCGTTTGGAAATTCTCTGCCGCTGCTGCGGCTAGCTTCCCAATTGCTGGTTGTTGATCAATGAGCGGTCTTGACCTGTAGCCACGATTTCCATACGAACTTCCGAACCCAATAGAAGAAGATGACATGTGAGAATTAGGCTTGTGAATCATTGAGTGCGCCTGAATGTCCAAAGTTTTGTGATTATAAGCAGCGCCATGGAGAGGCAGAGAAGCCAAGCTTGAAATATGGTGGTGATGGTGATGATGCAAGTAAGGGTACCCAAAACCTGCAGCTGCTGAGGCCATTACATGTGTCCCTAACATCCTCTGTCCTCTCTTTGCTAGGGTCCTCTCTCTTTTGTGGGCATTTTGGTGCCCTCCAAGTGCCTGTGAGCTGTAGAATTTTCTTTGACAGTAGTTGCATGAGAAAACTCTAGGCTCTGCCCCATCAGACCTAGGGGCAGCTGTACCTTCTGATGAACCGATGTCCAGGCAATCAATGAGGTTGAGTTCTGGATTGAACCCACCATTTGAATGCTCAAGATCTACTAAAATATTGGGCTTCATCTCTTTTTCTTGATCTTTATTAGCTTCCTCTTCATCTTCCTCAACTAGTTTCTGTTTGCTCTCTTTGGGGTCCTGAAGTGGTGTGTTTGGACATGGAGGAGCCTCTGGAGCAGAGATGATATATGTTTCATAATTCCTGGTTGGTTCCATCGCACAAATCTTGGAGCTCTTTTTTTCTTTCTTCTTCTGAGTTATCAACTGGGATTATGAAATTTGAGTTGATAGAAAAGCTAGCTAAGCAACAGGGATAAAAAGTATATTGATGGGGGAAAAGTAAATTGCTTTGTGGTATATATGGATAATGGAAGAATGCACTGTTCTACTAGCTTTTAAAATATTAGATCCTTTCATCAAATTAGATCTTTAAAGTATTTTGGTAGGTTCACTTATTGTCATGCACTTTGATTGGATCAATGGAACTTTTTCACCGTTCTATCCATTTGCACGTATATATATTATACATTAATAAATCGACACAACAACAAAAACGAAAAACTTATTTTTAACAGGAAAGTATCGTTTTCCTTTGATATCATATCCAAGATTGTGTTTTTTTACTGTAACATGCTCAATAATGTGCATCAAACTCAATAGCAGATGCACATCTGCCATTGTTGTCGCATATTGAATTCTTTTATTCTATAAAATCAATCAAAGATGGGACATTTGAACTTGTGACTTATTCCGACATTGAGAAAATAAATTCCTTAGAAAGATTTTGAGTTATATTTTCTTGAAAAATAGACGGACTTGAAGCGACGGATGATCCCGGAAGTGTCGCCCTAGCCAGGGCATGCAGTATGCCTCAGTACATTGAGTGTGCCCCTTACCGCATTCTGTGGGGGCGTCACTTTGCTTGGATGTTCCATAATCATCTCACTCTCATGTGTTGTGGACAGACCATTATTGACAGCTTCCTATAATTTCATTGACTTATTTTCTCCATCTCTATTGAGAATGAAATTAATCAATTACTTCGAGTTGGGGTCATGAAAATGAGGGTCCTTCTCAATGCCCTTTTTGGGTTATGATCATATCTTCCCTTTGAAAAACTAGACTGGAGAACTAGATCACAGGCTCAACACATGTTAGGTGGAGTTAAATGGTTTATAATTACTGGATTAAAAAAAAAAAAAAAAAAAAAAAAAAAAAAAAAAAAAGAAGAAAAAGCAATAGCATTTTATGGAGGAAGAGGAGAGTAACTAGTATAAAAATGGGGCTATGTCGTCGGGAATTAGGCGAGTGTCTCTAGATTAATGGGCTCAGTCGTCGGTCTAACTGAGTAGCCTTACCTGCTCAATTGAAAGCAGGAACATAAACCTTATCTCCAATAGAGTGCCCCCGTCCCCCTCAAATAATTACTAGGTTTATAATTGTCATTTTCATAACCTAATAGCCATATCAAATATATATAAAATTAACTATCATTGCCAATAAGTGCATGTTTTATTTGTTCTCCTCCTAAATTTTATCGTATTCTAGCTAGCTGTTGTCAATTGTCTAGGCTCTAGATATAAAATATAATCTTAAACTTCTCATAGAGTCCATGTTACTACAGTAATATAGTATTAGCACGCAAAGTAGAGACATAAACTATGTTGACAGACAGGTAAAGCCAATTCGGGTCGCTGGCATAAAGCCAAATATTCTCATATTTTTTCAAAAGGAAAAAAAAAGAAAGAAGAAAAAAAGGAGAGATGATTTGTCAATGGTAGAGAAGGCGACAAATGGCCGACAAATAAAAAAGGGTGAAGGTGACGTGGAGTTGCTCATGGTAATATGCAATGATAGTGCAGTTACATGCTGCATTATTAATATTTAAAGAGAAATAAATCAGCAAAGTTAAGCCCGAAAGATAAGTATAATCTGAGTTATAATATTGATAATTATTGCACGGGCATAAAGTCATTTTAGGCAACTTTCTCTTCTTTGGCCCAATCATAACCCCACATAAAAGTTTGGTAGAATAAAATGGGCAACTGACTGAGTAGTGAGTGGAGTTTGGCATTTTACCCTCATTGGCTTAACCTAAGCGAAACAGACACCCCCATATGATTCTCCATGTAACATTCATAGTCATATCAACTGGGACCAAAATCTCTTTTCAAGATCTCTCTGTCTCTTTAAGCCAACTTCTCACTTCAAAACTCTAAAAGAAGAAACACAGGAAAGTTCCATTATTCCATTCCATATCCATCATCATCCTCGTCATCCTCGTCTCTCCTCCTCCACGTACAAATACACACTTTCCATATCACCAACCCCAAGTTTGATCCAAATACAGACACTTCCACTTTCATTTCCTTTCCCCACGCACGCTCCAAAAGACCAAGAGTGGACTCTAGTGAACTTCAGTCCAGCTCAGGCTTGTTAGTGGGTCGCCCAAGCCACTAGGCCCGCCCTTGATTTGGGCTCATTCACATCCTAATTAAGGGGTCTGCCGACTCAAACTGCTTTTGACTTTCTTTGCCAGCAACAATGTGACATTTTGATTGACAAATGTGCAACATCCTTATATTTAATATATGAAGTGAAGGTTACCCACTTTGAAGCTGAAGCATTCAACTTTGGCTAGTTTTGCTGATTTGATTGGAATTTTGATTGGACCAATCAAAATACACCGAACCATAAAATAAACATCTAGATAAACATTAAAAAGTCATCAAGTGTGCATCCAAAGTCAGTGGCTAGCTAGCTTTATTCGCCAATCACCACTAAGTCTGTTTATCTAACATGGGATGTTATTAAGATACACCAGTTATAATGCTACTCCTACTTGACTTGTTCAATTCTCAATTGCCAACTGCATTTGTGGTCTTACAAGGAGTTCAACCAGATATCAGATCAGTGCATGTGATCATATGATTCATGACTGTATGCTTCAAAATAAGAGCAGAGTTAGTGGCTACCCCATCATTCAAACCTTATTAAGAACATGATGCTTGAAATAATTATCCGAATTTGATTGAAAGCACAAGTCCAACTTTTCTAGTCAATTTTTTCATGCGTTTTACCCAAACCCTGTAAATTAGTGGACTGGGAATAAAAAAAAACTTAGACTCAAACTAGGACAGAAAGTGACAGAAGCAACTGGTCTGCAGACTTGTATTTATATTTGAGACCACCGCAACCAAATTTAACTTACCCTGTTTTTTTTTCTTTCTTTCTTTTTACTATTCCATTCCAAACAGAAAGAAGTTTTCTTGCTCCGTTTGCTTCTAGGTTGGCTGCACGTGTTTGATATGTTCCTCCTCCTCCTTGACCCCTACATGCTAATCTAGTTTGAAAATTAAAATATATCCAGCAGGATACTTCCACCACAAAATTCAAACAGCACAAAACCAATTGTGACAACTTGGTCGATTCAAACCATAGCCTATGCACTTGCCTGCTCTATAAAACAAACGCAATCAAACCCTGACAAAAATCAGAGCAGCAATAATGGGTACCCCAAAGTTCATGCCTTTTCTCATCTTTGTAATCTTCCTCACAACTCTACTTCAAAATTGTGAAGCAAACCAGTTTCCTTCTGTTCATCCACCTCACAAAGGGATCAGAGCAGCATATTGGCCATCGTTTAACACATTCCCAGCTTCCTCTATAGACACCTCCTACTTCACCCACATCTACTATGCCTTCCTCTTACCCGAACCCACCACTTACAAACTCAACCTCACCCAATTCGACCAAAAAACAATACCCCAATTCATCGGAGCTCTCCGTACCCGAAACCCGCCCGTCAAAACCCTTCTCTCCATCGGCGGCGGAGGTAACAATGCAACAGTATTTTCACTCATGGCTAGCACCCAGCTGACCCGGAAAGCCTTCATCAGTTCCTCCATTGAAGTGGCTCGAAAATTTGGGTTCCAAGGTCTCGACTTGGACTGGGAATTCCCAGCTGATGCTGTGGACATGTCAAATCTTGCCTTGCTGTACAAGGAATGGAGGAATGCTCTGGACAATGAAGCTAAAATTAGCGGTAAACCGCGTTTACTTTTAACCTCCGCTGTATATTATGCGTCGAAATTCGTTCACGGCGGCCCGAGAGCGTATCCAGCCTGGGCAATAAGTAAATATCTGGATTGGGCCAGCCCGATGTGCTTTGATTATCACGGGTCATGGGAAAATTTCACTGGGCTGCATGCTGCGTTGTATGATTCCAAGAGTAATATTAGTACCAGTTATGGAATCGGGTCATGGATTCAAGCCGGAGTACCGCCCAATAAGCTCGTCATGGGGTTGCCACTATACGGGAGGACTTGGACCCTCCAGAACCCGACCGTGAATCGGGTTGGAGTGCCTGCTTTGGGTGTTGGGCCTGGGGACGGCGTTTTGGTTTTTCACCAAATAGTGAATTTTAACAAGAGAACTAATGCAACGGTTGTATTTGATAGCAAAGCGGTGGCGTATTATTCTTATTCGGGTAGCTCTTGGATCGGGTATGATGATGTCCGATCCGTGAACTTAAAGGTCCGGTTTGCGAAGTCGCTAGGCTTGGGTGGATACTTCTTTTGGGCTCTGGGTCAAGATAAAGACTGGACTATATCCAGCCAAGGTAAGTCTCCAGCCCACACTCAATTACCTCATTAGTATTTCGTTTCGTTTCAAAATTAGGTTTGATTTTAAATTTCTAATGCTTTGTTTCTTGTTTGGCAGCTTCAAATGCTTGGAAATACTGAAGGGAAAATGGAATATCCACAACTCAACTCAACATGTAGCCCACTATCATCTATTTGTATTTATGCTGTATGATTAATTATCACATTGTAGCAAGGGCATTGTAGCGCATTCAATTAAGAACATTTATCTATGTATCCAAATTCTATGTTTGAATCTCATTTCGTAAAATAATTAAAAAGGTTCCAACTATGTTTGCTTATCATGATATTCTTCGAACATAACTGAGTTGGCCAGAGCATGTGGGCACTCCACTCAGCATCCGAGTTCAAATTACCATCTTCATAGTTTAGATTAGTTTAAAGTAGATTATCACTTGTACTAAAAAAAAATCATGATATTCTTCGAACATAACCAAAGGCTCATCTTCTTTTTCTTTTTTTCTTTTTTTCCTTCAAGGTAAACATGAAACTAAACCTAGAGTTAATTCTTCACAATATCATGCAAAATTGCAACTCTAAACTTATGTGGTTTGAAAACCATTGTGTAAATAAGGATATACATTAGTTCACATATTGGTTAAACAATAACAAATTACACAACTATGTTAATTAATAATTTTTTAAAGTGCCAATTTTATTGCTAAAAAACTTCGGACAAAATTAATGAGTAAATGCCACCCAATTTTTTCTCTCTAATGAAACAGTGAACTTTCCCCCATAAAAAAAGGATGGAATTAAAAAAATGGAATATTCTGATATTGGGATTCTCTATACCAAATTGAACCAGAAAAGGGTTCATTTCAAGCAAGTTGGGTTTTGTGAAGGGTGTTTCCAAAGCCTAGTAAGAGGCTATCAACTATTTTTATAACTTTTCTTTGATACTATCTCTCTTTTTTTTTTTTTTTTTTTTTTTTTTTTTTTTTTTTTTTTTTTGTGATTTTTTTTTGGGGTCATAAGTTCGTGAAGTTGTGTGGTTAAGAGGATGATTATTGAGTAGGGGCATGATGGTAAAAGAGGTCAATTTCCCATTTGACTGCATGTGCTTGCCGCGGATGATGATCCTACTTGCTGCTAAAATATGAATATGGTTTGAATGTATTAGGTTTTTATTTTATTCTTCTCCATAATGAGGTATATATAGGAGTTTACATATAAGGGTTTTACAAGGAATTAGATATAGTAAAGAATTAGGAAAGTATCTCCTAATTGTACAATGATTTATCACTTATATAAAAAATAGGAAAGTAAATCCCTTAATTAATCAAGGAAGTAAATCTCATTAATTAATTAGGAGACTCACGTCAACACTCCTCCTCAAGTTGGTGCATATATGTCACGAATGCCCAACTTGGTAAGTGAGTCATGAACTACTCTTCCACACTTACAGCATATGCAATATATGATCTTGGAGGACGTATGAAGAGTAGAACCTTTGGTGGTGGTGATAGAAGAAGGAGTCTGGGTAGCCAGGTCAGCATGATTGACCACATGTGAGTCTGCAATAAGATGGAGAATCGTATGGGTTCTTCACATCGCAACGGAAGTATAAGGTGATATGAGAAGGTGGGGAAGGTGATGTGTGAAATTTGATGTATGAATTTGATGTAGTAATTGGATTTAAGAGGTATGTGTATAAGATTTGATGGTATATGTTTAGGGATTTGGATAAGAGGATTTGAGGACTTTAGATTTGAGGGATTTGGATTTGGGAAAAAAAAATGAGGAATTTGATTTAGGGTTTTGGATTTGAATATGAGAAATTTGAAGAAATTTGAGATAAGGGTTTAGAGAGAAAACAACTTCTCTTCACTCTCCTTTTCCTCTTGAAGAGAAGGGGTCGTCAGAGTCAAGAAATAAGCAACATCTTCTTGGGATACGTCAATAAACATAGCATTCCCAAGAGAACTAGGCTTTGATACCATGCTAAAATATGAATATGGTTTGAATGTATTAAGTTTTTATTTTATTTTTCTCCATAAGAAGGTATATATAGGAGTTTACATATGAAGGTTTTACAAAGAATTAGATATAGTAAAGAATTAGGAAAGTATTTCCTAATTGTACAATGATTTATCACTTATATAAAAAATAGGAAAGTAAATCCCTTAATTAATCAAGGAAGTAAATCTCCTTGATTAATTAGGAGACTCACATCAACACTTCCTCATGCTCTTAGAGATTTTACTCAACCACTGCCAATATCATGGTTTGTTTATGTGCTCTATCTTCCGTTGCTTCTTTTTTGGAGTTTTGCTCTGTTGTCAAGCTTCTTGGCTTTCAATGGGAAATAGATGAATTTAGACAACGCAACATCTGTAATTGCCAGCCATTCATATTCATAGGAGTGTTGGTTGAAGAATAAAATAGCAAAATAGTTAGATGATGATGAGGTAATCGATTCAGATAAAGGAGGGTCGTAGGAAAGTCACTCAACATGTTTTAAAATTGTGAGCATACATACCTCATAGGAGACAAGATTAGTTAAAGCTTCACCATTCACAAGCCTGCCTTATATTTAGCCAACTTGCATATTGTCCTTCCCCCCTCCTAGCCACCACGCCCTAGCTCCTCTCTTAAAATATAATCATGCCAAACGGAAAGTCATGTGACTGAAAAAAAGCAAGGAATCTCAAGATTTTGCACCCAACATGAATCTTCTAAAATAATGCATATCACAACAAAGCAAAACTATATTATATTATTTCATGCTTATAGAGAAGAAGAAAGAGGGATAAGCTTTTGTTATCATGCCACCATTTCATTAATATTTGTTGCCTTAGTCAATGATGCTGCTTTTGATCATCATGTATTTATTTATATAAGCTCATTGGTGTCACGTTTTGAGCCAGATAATGCTTGCATGATCCTCCAATCCAAGATGCCGTAGGAAGTAACTTAATTATATCATTATCAATCTTTAATATTTAATCTTTGATGTTAAGATTATTTTGCCGCTAATATGTAATAACCTCTAAATCATCATGATGTAACTTAGTAACTTTTACAATCAACCTATATGCTGGCTGTTGATTTTTTTGCTGACTACCTAATCGCCCTTTAACAGATTCCCAGTTAAATTATTCTCATTAAACTATGATTACGACGAGTCGTTTTCATTTTTCGTCGTCGATGATAACTCTAAATGAGTTCTTAAGTATAAAACCATGTTAGGTTTCAATTACGGTTTGATTGCAATATCAGAATATTATCATCTATAAAACGCAATCTATATTTAATCGTTTAATTAATTAGTCTAGCTACTTGTACTGACAGAAGTTGGATGAAGCTTGTTTAACTTTGCTTTGAGGGCTTAAGTACGGATGGAAACCACTAAATATAATATTATATTAAGGGTTTAGGATAAATCACATTGTCTAAGATTATAACTTTTCACACAAAAAATGGGAAAAGCCTCATGCTACGTTTTTCTCCACTAAAATGAGTCGAGGACACACTCAAGGACCAGGCTAGGTAGTGGGTTTTCCATAACTTGAATGTGATTGATTTGCTTGCTAGCTTTTCTTAGGATTGGCGCTCTCTCTCTCTCTCTCTCTCTCTCTCTCTCCGTAATAATCATCACTGTGTCTCTTTCTCCAATCCACGGTCCACCCACCCACCTTTCACAGGTTCCTGGATTTGTCTCTCTCACTTATTAAGGTGTGATTTTCGGGTATATATCTTACTTTTTCTTTTTCTTCTCTTTCTGTTTTTTTTTGGTTTTTGGGGGGAGTGGTTTTGTTTTGAAATTCACAATAAGAGGAAAACGATAAATGCACGTAGTTTTATTCGATCTTTTTTTTATGACCAAAAGGATCTTTTTTTTTCCTCATTATTGAAGGTAATTATGAAACCAAATATAGAACTAAATCTTAACAATATCATGTAAATTGCAACTCTAGATTGGGTGTTTCCTAAGAATCATGGTGGAAAAATAAGTTACAAATCGACAAGTATTTAACATTTATAATCATGCACCAAATTAACTCGAGTTCCTAAATCCCAATCTAGACCACTATATTTGAATTTCAAAGGTTGCATGCGATACATTCTTTTGTAAAAACATAAAGGAAAAAGTCAAGACAATCCATGGATTTTTTTTCCCCTTTAAATTTCACTACATGTAAATTTCAGCAAAATCTAATGAAAATACAATATTAAAAGAACCAACTAGGAAATTTTGATAAAAAGGAATATGAAAAAGAAAAACATTTTTGCGAGGAAGACGAGAGTATTTTATTGAAGAAAAACCGGGCGGACTATGTTGTATTTTATGAAAAAGGAAAACATTTTTGTGGATTTACTTCTCTTCTATTTAATAAATGATATCAGAATCTTCAGTTAAATCTTTCGGTTGCAGATAAAATCATAAAAGAACCAGTCAACTTGGTAAGATTCTCTATATGCATTTTTCAGTTTTAATGCTAATTCGTTTGTTCCTTATTTGGAAAATTCTAATTTCCTTTTTTTTTTAATTGGGTACCAAAAATTCTAGTTTCTTATTTTTGAAAAAGTCAAAACACAAAAAAACATTAAGAAGGGAAGAAACTCAAAATCAAAATTAATGCGAGATCATAATAATGAGAATCAACTGAACCCAAAACCAGAGGAAAAAAAAGGGTCCATTTTAGGAAAGTCTACAGAGTCTAATTCTTCTTCCTTCTCTCACAGTCCATACATAGTTCAGATTCCTTTTCTCTCTCTTTCAACGCTTACACACACACACCAAGAGAGAGAAAGAGAGACCTTCATTAATAATATTCTATGTTTACCACTAATCGCATTCCTTAATCTCTCTCTCTCTATCTCTCTCTCTCTCTCTCTAATCACCCAACCCATTAGGCTTTACAAGTCATTTTCTCTGCATCTTTGTGTTTTTATTGATTCTGGGTTTTGCTGGTTTTTGTCGAAAACCCAATAAAGCAAGAGGCTTCAACATTCAAACTTCACTTCTCTCTCTTCCATTTTTATTTTCCGAGTTTGTCAAGTTCTCTGCTTGAGAAAAATGACTGTCGAGGGGGTACTTGATGAACCCAGAGACCAGTTTCCCATTGGAATGCGTG